AACAACATAGAACAGCATTCCCTCATACGAGGCCCCTCCACCACAATCTGAACTGATATACCTCTGAAACAGTTTTATCACTTCAGTGAGAACCGAGGCCTCAGATGGGAAATCTGTGACCAACCTGCAGATACAAAGTTGAACTACATTTCCCATCATCCCTGCCTATTGGCCAGGCTGGCTGTGGATGATGGGAACTGGAGTCCAATAACACCAGGACCGGCACAGATTCTCCATCCCTGATTTAGACCAGCCTTCTCCAACGTGGCCCACCAGAAACTTTGGACTACAACTCTGAACCGCCCAAATCGGTGAATCCGGGAGGCATCAGTCTCGATCGTGATACGAAAGACTTGTTCACAAAATATCAAAATTCCCCCTCGCTGTAGGTTTGTTTTCTGCAAAACCAATGTAAGTAAACAGGCTTGCAGGAACTGCCTCCTCTGAATTGATTTGGGGTTTGCCAAGAGGTCTTTCCAGGCTAATGTTATCAGCGTTTCTTCTCTGTGTCTGACATTTCCCTAAGTCTTTAATATCAGCGTGCTGGGTCTCCTTGGGGTCAGAAACAGCAGGACGCCAAGTTCCAACTCTGCCCTCCCAACAATGGTGCCAAGAAGAGCAAAAGGGACAGGAAGGAATTTGACATGTTGCTTCTCTGAGGAAACCCAGCCAGATGGGTGGGGTATAAATAATAAATTATTATTATTATTATTATTATTATTATTATTATTATTATTATTATCCCATCATGCCAGATGCTCCAGTTCTTTGGACCAGAGCAACAGCAGCAAAATTATCTGGTTATCTCCCGCTTGGACTACTGCAACACGCTCTATGTGGGGCTACCTTTGAAGGTGACCCGGAAACTACAACTAATCCAGAATGCGGCAGCTAGACTGGTGACTAAGAGCGGTTGCCGAGACCACATAACACCAGTATTGAAAGACCTACATTGGCTCCCAGTACATTTCTGAGCACAATTCAAAGTGTTGGTGCTGACCTTTAAAGCCCTAAATAGCCCTGGCCCAGTATACCAGAAGGAGCGTCTCCACCCCCATCGTTCTGCCCAGACACTGAGGTCCATCTCCGAGGGCCTTCTGGTGGTTCCCTCCCTGTGAGAAGCAAAGCTACAGGGAACCAGGCAGAGGGCCTTCTCGGTGGTGGCGCCCGTCTTGTGGAATGCCCTCCCATCAAATGTCAAGGAAACAAACAACTACCTGACTTTTAGAAGACATCTGAAGGCAGCCCTGTTTAGGGAAGCGTTTATAATTTGATGAATTATTGTATTTTAATATTTTTGCTGGAAGCTGCCCAGAGTGGCTGGGGAAACGCAGCCAGATGGATGGCGTATAAATTATTATTATTAAATAAACCCTCCCAGTACTGTCACCTGAAGGTAAGCCTATCCGTGGTTACTAGCCATCATAGCTACATCAGGCCTGCGTAAGTTTCTGTAACCTCAAATATGTGTGGGCTCATTCATGTCTTCCATGCTACTCAATCTACGGTTGTCTCTAGGTTGGGTGAATCATCAAATTGTAGAGTTGGAAGGGACTACGAGGGTCATCTAGTCCAACCCCCAAGTTGGGGCTCAAACCCACGACTCTGAGATTGAGTCTTGCGCTGAACCAGCCGAGCTATTGTGAAGGCCTTTGGTTGATTTAACAGTCTATGTCCTTTTAAATGGCTTTTTTTTAAGGGCTTTATTGTTTTGTTTTGTCCTTTTAAAATTTGTTTTTATTATTTGTGGTTCTATCCTGTATTCTACGCCGAGAACTTCAGAGGAAAAGTGGTGTACAAATAAATGAAAATAAGATTTTTGTCCTTGCCAGTTCACGCAGCAAACACACATCCCTGGGAGTGGAGATCAGCCAGGACTTTTGTTTATTATGCGTTTTCAAAAAGAAAAACCAAGAGTCATCCATCTTCTCAGTGGCATCCTTTATTGTATGTAATCCATTCGTAGGAGAAAAGGGATTTGGGCTTTGTTAACATTCCTGCCGTCTCCAGTCTGTACATGCAGGGTGGCTGCAATTTTCGGGTTCCTGGTCCCGTTTCAGACTCTAGATGCTATAAGCCACCACAGGGATAAGTACTGGCTGTGCAGCTGAGACCATTGGATTCCTGCGGCTTGCCGGTGTTGGCTTGTGGGAAATGGGAGTTGTTCCATCTGGTACGCAGGCTGAGACCCTCCCTGCCCGCAGACTGTCTCGCCAGAGTGGTGCATGCTCTGGTTATCTCTTGCTTGGACTACTGCAATGCGCTCTATGTGGGGCTACCTTTGCAGGTGACTTGGAAACTACAACTAATCCAGAATGCGGCAGCTAGACTGGAGACTGGGAGCGGCCACCGAGACCACATAACACCGGTCTTAAAAGACCTACACTGGCTCCCAGTACGTTTCCGAGCACAATTCAAAGTGTTGGTGCTGACCTTGAAAGCCCTAAACGGCCTCGGCCCAGTATACCTGAAGGAGCGTCTCCACCCCCATTGTCCAGCCCGGACACTGAGGTCCAGCTCCGAGGGCCTTCTGGCGGTTCCCTCATTGCGAGAAGCCAAGTTACAGGGAACCAGACAGAGGGCCTTCTCGGTGGTGGCGCCTGCCCTGTGGAACGCCCTCCCACCAGATGTCAAAGAGAAAAATAACTACCAGACTTTTAGAAGACATCTGAAGGCAGCCCCGTTTAGGGAAGCTTTTAATGTTTAATAGGTTATTGCATTTTAGTGTTTTGTTGGAAGCTGCCCAGAGTGGCTGGGGAAACCCAGCCAGATGGGCGGGGTAGAAATAATAAATTATTATTATTATATTCTATTATTCCTGCCTGGGCCAGCAGCCAAACTGCTGCTCACACTTGCAAAGAAAGTTGCTGCCTAGGCATGCCAGAAGACGACGGTTACCCACACTTGAGAACTCTCAGATAAAACAGAGCCCTTCTTCGCGCAATGCGTAGTTAAACTGTGGAACTCATTGACACAGGAGACAGTGATCACCAACCTCGATGGCTTTAAAGGAGGATTAGACACATTCACGGAGGAGGAGAGGGCTAGCGATGGCTCCTAGCCATGTAAGCTATGCTCTGCCTAGAGGCATCAGTGTTTCTGAATACAACACCCTGGAAACGAAGAGGAAGAGAGCTCTCTTGCTACACAAATCTGGAGTGGAGTCCCTAAGGTGGTTGGATGGTGCCTTTGGACCACATCAGCACGACAGGGGGGGCAGGTCTTGTCGCCTCAGCAACCCAGAACCCCAATAATAATAATTTTATTATTTATACCCAGGCGGATGGCGCTGTGGGTTAAACCACAGAGCCTGGGACTTGCCAATCAGAAGGTCGGCGGTTCGAATCCCCATGACGGGGTGAACTCCCGTTGCTCAGTCCCTGCTCCTGCCCACCTAGCAGTTCGAAAGCACGTCAAAGTGCAAGTAGATAAATAGGTACCACTCCGGCGGGAAGGTAAACGGCGTTTCCGTGCGCTGCTCTGGTTTGCCAGAAGCGGCTTAGTCCTGCTGGCCACCTGACCCGGAAGCTGTACGCCGGCTCCCTCGGCCAATAAAGCGAGATGAGCGCCGCAACCCCAGAGTCGGTCACGACCGGACCTAATGGTCAGGGGTTCCTTTACCTTCACCATCTGGCTAGGTTTCCCCAGCTGCTCTGGGTGGCTTCTAACGTAATAAAAACTCAGCAAACATCAAACATTTAAAAATTCCCTAAACAGGGCTGCCTTCAGATGTCTTCTAAATGTTATATAGTTGTTTATTTCCTTGACATCTGATGGGAGGGCGTTCCACAGGGCGGGCGCCACCGCCGAGAAGGCCCTCTGCCTGGTTCCCTGTAACCTCACTTCTCGCAGTGACGGAACCGCCAGAAGGCTCTCGGAGCTGGACCTCAGTGTCCGGGCTGAATGATGGGGGTGGAGACGCTCCTTCAGGTATACTGGACTGAGGCCGTTTAGGGCTTTAAAGGCGAGCACCAACACTTTGAATTGTGCTCGGAAACGTACTGGGAGCCAACATAGATCTTTACAGTATTATACAGTCTCGGCAGCCACTCCCAGTTACCAGTCTGGCTGCCGCATTCTGCCCAGGCTTGCAACCCGGAGGTCATTTTGGTGCTGCTACCACAGCAGTTTTGACTTCACCCATCGTCTCTCGAGACAGACAGCTGCCAGCAACAACCGTCTCTGTGTGTGTGTGTGTGTCTTCCCCTTCCATTTTCTTTATCAACTGGTTCCCAAGCAACAACGTAGATTTGGAATGCAGATATTGGTACAAGACCAATTGCTGGCAGCTGCCCAGATTAGTTTTGGGTAAAGAATGGTTTGCTTAGCCTGTAGGAAGAAAAGTTCAGGTGCAGGGGGGACGGGTTTCGAAACACTCCCAGCTCCATCGATAACAAGGCGACACCCAAAGAAACAGATCCAAGTCTTCATTTTTAATGATGTTTTAGGATGTATGTACAACGGGGGGAGAAAAAAGGTTAACAGATTTTATTTTTAAAAAAAACACATGGTAAATGCACTGCGATAAGAATGTTGTTTGGTTTTTTTTACACACACAGAATATATATTTCTCTATATAATATTAACAAAAGAGATATAAAATAAGTTATACCTGTCCTGGGCTCTGTCTCCCACCGCCCCCCCCCCTTTTCTCAGGTCACAGTAGAAGTTCAACAAAACGCAAAGCAACGAGGACAGTTCATCTCACTCTCGACATCAGCAAAAATGACGGGGTCAGTGAAAGAGGCGTGATTTGGACCGAGGGAAGAGGAAGACCAGCAGGAAACAGTTTGGCTCAGTCTCTCCAGTCTGAATAAGGTTCAGGACAATTACCGTATTTTTCGCTCTATAAGACGCACCAGACCATGAGACGCACCTAGTTTTTGGAGGAGGAAAACAAGAAAAAAAATAATTCTGAATCTCAGAAGCCAGAACAGCAAGAGGGATCGCTGCACAGCGAAAGCAGCAATCCCTCTTGCTGTTCTGGCTTCTGGGATAGCTGCGCAGCCTGCATTCGCTCCATAAGACGCACACACATTTCCCCTTACTTTTTAGGAGGGAAAATGTGAGTCTTATAGAGCAAAAAATATGGTATTTTAGAGACGAAAATGGAAGGCGAGAGTTGGGGTGGAGGCTGTAACTGTTGGGCAGGCCCATCCTTGTGTCATGTGTCCCCAGCCTCTCTCGCCAACGGACTGTGCAAATGATGAAATAGCAGGGCATTCTACAGATTCGCCATTTTTATTGTGCACAAACATATCTGTGGTGAAACAGAAACACCGAGCAAAATTAAGTCCAACCACAGTGGAAGAAGCACTCGGAAAAATGTGCAAACCGCCTCCTTTGTTTCAGGAGTACTAAATGCAGCAATAGCTTGCTCCAGCCACAAATCCTTTAGTTATCTCCCCATGTCTGATGCTGCCATCTTTTCCATGCAAGGAACTAAACTTGTATGATTAAAAACCAGGGGACCTGGAGCCCTCCAGCCATTGCTGGACTCCATATCTGCCATCATTCCAGTGTTCCTTCAACCGTTGGGTCCCCAGATGTTGATGGACTACAACTCCCATCGTCCATGACCGTCCGTTAACCTGGCCGTGGACGATGGACGTTGTAGTCCCAGGACATCTGGGAAGTGGGAATCCAACAGTTGAAGAACACCAGCCTACTCTGCACTGTTGACACTTGTCCAAAAGCTCTCCAGTCTTTCAGAGAAGGCTTTTGAGCCTTGTTTTGAAGATACTGGAGATCAAAACTTTTGCCTACTCTGCTATGTTCTTATGTGCAAAGCCGACCATTCTCAGATTTGCATCGCACGATGATCCTGGCAGTGCTTGCAAATCCGGTGCAGCGTTCACCGGAATGACGTTTGGAACCCAGAATTCCCAAAACATCAAGAGTCTTAACGCAACACCTTCGGCCAAGGTCTTACAAGAAAATGCAAGCGACCAGGGGAAGTTTCCTACGGCTAACACACGCCCACTGTTCGCCTTTTGCAGAATTATTCTGTGTACAGATTTGCACCACGTGCACTCAATAAAGATTAAGGAGACAGACAACAGACAGGAAGACTGCTGAACATAAATACTTCAGATCCAAGTGTGTCTTTGAAGCAGCAGTCTCATCCAGAGGTATTTGTCATCTAAGGGTGCTTCCATACAGAAGGCTCTCAGGGCTTCCAGTAATTGCTCTTCCACCGAAAGCTACAAGCAGAATTGCCATTGGTCACCCACATTTCAAGAGTCAAGGTGCGTGTGCATCTTGCATTCACCCAGTGGGCATGGCAGAGCCGGTTGGCACCTTTGCCCGCTCACATTTCCCGACTGCTCACTGGCCATGCCCACCCACTCTCTTCTCCAGACATTTTGAAGTGGGTGTTCTCAGCGGCATTTTGGGCACCCTTGTTTGGTTATGGTTGTTGGAAGGGAAATCGCAAAAATAATAGTTAAAAGAGCTCTAGTTTTGTTTTTAAAATGCCGCCTGTATAACAGGGTAACAACAAACCAACCTATGTTCACATAAAGCATCCTCAATAAACATATGAGATGTAACCGGCTCTGTTCTTAGATAAATAAGATATACTATTCAAAGTATTGGGACACGGGTGGCGCTGTGGGTTAAACCACAGAGCCTAGGACTTGCCGATCAGAAGGTCGGCGGTTCGAATCCCCGCGACGGAGTGAGCTCCCGTTGCTCGGTCCCTGCTCCTGCCAACCTAGCAGTTTGAAAGCACGTCAAAGTGCAAGTAGATGAATAGGTACCACTCCGGCGGGAAGGTAAACAGTGTTTCCATGCGCTGCTCTGGTTCGCCAGAAGCGGCTTAGTCATGCTGGCCACATGACCTGGAAGCTGTACCCGGCTCCCTCGGCCAGTAAAGCGAGATGAGCGCCGCAACCCCAGAGTTGTCCGTGACTGGACCTAATGGTCAGGGGTCCTTTTATTCATAGTATCAAATTGTAAATTTAAACAGAAGGAACTCACACCTGTCTGTAAAATGTGTGAGATCATGATATTGTATTTATTTGCATTACTTAGAGCCTTAACTACTGATGAAGCCCAGGATGGCAAAACAAGGCCAATATTCCAGAAATCCTTGTCTTAGTCTTTGCGAAAGGATTTTGTGGATCTGTAACAACCTTTCATGTGGATTGTTTGGACTTTATGAACAGACAGGTGGAATGGACACCATTACACAGATGGACCTTATGCATGAACTGACTATAGAATGATCTGATCCACTGGGTCTTCTGCTTTGTTCGTTTGTTGAACTTTATGAGATACTTCTGTTGAAATTTACAATTTGATACTATGAAGAGTATATCTTATTATCTAAGAACACAGCCGGTTACATCTCACGTGTTACAGGGTAAGCAAACTGCATCTAAACTGATTTCTGAGTGAACGACTGAGATGCAGGTTGCAAGGATTTCGCCAGAGAATGCCCAGCTCTCAATTTCACAAGTAGATCTCATCAGACAACCCAACCAGCCAGTTCCAGAATTCAGCCTGGTAAGGTTCACAGCCCAGCTAGGAAATATACCAGCTTGATCTTCATTGCTTCTGAGCTGCATTGATTTTCCATAGTGCAATTGCAAAAAAATCCCCCCAAAAATATATATATTTAAGGAGTGGTTTAGAGGACTGTAACTTTACAGTGCTTACTCAGAAGTAAGCCCTGCCACTGTCAATGCAGCCTACTAATTAATAGCTAAACTGAAGGTGGAAGAATCTTCAGTTCAGGAAGCGGTTAATGGAGGGGACAAGAGTTTCGGAGAAAGACAGGAAATGGCTCTGGAACAGGAAATGCACAGCGGACCAATAGAAAAAGGGGGCGGGCTCTCCAACGTGTCACCCACCTCCGGGGGCAACTCCTCACCCCCCTACTGCAGCGAGATCCCCACCCCCTGCAAAGGAGATTGCATTGCTATTCTGCTCTTAATGGATTTTTGTGGGGAAAACCAGACCGAAAAAGAAATGGGGAAACCTGGCAGGTTTTCAATCTGCCCACGAGGCGGGCAATTGCACGTGAGAAGCCGCCTTTGGAAGCACCGAAAGGGCCTTGGATTGGGACCCGCAGGAGATTCTGATGCTTTACTTAGGGCCAAACTCAAGAGGAACATCAGACAATCACAGCCTACTAAGGATTCAATCATTCACACCACTTTGTTCTTATTAAGACATTATCGTCAGGAAGCAAGGACGTCACCAGGGAAGAGTTAATTGCATACTGGGGTGAGATCGGAGTACTGAACGTTTTACGGCAGGCATGGGAAACTTTTGGCCCTCCAGATGTTCCTGCATCCGAGTCCAGTGTCCAGTCCTGGGTGCCAGAGTTTAAGAAGGATACTGACAAGCTGGGGCAGAGGTCAGCAAAAAATTTTTAGCCACGGGCCGGTCCACTGTCCCTCAGACCTTGTGGCCGGCCGGAGAAGCGTCACTCCCAGAGGTCTTTCTTCTTGGAATAACAGGTTTGGAAGTGCCCAAGAAAGATGTTAGACTGTTTTTGTATGTCACAACTGCTGCTAGAATTTTGTACGCTAAGAATTGGAAGACACAAGAAGTCCCAACAGTGGAGGAATGGCAGATGATGATGATGGACTTTTCGAAGCTAGCTGACCTGACTGGAAGAAGCCGTGACCAGAAAGAAGAAGAGTTTCAAGAGGACTGGAGGAAATTTAAGGACTATTTAGTTAAATATGTTAAGATAACTTCATTGGAAAAATTTGCAAATCTCAGATAGGCTTAGGATTTAAATATGTATTGTTAGAGAATAACATGTTTCAAGTTAAAATGAAAAGAAAGAAAGATGTTAAGGGATTAAGTTAATTTTATGAGAAAATTGGTTTTGGAAAACTGCTACAATGATATACGCTGAAATTCAGCCAGGGGGATTTGAGGAAGTCACTTAACAATGTTACTAAGATTGGATTAAGTACAATTAAGATGTTTGTTTGTTTGAAAATTTTGGAAAACCAATAAAAAAAAATTTGGAGGGAAAAAGAGAGAAGCATCACTGGTAGGGGGAAGCTGGAAGAAGAGGCGAGGGGAGCAAACAGTCCTCCTCCTCACCCCCCACCTCCAGTCCCAGCCGCTGCGCTTACCTCCCAGGGGCTGCCGCTGCTGCCGCCACTGCTTAGTAGGCAGAGCAAGTTTGTCCACTCCGCTCTCTGGCCCGCAGGAGCACCAGGGTGGCGGTGGCGGAGGGAAGATGAGTGGCGCAAAAGAGCTGGCTCCAGAGAGGGGCTGCTTAAAATGGCGCTCAGCCAGCCCCCTTCCTTCTCTAGGCAAGGCAGGGAGAAACTGGGAGGAGGGAGGGAGGGAGGAGGAGGAGCGGTGTGTGTGTGGAGTGGAATGGAATGGCGCAGGGGGGGGAATGGCGCAGCCCGAACAAACAATCCCCACGCCGATCCACGGACAGTCCACGGGCCGGATCCTGAAGGCAACTGGGCCTGATCCAGCCCACGGGCCTTAGTTTGCCGACCCCTGAGCTAGAGTATGTGGAGAGGATAATCAAGGGACTGGAAGCCATGCCTGATGAGGAACGGTTGAAGGAGCTGGGGATGTTTAGCCTGGAAAAGAGGAGATATGAGAACCATCTTCAAATATCTCAAGGGCTGTCCCATGGAAGAGAGAGCGAGCTTGTTTTCTGCTGCTCCAGAGGTCAGGACTCGAACGAATGGATTCAAATTACAAGGAAGGAGATTCCGACTAAACATCAGGAAGAACTTTCCGACAGTGAGAGTTATTCCATAGTGGAATGGACTCCCTCAGAAGGTGTTGGGCTCTCCTTAACTGGAGACTCTGAAACAGAGTTTGGACGGTCATCTGTCAGGAATGCTTTAGCTACGATTCCTCTTCCAACTGCACAATTCTACGATTCCAACTGCAACTCCCACCATCCCTGGCGGCTGGCCATGCTTGCTGCTGGGGGTTGCAGTTCAATAAACACACAAGACGTAACCGGCTGTACATTTGAAAAAATAATATATACTATTCATTGTATTGAATTGTAGATTTCAACAGAAGTAGCTCATAAAGTTCAACGAAAAACGTAGAAGCTTCATCAGTAGTATGAACTCTAGGTAATGCAAATAAATACGATAAAAACCGTCAACAACCGTACATACCATATATGATATCACAGGGCAGTGGATCTTATAGCATAGTAGTAGCTGCTGTAAGCAACAACATTTACAGAGTTATATGGACAAGCACAATATTTTGATTCGAGTAACAGGTGTTGGCAATCAACAGATAGAAAAATTTATTTCTTAAAGCGACCCATATGGCACCACAGAAATAAAACAAACTGAATCCATTCTCAGATGTTCCACATATAAACAGTAACGCACCTCATACAAAAATGTAATCAAATATCAGATCTAAAGTACTATGCTATAAGATCCACTGTCCTGTGATATCGTATGTGGTATGTACAGTTGTTGACGGTTTTTATATTATTTTACTTGTAAAAATGTGTGAGATTACGATATTGTACCGTAGTTTTCGCTCCGTAACACGCGTTTTTTTCCTCCTAGAAAGTAAGGGGAAATGTCTGTGCGTGTTACGGAGCAAATGCTTCCCTCGGGAGAAGAGCCGCTGAATGGGGAGGAGAGAGGGACAGAGTGCCTGCTTCTTTAAAGGAGCAAAGCGGGAGGGGAGAGGAGCCGCTTACACGAGTGTAAGCGGCTCCTGTCCGGTTGGCTCCTTTAAAGCAAAAAGCAAGCAGGCTCTCTGTATCTCTCTCCTCCCGCTTTGCTTTTCAGCTCGCTAAGGGCGGGGAGGAGGGAGAGAAGCAGAACCTGCTTGCTTTAAAGGAGCCTACCGGACAGGAGCCGCTTACACGAGTGTAAGCGGCTCCTGTCCGGTAGGCTCCTTTAAAGCAAGCAGGCTCTCTGTCCCTCCAGCAAAGTTTTTCAGCTCACTAAGGGGGGGGGGGGAGGAGGGAGAGAAGTAGAGCCTGCTCCACGCTTGCTCCTTGTCCCTCGAGTGCTTCTCCTTCCCTCCCCACTTAAAACGTGGTTACAAAGCACAGATCCACAGGGATCCTCCAAACTCACCGTCAGATCACATGTCTGTGGCCACAGCATGAACCACAAAAATCATACATCTACTGTTTCGTTTAGAATATTTTTTTTCTTGTTTTCCTCCTCTAAAAACTACATGCGTGTTATGGTCAGGTGCGTGTTATCGAGCGAAAAATACGGTATTTATTTGCATTACCTAGAGTTGGTACTACTGATGAAGCCTAGCATGGCAAAACAAGGCTAATATTCCGGAAATCCTTGTCTTAGACTCCGTGAAAGGATTCTGTGGAACTGCAACAACCTTTCATGTGGACTGTTGGACTCTTATGAACAGACAGGTGGAATAGACACTTTCACATATATGGACCTTATGCATAAACTGATTAAGAGAATGAACCGATCCACTGGGTCTTCTACTTTTCTCCCACTACGTTTCCGAGCACAATTCAAAGTGTTGGTGCTGACCTTTAAAGCCCTAAACGACCTCGGTCCAGTATATCTGAAGGAGCGTCTCCACCCCCATCGTTCAGCCCAGACACTGAGGTCCAGCTCCGAAGGCCTTCTGGCGGTTCCCTCCCTGCGAGAAGCCAAGTTACAGGGAACCAGGCAGAGGGCCTTCTTGGTAGTGGCGCCCGCCCTGTGGAACGCCCTCCCACCAGATGTCAAAGAAAAAAATAATTACCAAACTTTTAGAAGACATCTGAAGGCAGCCCTGTTTAGGGAAGCTTTTAGGTTATTGTATTTTAGTGTTTTGTTGGAAGCCGCCCAGAGTGGCTGGGGAAACCCAGCCAGATGGGCGGGGTATAAATAATAAATTATTATTATTATTATTTCTCGTTGAACTTTATGAGCTACTTCTGTTGAAATCTACAATTCAATACAATGAATAGTATATATTATTTTTTCAAACGTACAGCCGGTTACGTCTTGTGTGTTCATTGAAGATGTTTCACGTAACCAGGGGGTTCTAGTTCGACAACTTCTGGAAGGCCAAAGGTTCCTCACGCCTGCTCCAAAATATTGCACCAGGTTCCTCACCACGCCTGGACGTTATTGGAAGCCAGAAGCCAGCTCCACATCTCAATTAGGTATATTTGATTTACCCACCCACCCAAAACCCCACAATTCCTTCCCGCCACCCTCTCACTCTGTCAGTTTCCTCTTCGACGGAGGGATGAGGTGAGACGGGAGCTCGTTCGGCAACTCGTGGCCTTCCAACTTGACTTTGATGAGGTGGTTGGCCAAAGCAAACTCCTCGTCGTCAAGCATCCCGTCTTTGTCGATGTCAGACAGTTTCCAGATCTTGCCCAAGACAGTGTTCGGCAGCTTGGACCTCACCATCTCCTTCTTGGCGTTGGCGCCAGTGATCTTCCCGTCCACCGGCGAAAGCGTGTAGAAGATCTCGTCGTACATGGGCTTGTCTCTGGCCACCACCCAGTTGGCGTCGTCGATCCCTTCGCCGGCGCCCTCGCCGTAGCCGTGCCCAAAGGGGCCGTGCAAGGTGCCCTCGAAGGCGCCCCCTTTCACCATCTGCACGGGCCGCTGGGACTCCTCCTGGCGCACCAGCACCATCAGCTGCGCGATATCACTGGCAAGCATATCCTCAACGGCATCCAGCAGTTTGCTCTTCAAGGGCTGGAACTTACTGAAGTCTTGGCCCTGTAGCTGCTCCTGAAAGACAGAGCGACGGGCAATTCAGCGTTAAAAGAGGGGACTGCAATCAGCTTTGGCTGGGTCGGGATGATATGGGATTGGGGGCCATCTCCTGCGGGGGCACAATTAGTGCCAGCACCGTCCGTTAAGAGTTTGGGTGTAATCTTCGACACCTCCCTTTCCATGGAGGCACAGATTGCAGCTATAACAAAGGCGGCATTTTTTCATCTCCGCCAAGCTAAGCAGTTGGCTCCTTACCTCTCTTGCCCTGACCTAGCCACTGTGATCCACGCGACGGTCACCTCCAGATTGGATTATTGTATCTCGCTCTACGTGGGGTTGCCCTTGAGACTGACCCGGAAACTCCAGCGGGTGCAGAATGCCGCGGTGAGACTCCTTACGGGGTCCTCGCTGTGAGATCACATTCACCCGGTGCTATACCAGCTGCACTGGCTCCCGGTGGAGTACAGGATCAGGTTCAAGGTGCTGGTTTTAACCTTTAAAGCCCTATACGGCCTAGGACCCTCGTACCTACGGGACCGCCTCTCCTGGTATGTCCCATGGAGGACCTTACGGTCTTCAAACAAAAACATCTTGGAGGTCCCGGGCCACAGAGAGGTTAGGCTTGTCTCAACCAGAGCCAGGGACTTTTCAGTACTGGCTCCGATCTGGTGGAACGCTCTGTCCCAAGAGACTGGGGCCCTGCGGGACTTGACATCTTTCCACAGGGCCTGCAAGACAGAGCTGTTCCACCAGGCCTTTGGCCAAGGCACAGTCTCACCTCCTCCTTTGGTAATCCTTACAGAACTCTAGCACAATGGTTGCCATGAATTTGATTCTGAATTGATTTCAGAAGGTATTTCAATTAATTGATTGTGATTTTATGTAAACTGTGCTATTTTTACTGGCATTAGCCGCTTTGGCTGGGGAGGGCGGGATATAAATAAAATTTTATTGTTATTATTTATTACAACCAAGCCTCCTGAGAAGTAGCTCTCAAACGTTTTCCCTCCGGAATAAAAATTCGCCACACTGATTTTTAAATTGGCAAGAAATATGTTTGGTTGGGGGGAGAAACAACTCCTAGCAGTGCTTGGTTTTGAAAATATACCTATCCATACCTGGAAGATTTAATGAGAGGTGTGCACTGGCTTTTGCAGCACTTCTATTAGGCCTGACTTGAGACAAACTAACTGCAATCCCCTCATCAGCACAAAGAAGGATTTCTCTTTTCTGATCTTTCCTATTTGTCAGAGTTGGAAATCCCTCTTCACGACAATATGTTGCAGAGAAGCACAGAAGAATGGCCAATGCTCTTGAAGAGGGGCCTAGGTACTAGTTCTGGTTGTAAAGGTAAAGGGACCCCTGACCATTAGGTCCAGTGGCGGACGACTCTGGGGTTGCGGTGCTCATCTCGCTTTATTGGCCGAGGGAGCCGGTGTACAGCTTCCGGGTCATGTGGCCAGCATGACTAAGCTGCTTCTGGTGAACCAGAGCAGTGCACGGAAACGCCGTTTACCTTCCCGCCGGAGTGGTACCTATTTATCTACTTGCACTTTGACGTGCTTTTGAACTGCTAGGTTGGCAGGAGCAGGGACCGAGCAACGGGAGTTCACCCCGTCGTGGGGATTCGAACCGCCGACCTTCTGATCGGCAAGTCCTAGGCTCTGTGGTTTAACCCACAGCGCCACCCGTGTCCCAGTTCTGGTTGAATATCCCCCAAAATTATTTTGATACTATACTACACTGAAACGTGTTAACGCTTCTTTGATTGTCCTTGAATCTTCCTGCCACAATTGTCATCACATCCGACCACACCACTGTGGCGTGCCACACCCTCTGAGAACAACGGCCTTATGAGGAATGGTTGAGGGAGCTGGGTACATTTAGCCTGGAAGAGGAAACTCGGAGGTGATAGGATAGCCATCTTCAAATATCTGGAGGGCTGTCGAGGGCGTTGACTTTTAACGCCCTAAATGGCTCTGGCCCATTAAACCTGAAGGAGCGTCTCCGCCCCCATTGTTTGGCCCGGACACTGAGGTCCAGCTCCGAGGGCCTTCTGGCGGTTCCCTCCCTGCGAGAAGTGAAGTTACAGGGCTTTCTCGGTGGTGGCGCCCGCCCTGTGGAATGCCCTCCCACCAGATGTCAAGGAGATGAATAACTACACAACTTTTAGAAGACTTCTGAAGGCAGCCCTGTATCGGGAAGCTTTTAACGTTTGACATGTTGCTGTGTTTTTATTATGTCGGAAGCTGCCCAGAGAGGCTGGGGAAACCCAGTCAGATGGGTGGGGTATGAAATATAATTCTGATTACGACAGCGGATTAAAATTACAAGAAAGGCGATTCGAACTCAAGGTTAGGAAGAGCTTTTTGACAGCAATCGCCGTTTGACAGTAGGATGGGACTTCCTCCGATGGACTCTCTTTCCTTGGAGATTTTAAAGCAGAGATGGGATGGCCATCTATCACAGACGCTTCAGCTGAGATTCCTGCATTGCAGGGGGTTGGACTAGAGGACCTCAGGGGTCCCCAATTTCGAACTCTACAATTCTATGATTATTCTGACTCTGAAATTTAGAAAGCAGGCTTCCTCCCCAGAACGATAATCTGAACCGAAAATGAGATTTCTCTTCTGGCCGAAAGGAAAGCTTTCCTTCCAAACCGGAACGTTCTAGCCAAGGTGGGCAGCAAAGTTCATCTTTGCCTCAGACCTCCCTCTGTGCAAGTGAAACTGAGGAGTTTTCCGTCCCGGTTCTCAGATGCGCTTTGTTTTTCCTGGCATTCACCTGCATCTTCTTCAGATTGGGAAAGTCTCCCGGCGAAATCTGATGCTCCCGTTCGATGCGCCCGTAGATCTCGCCCAAATTGTTCACGAGCTCTTTCTTCTTGTTGTCTTTCCCAAACACCGAGGGCATTTCCTTCTTAAGGGAGCTAATGATGTAGGCGTGGACCTAAGGACATCACAGAAAGGAGGTGTAAATACTTTGCGACTGCCATAAAACTTAGGGAACAAGCTGTATTACCAAAATGATTAAGGTTTTAAATGATAATTTTAGGTTATATTTTAGCAACCAAGATTTAATATATTTTTTTAACTGCCGCTATATCTGAATTGTCTCTGTTACACCCAACTGCAATTCAATGTATCCCTGTTGTGTTTTATGAAGTGACCCAGAACTGGTCTGTGACTGTAATAATAAAGTTGTTCTTCTAAATATTTTGTGTTTTTTTTAGACAACAACACCACCTCATTCTCATCTGATTCTCCATCCCTCCTGCCCAAATATTCTCCTCTTTTTCTGCAAAGAGCTCAAGGTGATTCCTCCTTTCCCATTTTATCCCAACCACCCTACGAGGTAGAGTCATAGCTGTCAACTTACAGATTTGAAAATAAGGGATCAGCAGCCAAAATAAGGGATTTTCCAGGCACAGGTATGTTCAACTTCTGAGCCCCTCTGAGCCAAAGGCAGAAAGCCCAGCCAGCAGCCAAATGAAGCCTCATCAATAAGGGACAGTAGCAGGACATGGCACTGGGATAAGGGCTGTCCCACCAAATAAGGGACACTTGACAGCTATGGGTAGATTAGGCTAAGAGACAGAAGCTCACCCAATGAGCTTCACAGCCGAGTCAGGATTTGTCTCTCGTCTCCCAGGTCCTAGTCTGGCTCTCTAGCCCAGTTTTTCCTCAAACCTGGGTCCCTGATAATCTCAGGTATGTTGAGCATCTTCCCCAAACCATCTTTTTATGGGACTGATGGGATCTGCGATCCAAAATATCTGGAAGCCCTCAGGTTAGCGAAGGCTGCACTACGTCACACTGGTTCTCAGGTAGACACAGTTGAATTTTATTTTATTTTGCATGTTTCTGAGCAGGACGCAGGACAAAACAGATGCCTTGCAACACTCCGTTTCAAAATACTTTTTCCGTCGTGACATTTCTTGGGTGCTTTGAGCGCAGCACAGTCCCTTAGGTCAAGCTATCCTCAGTCTGATGATGAGGACAAACAGAAAGAAGGGGTAGAAAGCAGCCTGTAACTGCAAAATTATAGCAGTACCTCGGTTTTCAAACGTCTCCGTTGACGAATGTTCCGGAACTCGAATGCCAAAAACCTGGAAGTAAACGCTTCCGTTTCTGAACGCGCCTCGGAAGTCGAACGGCTTCCACTGAGGTACCACTGAATTTTTATCAATTTTGTCTGTAAATTTGCGGACTGCCTCGGTTTTCAAACGTTTCGGAAGCTGAATGGCCTTCCGGAACGGATTACGTTCGAAAACTGAGGTTCCACTGTATAACCAGAGCCAGCGTGATGTGGTGCTTAGAGGAGGCCTTTCTCAAATGTGGGTCTCCAACTGCCGCTGGACTACAACTCCCATCATCCCTGACCACTGGGTCCTGGAAGCTAGGGAAGATGGGAGTTGTAGTCCGACAGCAGCCGGGGGACCCAAGTTTGAGGAACGCTAGGCTAATCTCTGGGACTGGCCAAGTGGGCAGAGAAAAGCTCTCCTTGTGCACCTGCTTCCGAAAATCCCTTCAGGATTGAAAAACATCTTCATGTATGCGACAACGGCTGCGAGAGTTCTGGTAGCACAAGGATGGAAGACTGAAGAAACCCCAACTAAAGAATCATGGCAAGAAAAATTGACGGACTAGGCAGAACTGGCAAAACTGACATACAAGCTACGGGACAAGGATAACTGTGACTTTAAGGATGAATGGGAACCCTTTACAAAGGATCTGAAGATGCAACAAAGTGAACTGGTCTCCTTGGCAAGTTTTGAATAAACATTCACAAACCTTTTATTGATAATAATCAGCTAAATAGTTTGAGGATCTATACAACTTTGTAGCATGCAGAAAACAGCATTCTTAGAGAAACCAAAGACTGGAACTGAGGGAAGTCGGGGGGTGGGTGGGAGGGAGGACAAATGGGGGGGGGAACAAGAATGATATGTTTTTGGATAATATGTCGTTATAATTTTGAATTTTTTTCAAAAAAGGAATAGGCCACTGGGGAGAGAGACAGACAGACAGACAGACAGACAGACATTCACCTTGGCCAGCCTTGCCCGCTTAATGAGGTCGTTCAGTTTCCGGAGGGCTGCGTTTCGGGGCAGGCTCTGGATATCCCTGAAGAGGTCCTGCTCCTCTGCCTCGAAGAGCTTGCGGTTATCGGGGATGAGGAGCGGGTGAGACCAGAAGGAGCCGATGTAGACCCTGATGACCTCGGGCGTGTTGACGATCTTCCCCAGCGACCACATGAGCGCCCCGTAGACCCTCATCAGCTGCTGTGTCTCGATCTGGTCCGCCTTGTTGAGCACCACCCTCATCTTGTCCTCGTGGTTCTTCAGGGCTTTGATGACCTCGGAGAACTCGTCCGAGATGTCCAGCTTGTGGGCGTCGAAGAGGAGGATGATGCGGTCCACCCGCTCGGCAAACCACTCCAGGACGGCGGCGAAGTCGTAGCCTACGTCGGGGAAGGAGAGAGGGGAGTCCCGTCAGAACACCAGGGATGGCTCCGTCGGTTGTGGAGCTCAAAACGCTAAGGCCATCCATGTAATAAGGGGCAGCTACATATTCCTGCGGGGACGCGGGTGGCGCTGTGGGTTAAACCACAGAGCCTAGGACTTGCCGATCAGAAGGTCGGCGGTTCGAATCCCCGCAACGGGGTGAGCTCCCATTGCTCGGTCCCTGCTCCTGCCAACCTAGCAGTTCGAAAGCATGTCAAAGTGCAAGTAGATAAATAGGTACCGCTCCGGCGGGAAGGTAAACGGCGTTTCTGTGCGCTGCTCTGGTTCGCCAGAAGCGGCTTAGTCATGCTGGCCACATGAGCCGGAAGCTGTACACCGGCTCCCTCGGCCTATAGAGCGAGATGGTTCTATAGAGAACCAAACCGAACAATGTGCTTAAGTTTTTACTCTGCTAACTATATGTCGGAGTTCTGCTCTGGATCAATATTGAGTAGAATTCCATATTGAGTAGAATTCCGTATTGGGTTATTGCAATGTACTCTGCATGGACTGGCCTTGAAGGCGACTAAGAAACTTCAGCTGGTCCAAAACTGACCAGGGTTCCATGTAGATCTCATATAACGCCTGTTTTAAAACAGCCACATCAGTCACCGGTTCATTTCCAGGCGCAATTCAAGGTTCTCGTGCCTTTGTAACGCAGTGGTACCTTGGTTCTCAAACTTAGTCCGTTCCAGAAGACCGTTCCAAAACCGAAGCACGCTCTCCCATAGAAAGCAATGGATTAATCTGTTCCAGACTTTTAAAAACGACCCCGAAAATAGCAATTTAACATGAATTTTACTATCTAACAGGACCATTGATCCATAAAATGAAAGCAATAAACAATGTACTGCAGTCACACAATCAGTAGCTGAACTGGGTTCCACACAAAAAGAAAAAAAGAGCCACAAAAACGCAAAATAAATAGCAAAAACAGACGGGCCTCAGCGTAACACTCAGAACGAAAGTGTGGCACTCAAATCAGAAGCGTAACACTCAAAACGGAGCACGTTCGGCTTCTGAAAAAAGTTCGTAAACCGGAACACTTCTGGGTTTGCAGTGTTTGGGTTCCAAGGCGTTTGAGAACCAAGGTACCACTGTATATAAAGGTGAAAAATTATGCATGTTCTTCCTAGCCAGGAACTGCTGCTCCAGGGCGAGAGCTGCTTCTTATTTCTCCATAGGAAAACTTAACAAATAGCAGAAAAGGACACAGTGGGAATACTCTGGCTGCAGCGAATCCCAAGGGAAAATTGCACAAGCGGCTTTTCACAGCCTTACATCTGCCCTGCTTCTCTCAGCCAAAGGGAAAAGAGATGCTTGCAGGTCAGGCTTCCAGAACTAACATTTGCATTAAGACAAAGCAGCACAGGGCATGTCCCGGGTTCAAGTCTCGCTCAAGGGCTCGTCGTACGACCCAGATTCAGATCTCTCTACGTTGCTGCACAGGAGGGGGTCATTTTGGCTCAATCGCTGCAGCTGGATACATATGGAATAATAAGAACTGTAGAGTTGGAAGAGGCCCCGTAAAAACCATTCCGAAAAGAACTGGAATGATTATGCTTCGGGATTCTGAACGATTTATTAAGAAAGGGGAATTAGTTTCTCTCTCTCTCTCCCCCAATAATTTGTTGGTTTTGCAACCATACCAGGTCCGTCAACAATTTCAGATTTTCTAATTTCTTCGGACAGCGACGCATAAAAGGCAAACTTGCTGAAAGTGCTCTCAATGTTGGCACCTGCCACTGATCAAACAGGCCTTGGAAATGTTTTCTGGCAAGGCTAAGTCAGCGCTTAGCAAAAGCACCACTCCCATTCTTAATTGTTCCAAGAACTGACCACTTAATTGGTTTATATAAGGAGACGGACAATGTGTATTGCAACGGTTCTCAACCTGTGGCTCCCTAAATGTTGTTGGACTACAACTCCCATCATCCTTGAGCTCTGGCATTGCTACCTAGGGGTGATGGGAGTTGTAGTCCAACAACATCTGGGGACCCACAGGTTGAGAAAGGCTGCTGAGCAGGAACAATACTAACATTAATGGTAAAGATAAAGGGACCCTTGACCATTAGGTCCAGTCGTGACCGACTCTGGTGTTGCGGCACTCATCTCGCTTTATTGGCAGAGGGAGCCAGCGTACAGCTTCCGGGTCATGCGGCCAGCATGACTAAGCCTCTTCTGGCGAACCAGAGCAGCGCACGGAAACGCCGTTTACCTTCCCGCCGGAGCGGTACCTATTTATCTACTTGCACTTTGACGTGCTTTCGAACTGCTAGGTGGGCAGGAGCAGGGACTGAGCAACGGGAGCTCACCCCATCACGGGGATTCAAACCGCCGACCTTCTGATCGGCAAGTCCTAGGCTCTGTGGTTTAACCCACAGCGCCACCTGCATCCCTAGCAATGCTAACATTAAGACTCACTAACTCAGGCCTTCGTCAACCTGGTGCCCTCCAGGTGTTTTTCAACTACTGCTCCCATCAGTCCCCCGCCCCCAGACAGCACTGAGCTTTTCTGCTGCTAGTTGCACCCGAGATCTCCTCCACACAGTCATTTAGTGAGTGAGCACCTGAGCATGTGCAGAGTGCTCACCACCCCACGCCCGTACAGCAGAATTTGCTGTTGCCATAATGACAAAGGATGGCATGTGTGATGCAGCCGAAATTTCAGCCCTTGAGAGCACGAAAAAGTGGAAGCAGAGATGCTGGGTTCGACTGGATTACAACAGGAAGAAGGCAGAAACATATGGAAAATAAACACCTCACACAGGGAAATTTTATAGGATGCAAGCTCCTCTTGCTCAAATAAAATTCATTAAATGTGCAATTACGAACGATAGTCAAGAAACCAGTGGCTGCTGAACGAAGGAGCAAGATCAGAACTGTTGTAACTGGATTAATCAAGATTACGGAAGCAGAAAGAAATAAGAATTTGGCACCCTGAAATCCAGCACACAGGAACTCACCTAGAATAGTTTAATTTGGACTTTTAATAACTGGCTCTTTTAATTGTATTGTAGGAAATCATCCCCGAGTGCTCACTGGAAGGACAGATCCTGAAGCTGAGGCTCCAAGACTTTGGCCACCTCAGGAGAAGAGAAGACTCCCTGGAAAAGACCCTGATGTTGGGAAAGATGGAGGGCACAAGGAGAAGGGGATGACGGAGGGCGAGATGGTTGGACAGTGTCCTCGAAGCTACCAGCATGAGTTTGACCAAACTGCGGGAGGCAGTGGAAGACAGGAGTGCCTGGTGTGCTCTGGTCCAGGGGGTCACGAAGAATCGGACACGACCAAACAACAACAACAAAGTCGGTATTGTGATAATGTGGCTTTTATTGGATTATTGTAATTGAAAATTAATAAAAACCATTATTAAAAAAAGGGGGACTTAGGCAGCTGGGGGAAGGCAGAGATCTCCAGTCTCTGCAACTGCCCCCCAAGGGCAAGACTTACAGAAGAAGATTTGCTGTGCAGATCCCGTGGTTTTCCCCCCTAATAATTTACTTTATGTGATTTACTGCCTTCTGCATGCAAGGCAAGTGATCTCCCAGGGAGCCCTTCTCCAAACAGACAGCTGGGTTGGCGAAACGATTTTCCCAGACGGTCCCCGCGTCCCACAAAAGGAGAAATGTTCTTGCTCTGGAGTCCGTTAGCGGTTCAGAGGCCGTAGAAGGGACTGGAGACCTTCGCAAAGAGGAGCCTTGATGAATTTTCAGAGTTGGCCTGTCTCTCCCACCTTCAAGGATGACTGGAAAGGTCAGGAGGACTTGGCAAAATGCGTCAAGCCTCGTTTCACACACAGGCCTGGCTCACTAACGAGCACAGAAAAGGGACATTTGGAAAGAGAAATTCAGGCCAACAGAGTGAGAAATATCAAGGGTGTCAGCGGCCGAGGTAATTATCGATAGATCCCGAGAGAGAAGCCTATTTATAGCCGAACCAACACGGACGATAGCTATTTATAGAAAACGTTTTTTTCTTTTAAATACCCGAGAACGCACCACTGGCAGCAGCCGCTATTCAACGTGGCATTGGGGAGAAACTTGGCTCAGCCACGGGTTCAAACAGCCACAAAGGATGACTTTAAACCCTGAGCAAGATTTTCTTTATGAATCCCAAGCTGGAATTAAGATTGCCGGAAGAAATATCAACAACCTCAGATGTGCAGATGACACAACCTGGATGGCAGAAAGTGAGGAGGAATTAAAGAACCTTTTATTGAGGGTGAAAGAGGAGAGCGCAAAATATGGTCTGAAGCTCAACATAAAAAAAAAAAACGAAGATCACGGCCACTGGGCCCATCACCTCCTGGCAAATAGAAGGGGAAGAAATGGAGGCAGTGAGAGATTTTACTTTTATTGGGCTTCGCCTTCTAAATCCGGCCCACAGACGGTCCGGGGAATCGGCGTGTTTTTACTTAAGTAGAATGTGTGCTTTTATTTAAAATGAATCTCTGGGTTATTTGTGGGGCATAGGAATTCGTTCATTTTTTCCCAAAATATAGTCCAGCCCCCCACAAGGTCTGAGGGACAGTGGACCGGCTCCCTGCTGAAAAAGTTTGCTGACCCCTGGTTTAGACTTATTATGAGTAATTGTAAGTTTAAGTTAAGTCTGCTGCAACTGGATTTCTTATGGACAGGGCCAATCCTGAATGTATTGGATTTGTGACCATTACAGTGGTACCTCTGGTTGCGGACTGGATCCGTTCCGGAGCTCTGGTCGGATCAAGAGGTTTCTGCAACTGGAGGTGCCTGTTCTGCATATGCGCGAGCGGCGAAACCCGGAAAAATACTTCCAGGTTTGCCTCTTTCGCAACGTAAACCAAGGTTCTACTGTATGCTGATTTGCCTTCAGTAGCAGTAGAGCTCTGCTGGATGAAGTTATCAATTGCCTCTGGTCTATCGTTTGGGAACTCTGCAACGTGCTTAAGCTTTTACTCCTCAGCAATGACATCCAGAGAAGCTGCTGCTTTCACTTTACCTCGGCTGATTCGCTGCTTCTCCCCGGAAAGGATCCCTGGAGTGTCAATCACGCTGATGCTCTCCAGAACCGGATTTGGCAGCTGCGCACAAACAAATCTAAGGGGTGGAAAGGCAGAAGAAAAATGTCACAACGAGGTAATACAAGGGACAGAACAAGGACAATATTTCGGGTGAGAATTAAGCCTTGGCCCACTGGTTTTCCTCCGAAGTTCTCCACTGAAATGCATTGCATGTGCTGAAGACTAAAGGGTAAAGGTAAAGGGACCCCTGACAATTAAGTCCAGTCGCGAACGACTCTGGGGTTGCGGCGCTCCTCTTGCTTTACAGGCCGAGGGAGCCGGCGTTTGTCTGCTTCTGCAGACAGTTTTTCCGGGTCATGTGGCCAGCATGACTAAGCCTCTTCTGGCGAAACCACAGCAGTGCACGGAAACGCCGTTTACCTTCCCGCCGGAGCGGTACCTATTTATCTACTTGCACTTTGACATGCTTTCAAACTGCTAGGTTGGCAGGAGCAGGGACCGAGCAACGGAAGCTCACCCCATCGCGGGGATTCGAACCGCTGACCTTCTGATCCTCCGTAAAAACAAGCCCAATGGAGTCAGTGTGGCCCAGTGGCTAGATTGTCAGACTAGGACCTAGGAGACCCGGGTTCAAATCTCCACCTGGTCACGAGCTCCCTTGGTGACTGTGGGCCAGTCACAGTCTTTCTGCCTAGCCTACCTCACAGTCTTGTTGTTGGGAATTAAAAACGAAGATCATGGCTACTAGGCCCATCACCTCCTGGCAAATAGAAGGGGAAGAAATGGAGGAAGTGAGAGATTTTACTTTCTTGGGCTCCATGATCGCTGCAGATGGTCACGAAATTAAAAGACGCCTGCTTCTTGGGAGAAAAGTAATGACCAACCTAGACAGCATCTTAAAAAGCAGAGACATCACCTTGCCGACAAAGGTCCGTATAGTTAAAGCTATGGTTTTCCCAGTAGCGATGTACGGAAATGAGAGCTGGACCATAAAGAAGGCTGATCGCTGGAGAATGGATGCTTTTGAATTCTGGTGCTGGAGGAGACTCTTGAGAGTCCCATGGATTGCAAGAAGATCAAACCTCTCCATTCTTAAGGAAATCAGCCCTGAGTGGTCACTGGAAGGACAGATCCTGAAGCTGAGGCTCCAATACTTTGGCCACCCCATGAGAAGAGAAGACTCCCAGGAAAAGAGCCTGATGTTGGGAAAGATGGAGGGCACAAGGAGAAGGGGACGACAGAGGACGAGATGGTGGGACAGTGTTCTCGAGGCTACAAACGTGAGTTTGACCAAAGTGCGGGAGGCAGCGGAAGACAGGAGGGCCTGGCGTGCTCTGGTCCAGGGGGTCACGAAGAGTCGGACACGACTAAACGACTAAACAACAACAACATGCCACCTTGAGCTCCTTGGAGAAAAAGGTGGGGCATTAATCCAGCAAAGAAAAATAATGAAATCCAAATGGAAAAATTCATCCTGAAATCCAAACCCGGAAACAACAACTCGTTTAATGCTCCACATGGCGAACACCACCATGGCCAGCCCCGTATGTAACAGGCAGACAGCAGAATATCTCTTTCCCTTTAATACCAGCCTCCTGATGTTTTGGAAGGAAATGTTCTTGATTATTTAGCTGTCCAAACAATAAATCAGATCTAGGCCCCCCTGCTAAGAGTTGTCTTCCACACTCTCTTCACCCTCTTCCGACAGTTAAAAGGCAGCCGCCGAGAAAAATGTTTTCATGTGTTAAATTTAGGGTTTCGCCACAAGGGTTTGTTTGTCCTGCTTTTAAGCCTTTGCCCCGGCAGGAGTCCGACCTGCTAGTTAGCATCTGAGAAAGCGCTGGGGCTAAGTAAATGCCAGGAAAGTCAGGAGGCAAATTTGGCCAGGGACAAAGGCACGCACAAAAAACATTGTTCCTTTCGGCGCCTGCCTCAAAACAGCACACACACACACACAAACTGCTTGAGGCATCATTAGAATCAAAGATAAACTAAAAACTTGATTAAAACACATGTCGGCATTCTACCTATCAGAATAGGCTGGCCTAAGCAAGAATGTTTGTAAAGGTAAAAGTAAAGGGACCCCTGACCATTAGGTCCAGTCGTGGCCGACTCTGGGGTTGCGGCACTCATCTCGCTTTATTGGCTGAGGGAGCCTGTGTACAGCTTCCGGGTCATGTGGCCAGCATGACTAAGCCGCTTCTGGCGAACCAGAGCAGCACACGGAAACACCGTTTACCTTCCCACCGGAGCGGTACCTATTTATCTACTTGCACTGGTGTGATTTCGAACTGCTAGGTTGGCAGGAGCAGGGATTGAGCAACGGGAGCTCACCCCGTCGCGGGGATTCGAACCGCCGACCTTCGGATCGGCAAGTCCTAGGCTCTGTGGTTTAACAGACATTAAACTAGGACGTTTGTAGCAGGCGCCAAAAAGAGAAAACAGGGAAGGCACCTGCTGCCTGATGTCAACAGGCAGGGAGTTCCATAGAGCATTATCACTGTGTTGCATTATAAAGCAGCTCTGGAGAGCGGAGGGGAAGAAGAGGATGGATGGATTCGAGAGACTCTATACAGGACTCTGAATCTGCTCAAGTGGCCTCAATGGTAGCTTTTTTCTGGCATGGCGGTATATAGACGTTGACCAGCAATAAAGAGGCACTCCTTAGTTTGAGTAGGACGGCCACTGCAAGTGAGTTGCAAGAGGTTGAAGCTGTTGTAATGTGGTCTAGCGCTGTGGAGATAAAACAGGCTAGACCCCCGCTGGGCCTTCCTCCCCTTGAGGAGGGGGTGGCAGGCAAAGAATGGCAACTATAGCCATTAAGCGTTATAGGGTCGCTATGCCATGTGTCTTGGTGGAGCATGATGTCAAATTACATAAGGTAGGACATTAGGTGTTGGTTAAGGTCCGTATAGTTAAAGCTCTGGTTTTCCCAGTCGTGATGTATGGAAGTGATAGCTGGACCATAAAGAAGGCTGATGGCCGAAGAATGGATGCTTTCAAATTCTGGTGCTGGAGGAGATTCTTGAGAGTCCCATGGACTGCAAGATCAAACCTATCCACTCTTAGGGAAATCAGCCCTGAGTCCTCACAGGAAGGACAGATCCTGAAGCTGAGGCTCCAAGACTTTGGCCACCTCAGGAGAAGAGAAGACTCCCTGGAAAAATACCCTGATGTTGGGAAAGATGGAGGGCACAAGGAGAAGGGGACGACAGAGGAAGAGATAGTGGAACAGTGTTCTCGAAGCTACCAACATGAGTCTGACCAAACTGTGGGAGGCAGTGGAAGACAGGAGTGCCTGGAGTGCTCTGGTCCAGGGGGTCACGAAGAGTCGGACACGGCTAAACAACAAATTCTTCTTTGCGTGCCAGCCTGCTATGTTCCCGGACAGCAACTTTAGACCCTGTTCCCTCAAGAGACCTGTTTCCATCATTTCCACCTTGTCTAGGAGCCCTACTTTGTCTAAAAAAAACCTCCCATTTGCTCTGTCGGTGGGGGTCTGTTTGGTAGAGCTATAGTGTCCCTCTGTTCTTGGGGGGGGGGGGTTAGCTATCTAATTTGGGGACAACCTGAGGTAGCCAAGCCAGGAGCTTGAGATCTTCACGACCTGGTTGGCCCCTGCCATGTCGTACTAACTGACGGCTGATTCAGGACTTTAAACTGTGCTCTTATATCAAATTTCCTTTTCTGCATATACTGTAATGTTTTACTGTTGCTATGGCCATTGGCTAATGCGAATAAAGTTTTATCTTTAAGGCGGTGAAGGTCCTGTGTGAGTGCCTGGAGGTGGTTGGAGGATGGATGGTGGCTAACGGATTGAGGTTGAATCCTGACAAGACAGAAGTACTGTTTTGGGGGGACAGGAGGCGGGCGGGTGTGGAGGACTCCCTGGTCCTGAATGGGGTCACTGTGCCCCTGAAGGACCAGGTGCGCAGCCTGGGAGTCATTTTGGACTCACAGCTGTCCATGGAGGCGCAGGTTAATTCTGTGGTCCAGGGCAGCTGTCTACCAGCTCCATCTGGTACGCAGGATGAGACCCTCCCTGCCTGCAGACTGTCTCGCCAAAGTGGTGCATGCTCTAGTTATTTCACGCTTGGACTACTGCAATGCGCTCTATGTGGGGCTACCTTTGAAGGTGACCCGGAAACTACAACTAATCCAGAATGCGGCAGCTAGACTGGGGACTGGGAGCGGCCGCCAACACCACATAACACCGGCCTTGAAAGACCTACATTGGCTCCCAGTACGTTTCTGAGCACAATTCAAAGTGTTGGTGTTGACCTTTAAAGCGCTAAACGGCCTCGGTCCAATATACCTGAAGGAGCGTCTCCACCCCCATCGTTCTGCCCGGACACTGAGGTCCAGCTCCAAGGGCCTTCTGGCGGTTCCCTCATTGCGAGGTTACAGGGAACCAGACAGAGGGCCTTCTCGGTAGTGGCACCCGCCCTGTGGAACGCCCTCCCATCAGATGTCAAGGAAATAAGCAGCTATCCTATCTTTAAAAGACATCTGAAGGCAGCCCTGTTTAGGGAAGTTTAGGGAGAGCCAGTGTGGTGTAGTGGTTAAGAGCGGTAGTCTCGTAATCTGGGGAACCGGGTTCGCGTCTCCGCTCCTCCACCTGCAGCTGCTGGGTGACCTTGGGCTAGTCACACTTCTCTGAAGACTCTCAGCCCCACTCACCTCACAGAGTGTTTGTTGTGGGGGAGGAAGGGAAAGGAGAATGTTAGCCGCTTTGAGACTCCTTAAAGGGAGTGAAAGGCGGGATATCAAATCCAAACTCTTCTTCTTCTTAATATTTAATGCTGTATTGTTTTTAACACTTGATTGGAAGCCGCCCAGAGTGGCTGGGGAAACTCAGCCAGATGGGCAGGGTATAAAAAATTATTATTCTTATTATTATTATCTATCTTGAGAGCAGAGCGCTCCTCACTGACCTGTTCAAGAAGGCATTGCCGAAGGCATTCAGTTTCCTGAAAGGCTTCTTGGGATCAACCACCAGCGCATTCCCGGGAATTATGCCTTCCACGTCGCCCTGCATCACGGCAATGAAGGAGTCCGTCGTGGGCTCTGGACCAATCCTCATACCGGGAAATTCTTGCTCGAGGAGGTACCTAGGAACAGACATAAAAGCATGAGATATGCCACTGGTTCCACTTAAGATGCTGCGTGCTCAGAGGTTGGCCGCTAGTTGCAAATCTGAAGCTAGATGATGCCTCCTTTAGCAGGCAGCTCCTAACCCATACAAAATGCCAACCACAGAGCCATGGGCTTGCCGATCAGAAGGTCGGCAGTTCGAGTCCCCGCGACGGGGTGAGCTCCCGTTGCTCGGTCCCTGCTCCTGCCGACCTAGCAGTTTGAAAGCACGTCAAAGTGAAAGTAGATAAATAGGTACCACTCCGGTGGGAAGGTAAACGGCGTTTCCGTGTGCTGCTCTGATTCGCCAGAAGCGGCTTAGTCATGCTGGCCACGTGACCCGGAAAAACTGTGGACAAACGTTGGCTCCCTCAGCCAGTAAAGAGAGGAGCATCGCAACCCCAGAGTGGTCCGCGACTGGACCTAACGGTCAGGGGTCCCTTTACCTTTTGGTTTATTAAATTGTGATTTATTTTATCACATTTATTATGGTTTCATTACTGCCAACAACACACCATTTGAAGCTGTCGGCTTACAAACCCTGGTTTGTTTTAATCATGGGTAGGCAAACTAAGGCCCGGGGGCCAGATCTGGCCCAATCAGCTTCTAAATCTGGCCCATGGACGGTCTGGGAATCGGCGTATTTTTACATGAGTAGAATGTGCCCTTCAATTTTAAAATTGACCCATCTCTGGGTTATTTGTGGGGCCTGCCTGGTGTTTTTACGTGAGTAGAATGTGTGCTTTGATTTCAAATGCATCTCTGGGTTATTTGTGGGGCATAGGAATTTTTTTCAAAATATAGTCCGGCCCCCCACATGGTCTGAGGGACGGTAGACCTTAGGTTGCCTACCCCTGCTGTTATCTAATATTAAAGAGTGCTTGTAGACTGATGATTAGGCAGCATAGACTAAGGGTATGAGTCTTATGGCTACTGATTAATTTCATGTACAGTGGTACCTCGGGTTAAGTACTTAATTCGTTCCGGAGGTCCGTTCTTAACCCGAAACTGTGCTTAACCTGAAGCACCACTTTAGCTAATGGGGCCTCCCGCTGCTGCCGTGCTGCTGGAGCACGATTTCTGTTCTCATCCTGAAGCAAAGTTCTTAACCCGAGGTACTATTTCTGGGTTAGCGGAGTCTGTAACCTGAAGCGTATGTAACCTGAGGTACCACTGTAATACAAAAAACAGTGACAATTTGTCGTTGACAAAGGGCAGCTGGATATATACAGGGCCCCATTACCTTCGGTAGCTTAGGGCCTCATCAAACCTAAATCTGGCCCTAGGGCTATCCACCAGCAATGAACTATTTTTGCATCAACGACATTCTGCCGTACACAGCGCCGAAACCCCCTGCCCAAGCCCCCAGGACAAGCGGACCAGGAAATATGAGCAAAAGCTGGACACTTGATGCACAAAAGACAAAACCTGCAGCCAGCCTGCGCAGGTGCGGCGGAAAAAACACACCTGGACAGTATCATTTACACCCCCTACCCAAGTAGACCTGAGCAATTTGTACGCAAGATCTCAAAAGAACAAGGATTTCATTGTACTAGGGTGATGCCTGAAGGAGGTGGGGGGGGGCAGAGAGAGCGAGAGAGACAAGGAATTTCTTGTGAGCCACAATCTATACCAGTGCAAAAGCTTAGAAAACACAGCAGTGAAAACAGGATGTACTCACAACCGGTGGAAGAATCACATGCCGCCAAGTTAATATTCTGCGTACTGTTATAGGCAGCGACGACGGCAGAAGGTGCTTTGAATTCAGCCTGGTCGAACGAAACAGGCAACTTCCAAGTTAGACTACTGCAACGCACTCTACGCAGGTCTGCCCGTGAAGACTGTTTTAGACCAGCCAGTGAGAAAACATATGCAGCCAAAGGGCCACATACAGTAAGGTTACCAGATTTTTTCCAATGAATCTGGGGACACTTTAAATTAAATAAAGAAATACTACGTTCGGGACGTTGATGTTGCAGCGATGGCAGTGGCAGAGGGGCAGCTGCTGCCTTGACCTCAACCGCCACATTTCCCCTTCCTCTGAGGCTTCTATCTCCTTTCTCCATGAGCCCGAGTTGTTGGTTCTTCGGTGGTGGTGGGGAAGCAGTGTGCGGTGGGTCAGGCATGGAAGGCGGAGAAGGAGGGCCGAGAGTGGTAGCAAGACTCAGGCAGCGGAGCAGCCCCAATCCCATTCCTACTTTCGTGCAAGCAGGAGGGGGCGAGGATCCCTCAGCTGGGAAGCAAGGCTTCACACTGCCTTTCGGAGACGCCCCATCCCAACTCCTACCTGCGTGCAAGCAGGAGGAGGCCGGGATCTCTCAGGCAGCACGATGCCTCTCTTCCCATCGGAGCAGCCCCAATCCCATTCCTACTTTCGTGCAAGCAGGAGGGGGCGGGGATCCCTCAGCTGGGAAGAGAGGCTTCCCGTTGCCTAACTGAGAGATCCCTGCCCCATCCTGCTTGCACACAAGCTCTGATAGGCAGCATGAAGCCTCCCTTCACAGCTGAGAGATCCCTGCTTGCACACAAGTAGGAGTTGGGAGGCTGCTCCGATAGGCAGCATGAAGCCTCCCTTCGCAGCTTAGTTGCTGGGGTCAGGGAAGGTGGAGGCAGCCCGGAAGCGGCATCTTAGAGCCCTTGCACCACCATCACATGGGGACTTCTGAGCAGCTCCTGAAGCCAGACAGAGCCAACTGCTCCGGGCTGCTGAGACTGCATTTTCTGGTGCATCACAATTAAAGAAAATGTTACGAAAATGATATATCGATGGTATATAACACCAGTCAAATTAAGTAAGATGCATAAAGTGAGTAATAAATGTTGGAAATGTAAGGAGAAAGAAGGGACATTTTATCATATGTGGTGGGAATGTAAAAAAAATGAAGTGCTTCTGGGAAATGATATATAATGAGATAACGAAAATATTGAGATATACATTTGTTAAAAAACCAGAAGCATTCCTATTAGGAATTCTAAGTGGTGAGATAAAAAGAAAGGATCAGAAAGTGTTTTTGTATGCAGTAACAGCAGCTAGAACTCTTCTGGCCCAGAAATGGAAACAAGAAGAAATGCCCACAATTGAAGAATGGAGAATGAAATTAATGGATTACGCAGAACTGGACAGATTAACAGGGAGGATTTGCAACCGACGGGACCAAAGATTCACTGAGGACTGGAATAAATTTACAGAATATATTAAAAATATTTGTGATAATGATATAACGTTTGTAAGTTTCCAAGAAGCTCTGTAAGAAGGTTTGGTAGAAATATTGTTTAAATAACATGGTAAGATAAGATACACATAGTGCAATATAAATTAAGAAATGTGAAGATATGTAATAACTACGGAAAATTATCAGACATGTTGATGGAAGTCTGAAAGAAAAAAGACGTGTGATGAGTTCCTAATGTTTAATTGTGTTATAAATTTGTTTTTATTCGAAAGTTAATAAAAATTATATATATAAAAGAGACTGCCTTTTCCGGGGACATTAGATGAAATCCGGGGACATTCCAGGGATGGAATTTGCCCGGGGATTTATTCGCAGATCCGGGAACTGTCCCCGGGAAACGGGGACGTCTGGTAACCCTAAAATACAGCCGCACACCCATCTCTCCAACCAGGTGAGCAAGAGGCAGTCTCAGAGTTCAAGGAAACACATCCAGCAGAAATAAGTCAGGGAAGGCGTGGCTGAGGAAGGGGGTGGTGGCCCAGGGAGGATCTCAAGGGCCAGAAAGAGAGAACAGAAGGGCCACATTTGAACCCCACTCCAGGCTCCAGGGTCCCCACCTCAATTTGGAAGTGGTTAAAAGTGCTGCTGTATGGCCAACGATCATCAGTTCAGTGTTATATACAGTGGTACCTCGGGTTAAGAACTTAATTCGTTCCGGAGGTCCGTTCTTAACCTGAAACTGTTCTTAACCTGAAGCACCACTTTAGCTAATGGGGCCTCCTGCTGCTGCCGTGCCGCTGGAGCACGATTTTTGTTCTCATCCTGAAGCAAAGTTCTTAACCCGAGGTACTATTTCTGGGTTAGTGGAGTCTGTAACCTGAAGCGTCTGTAGCCCGAGGTACCACTGTATATATAAGATAGGTGCCAAATGGTTCCTTAAACCAGGGTTACAGTTGCCAAAACAGAATCCCGAAGTTGGACTTTTTGGTTCCAGAAATTCATTCCAACTGTGCAGATAAAATATAGAATTCTCTACAGGATATGTTGGTGTGTGAAAACAGTCCAGATCCAAAGATCCCCAGGCAGGCACCTCCAGACGGCAGAGACATTGTGGGACAGACAGAGGGAAGAAAGCTTTCTGAAGGAGCGTCTCCACCCCCATCGTTCTACCCGGATACTGAGGTCCAGCGCCAAGGGCCTTCTGGCGGTTCCCTCCCTGCGAGAAGCAAAGCTACTGGGAACCAGGCAGAGGGCCTTCTCGGTGGTGGCACCCTCCCTGTAGAACACCCTCCCACCAGATGTCAAAGAGAACAACTACTACCAGACTTTTAGAAGACATCTGAAGGCAGCCCTGTTTAGGGAAGCTCTTAATGTTTGATGTATTACAGTATTTTAATCTTTTTTGGAAGCCGCCCAGAGTGGCTGGGGAAGCCCAGCCAGATGGGCGGGGTATAAATAATTTTTTATTTTTATTTTTATTTTTATGTGAACCAATAGAAATACTTTTTTTAACCAGACGGGATCAATACACCCGGGGAAAGGAGTGTGTTTACATTGGCCAAACTGGAAGAAAGTGTTTAGGAGGAGATATTTTGCCTCTGACAGGCTGAAAGAGCAGTGCAAGCGCTTTTTGGGCTCTAGGGCAGTTTTTTGCCAACTTGGCACCCCCTCCAGGTGTTTGGAACTACAACTCCCATCAGCCCCAGTCAGTTCAGCCAAGGCCTCACCTTGAATGGTCAATTCCAGCTGCTGCTTCCAGGGTAGTAGAGTCACTGCCAAACTATTTCTCGGGGCCTGCCAAGGCCTGTTTCTGAACCGCAAACAGCCTGTTTCTCTACCACACCAGTTATTTACGAGAATCTCGCAAGGATAAGAATTTGGGCGCCTTGAGTCTGCTTGTTTCTTCTTCCCTCGCCATCCCCTTTTCCTTTTGTGTCATGTCCTTTTTGGATTACAAGCCGGGGCTGGGCTGCCTTCGCCGGTCTGCAAACTGCTCACAGAGCCTTTCCGGCTGAAGAGCAGGATACAAAGGCTTTGAACAAACAAACTAAAGGGAGTGACTGGGCCCAGAGAGGCCTGCGCTGGCAGCCAGCACTCCTGGGGACAGCTGTGTTTATTTTATTATCAAGAGGGGTTACAGGCTCAAACCACAGCAACTCGCCGCAGCCAACTATAGCAAATCACAGCGACAGCCAGCTGGACCGTGGTGCTATGCGTCCGTGCGCCTGGCTGTTGACCAGAGGGGGCTGGTGGATCAAGCCCACCCAGGGACAGCTGTGGACAGGATTCCTGCATTGCAGGGGGTTGAGATGGATGACCTTCAGGGTGCCACTTAGCTCTATGACTTCATGACTATCCCCTTCTGCCATCTGTGCCCCACACGAGACACAAGCCCTCGGTTAACATAGGAAGATGCCTTTTACAGAGTCAGGCCACTGGGTCCACCTGGTACGCAGGATGAGATCCTCCCCTGCCCGCAGACTGTCTCGCCAGTGTGGTGCATGCTCTAGTTATCTCTCGCTTGGACTCCTGCAATGCGCTCTATGTGGGGCTCCCTTTGAACGTGACCCGGAAACTGCAACTAATCCAGAATGCGGCAGCCAGACTGGTGACTGGGAGCGGCCGTCAAGACCATATAACACTAGTCTTGAAAAACCTCCATTGGCTCCCAGTACGTTTCCAAGCACAATTCAAAGTGTTGGTGTTGACCTTTAAAGCCCTAAACAGCCTCGGCCCAGTATACCTGAAGGAGCGTCTCCACCCCCATCGTTCTGCCCGGACACTCAGGTCCAGCTCCAAGGGCTTTCTGGTGGTTCCCTCCCTGCGAGAAGCCAAGTTACAGGGAACCAGGCAGAGGGCCTTCTCGGTGGTGGCGCCCACCCTGTGGAACGCCCTCCCACCAGATGTCAAAGAGAAAAACCACCACCAGACTTTTAGAAGACATCTGAAGGCAGCCCTGTTTAGGGAAGCTTTTAATGTTTAATAGGTTATTGTACAGTGGTACCTTGGGTTAAGAACTTAATTCGTTCTGGAGGTCTGTTCTTAACCTGAAACTGTTCTTAACCTGAAGCACCACTTTACCTAATGGGGCCTCCCGCTGCCGCCGCACGATTTCTGTTCTCATCCTGAAGCAAAGTTCTTAACCCGAGGTAATATTTCTGGGTTAGCGAAGTTTGTAACCTGAAGCGTATGTAACCTGAAGCATATGTAACCCGAAGTACCACTGTATTTTAATCTTCTGTTGGAAGCCCCCCAGAGTGGCTGGGGAAACCCAGCCAGATGGGTGGGGTGTAAATAATAAATTATTTTTATTATTTTATTATTTAGCTCAGCACTGTTTGCACGGACTGGCAGCAACGCTCCAGGGCTTCAGGCAGGCGAGACTGGAGCTGGGACCCTCTGCGCACGCAGCGAATGCTTCGCCGCAGAGTTACGACACCTCCTTGGGCGGCAGAGTTGCACATCGGCAGAACGAGACGGACACAAACATCTTGCTTCACCGACCTTCAGCACAGTATGCCTCCTTCCTTCCCCGTTTCGAAAACCTCCCACCCAGCCTTCCCCGATCTAGCTTCAACTATCGGGCAATTCCATTTCAGCCTCTCGACTGTGACCCAAGTCTGATCCCTGTGGTCTCTCTTCCAGCTCTGAAATTCTGTGCAGGGAATTGAGGATCTAAACTGAGATTCAGCATTGTCTCCAAATGCATCCAGCTGCTGATATCCATTACGATTTCTGCGTTTAAGAAAAATCCGTCAGGTCTGTGTGCAATTAAAATGCACAATGAGCCCATTATTCAGCAGGCATTATAAACAGCATAAATGGAGTCACTCTGGTCCCTCTGAATTGCGGTTCCCAAAGCCCTTCTTAGCATTTAAAAAGACCGCCTATCTCTTTGCTATTGTATTTGGAATAAGAGGAGAAGACAGTCTCTACCTGAAAGAAAGACAGAGGATCAACGCACAACGCACTTGGCCAAAGGACCCCCTTGATAAAGTACCATATTTTTTTGCTCTATAAGACTCACTTTTTCCCTCCTAAAAAGTAAGGGGAAATGTGTGTGCGTCTTATGGAGCGAATGCAGGCTGCGTGGCTATCACAGAAGCCAGAACAGCAAGAGGGATTGCTGCTTTCGCTGCACAGCGATCCCTCTTGCTGTTCTGGCTTCTGAGATTCAGAATATATTTTTTTCTTGTTTTCCTCCTCCAAAAACTAGGTGCGTCTTGTGGTCTGGTGCGTCTTATAGAGCGAAAAATACGGTAGTTTTGAACAGGAACAGGCTAGATTGAACAAGGTAAATAGCGGCTATGGCCTAGTGCAGAGATGGGGGAAAGCTTTTTCAAACGGCCTTCGTCCAGTATACTTGAAGGAGCGTCTCCACCCCCATCGTTCTCCCAGGACACTGAGGTCCAGCTCCGAGGGCCTTCTGGCGGTTCCCTCCCTGTGAGAAGCCAAGTTACAGGGAACCAGGCAGAGGGCCTTCTCGGTGGTGGCGCCCGCCCTATGGAACGCCCTCCCACCAGATGTCAAGGAAATAAACAACTGTCTGACTTTTAGAAGACATCTGAAGGCAGCCCTGCTTAGGGAAGCTTTTAATGTTTAATAGGTTATTGTATTTTAATATTATTTTGGAAGCCGCCCAGAGTGGCTGGGGAAATCCAGCCAGATGGGCGAGGTATAAATAATCAATTATTATTATAATAAACCGAAGGCCACATTCCCAACTTTAGGGGGCCGAATGCCAGCGGTGGGTGTCATGGGTTGGTCGGACGTAGAGGAATGGTGGTGGTGGGGAACGAGCTGGAGTACCCCCGCCCCCAGGGAAGAAGACTCAGAGCCCAGGGAGGGATGGAGGAACGATGATAAGTGGTCAGAGGGAGAAGATTGGGAGAAGGAGGTGCTGGAAGCTGAGGCAACAGGGCTTCATGAGCGGGAAGAGTCTGTGGCAGAGAGCAGCCCAGAATCACTGGACTTAGCAGACCCTGATGTTGGGAAAGCTCTGGTTTTCCCAGTCGTGATGTATGGAAGTGAGAGCTGGACGATAAAGAAGGCTGATTGCCGAAGAATGGATGCTTTTGATTTATGGTGCTGGAGGAGACTCTTGAGAGTCCCATGGACTGCAAGAAGATCAAATCAATCCATTCTGAAGGAAATCAGCCCTGAGTGCTCACTGGAAGGACAGATCCGGAAGCTGAGGCTCCAATACTTTGGCCACCTCATGAGAAGACTCCTTGGAAAAGACCCTGATGTTGGGAAAGATGGAGGGCACAAGGAGAAGGGGACGACAGAGGACGAGATGGCTGGATAGTGTTCTCAAAGCTACCAGCATGATTTTGACCAAACTGTGGGAGGCCGTGGAAGACAGAAGTGCCTGGCGTGCTCTGGTCCAGGGGGTCACCAAGAGTCGGACACGACTAAATGACAAGAACAACAACAATATTGCAAGGGGGGGTGGGATAGCCAAATTTAAGGTGGAGTCAGGAAAATAATAGTTTTACTTGCACTGTTTCTCTCTTCCACTCCACCTCCATGTTTTACACACAGTCCCGTTCCCCCCAACCCCCAAAAAAATATTAAGTCCTCCTTAAAAATATCTGCCATCCTGGAACCTGCTATTTTCTGGCTGGAAAAGATCTGCTCCTGTTTTGTTTTCTAAAAGAAAAAGCAGTCAGCTGAACTGCTTGGTCATTCTGTACTTGGCTCTCGCATGCAAGCGATTAGGTTTCCGAAACACCAGCACAGGTAAAAAATTCCAGGACCTTTCAAGGTCAACAATCACCAGGTACGGGAGATTTTATTACCTCCCCGTGGGTTCCCGCTGTCTGTACACAGACTTGAGTTTCTCTCCCTTCAAGTAATGAGTGGCTGGCAGGAGGTTATGGCAGGGAGAATCCGCTCCCCAGAATCTCACAGCAGGATGCAGCCTCAATACAGAGTCAGGTGCGCTGGTCCATCTCACTTAATATTGTCTGCACTGACTGGCAGCTCTTCAGGGTTTCGGCCAGGGGGCATTCCAAGTCAAACTGTGAGAGGTTGGGGACTGAAGCTAGGACTTTTTGCATGAAAAGCCAGACGCTCTAACCACTGAGCCACACTCCCCAGGGTCCTCTCAAAACTCCTGCCTTTGCCCAGTCCCAGTCTGGGGTCAGCGGACCTAGCTCTCATGCCATAAACAGAGTTAATAAACACACAAGACGTAACCGGCTGTACGTTTGAAAATATATATATATACTATTCATTGTGTTGAACTTGATGAGCTACTTCTGTTGAAATCTACAATTCAAAGATCATCTGCCTGATAATAAATGTTGGAAATGTAATAAAACTGAAGGTACATTCTTTCACCTTTGGTGGACGTGCCCAAGGATTAAAGCTTTCTGGGAGATGATCTATAATGAATTGAAAAAGGTATTTAAATATACCTTTTTGAAGAAACCAGAGGCCTTTCTCCTGGGCATGGTCGGCCAATTGGTGCTAAAGAAGGATAGAACTTTCTTTATGTATGCAACAACAGCAGCAAGAATACTCATCGCAAAGTATTGGAAGACACAAGAACTTCCCACGCTGGAAGAATGGCAGATGAAGGTGATGGACTACATGGAATTGGCGGAAATGACTGGCAGAATCCGAGACCAGGGAGAAGAGTTGGTGAAAGAAAATTGGAAGAAATTTAAAGACTATCTACAGAAATATTGTAAAATTAATGAATGTTAGAATGATGTTAGAATGAAGTTAAGTGGTTTAAGCAGTAATGCTATAAAGGTGTATGTAAAAATGGATTGATAACAGGTGAAAATTTAAACTTATACTATATTAAGTTAAAGGATTAAGAGAAAACAAAGAGGGAAAGAAATTGCTGAATTAACTAATTGAATTGGAATACAAAAAAGGGAGGTATGAGGAGGTCAGGGAAACAAGGATATGAATGTAAGGTATGGAAAGATTGATTTATTTATTTTTTCGTGTTTTTATTCTTTTATTTTGTATTTTTCTTGTATTTTGACTTTTGTTTTTTATGTTTTTATTTCTTGTTTTTATGTAATTCTTTTTTCTGAAATTTTAATAAATATCATTTAAAAATTAAAAAAAAGAAATCTACAATTCAACGAAAAAGTAGAAGACCCAGTGGATCAGTTCATTCTCTAATCAGCTTATGCATAAGGTTCATATACGTGAAAATGTCTATTCCACCTGTCTGTTCATAGAGTCCAACAATCCACACGAAAGACTGTGGCAGTTCTTAGGCTTCATCAGTAGTACAAACTCATATGTGATATCACAGGACAGCAGCTACTACTATGCTAAGGTCCACTGTCCTGTGATATCATATATGAGTTTGTACTACTGATGAAGCCTAGGACGGTGAAACAAGGCTAATATTCCAGAAATCCTCGTCTTAGACTCTGAAAGGATTCTGTGGAACTGCATTTTCACATGTATGGACCTTATGCTGATTTAGAGAATGAACTGATCCACTGGGTCTTCTACTTTCTTCGTTGAACTTTATGAGCTGCTTCTGTTGAAATATACAATTCAACACAATGAATAGTATATATTATTTTTTCAAACGTACAGCCGGTTACGTCTTGTGTGTTTATTGAATGTTTCACGTAACCAGAGGTTTGTTGTTTTGCGCATATAAACAGAGTTAAGGCACATCCAGCTAATTCGGTAGTGCATAAGACTCTTTAATTCCAGGGTTGTGGGTTCGAGTTCCGCGTGAGGCAAAAGATTCCTGCATTCCAGGGGGTTGGACTAGATTATCCTTTTGGCCCCTTCCAACCCAACAATTTGAGGATTCTGTCCTCTTCCCATCCTCATCTTAAACGTTTCCGTGTCAGTATTTACATACACGCGCGTTAAAAGCAGGAAGCACACACTCGTTGAGACTTCACTTCTACAGAGCCAGGAAAGGGAGCTGGACCCTGAAGAACCAGAATATTAACATTTTAACAAGGCTACTGGTCAAAAAAAACAGGGAGCGTGATTCGTAAGGACATTCAGCAGAAGAGTACGACAGCCCACGGACCGCACGGAACAGAGGAAACTGCCTGGAACCGAGTCAGAACATTTGACCCATCTAGATTAATACTGTCTACACAGATTGGCAGCAGCTCTCAAGCTTTTTTAGGCAAGGGTCTCTCTGAGCCCCGCCAGGGGTGGGTCTTTTTGTATGGAAATCTTCAATGCTGGGCTACATGCCTTCCCCAATATTTTCTTTTAAAACTCCATTCCTTGATGCTAAACTCAGCAACTCTTATGCGGTTTATATGGAGGCAAACGGTGCGCTAAAAGAACTCCCTAAGCCAGGAGCAGGTTATAATAATAATAAAAACAATAAAATGTTATTTATATCCCGCCCTCCCCAGCCGAAGCCGGGCTCAGAGCGGCTCACAACAGTAAAAGTAATACAGCATTCTAAAACCAATTCATTCTAAAATCAATTCAGAATCAAATTAATGGCAACCATTGGGCTAGAGTTCTATGAGGATTACAGAAGGAGAGAGGGGGTCAGGCTGTGCCTTGGCCAAAGGCTTGGTGGAACAGCTCTGTCTTGCGGAAAGACGTCAAGTCCCGCAGGGCCCTAGTCTCTTGGGACAGAGCGTTCCACCAGATCGGGGCCACGGCCGAAAAGGCCCTGGCTCTGGTTGAGGCCAGCCTAACCTCCCTGTGGCCCGGGACCTCCAAGATGTTTTTGTTTGAAGACCGTAAGGTCCTCCATGGGACATACCAGGAGAGGCGGTCCCGTAGGTACGTATAGGGCTTTAAAGGTTAAAACCAGCACCTTGAACCTGATCCTGTACTCCACCGGGAGCCAGTGCAGCTGGTAGAGAACCGGGTGAATGTGATCCCACGGCGAGGACCCCGTAAGGAGTCTCGCCGTGGCATTCTGCACCCGCTGGAGTTTCTGGGTCAGTCTCAAGGGCAGCCCCACGTAGAGTATCCACACCAGGCTGTTGCAGCTCCTCTCCCCAGCAATTATTCCATCTTTTTCAGGATCCCAAAGATTTTGGCAGCCAAAAGGAAAGAGCTTAAATCTCCCTGCCCAGGTCAGTGCCCCATGGGGATACAAATTGCCACCTCTCAGTCATCAGATTTGAGGAGGCGGGTGATGAACCCAATTCATGCACAGGTCAACTGAGGGTGGGGTAGGGCAGTTGGGTTGTGTGTGTGCATCCTTGGGGGGGCGCAAATGGGCCATACCCACCTCTGCTATGAAGTCCCCCAAAGCTAGGTCAAGGACGAATATGGTCCTTCAGCCAATTTACTACTACTACTACTACTATTATTGGGACGCGGGTGGCGCTGTGGGTTAAACCACAGAGCCTAGGACTTGCCGATCAGAAGGTCGGCGGTTCGAATCCCTGCAACGGGGTGAGCTCCCGTTGCTCGGTCCCTGCTCCTGCCAATCTAGCAGTTCGAAAGCACGTCAAAGTGCAAGTAGATAAATAGGTACCACAATGGCGGGAAGGTAAACGGTGTTTCTGTGCGCTGCTCTGGTTCGCCAGAAGCGGCTTAGTCATGGTGGCCACATGACCCGGAAGCTGTACGCCGGCTCCCTCGGCCAATAAAGCGAGATGAGCGCCGCAACCCCAGAGTCGGCCATGACTGGACTTAATGGTGTGGGGTCCCTTTACCTTTACTTTTACTACTACTACTACTATTATTATTATTATTATTTTGTATTACTTATTAAATTGATATACCTCCCCTCATGCAAGCATCACAGGGTGGTTTTACAAGTCAGCCACTCCCGCTGTAAAATCGCTCTTAGAAGCTACATAATTCAGCCCAGGAGTTCAGTTTTATAGCAGTGCTGTATTTTCACTAATCCAGAAGAGAGACACCAGTATCAGTAAAAGTCTAAGGGGTTTATTACGCATACTATTATGAGGAAAATTCAGACGGTGTAGACATGTGTCACATGAGATATTCATCATTTTAATTATCTACAGCCTTTCCGCATGGGTGGGAAGTTTTAATTTAGTTTGGGTGCGTTGTTTTTAAAGAGAATCGCCTTTTGCATTTATATATTTTAACGCCGGTTGGTTGGTTGGTTTCTTGCTTAACGTATTGTAAGTCACTTTGAATTGCTGTGGCAAAAAGAAAGAAAAGAAAACCTGACTCATAAATTTAACAAATAACAACCGGCTAGAATACCTGGAAAAATCTTCCCCGTTGGAAGATGCACTGGACAAAGAGAAACGTCAGATACATTTGATTCCTTCCATGATCGCACTGTAGGAAGAACCTGGCCGCAGGATCAAGCCAAAGGCCAGCCTAGATTCCCATTCTGTGCCTGACGCAGCTAACCCGGTACCTATGGGGAAAACTCATAAGCTGTTTTCCAGCTGCTGCAATTTGTGTTCAGAGGCAAACCACCTCCAATACTAGGAAGGAGGACTCCACAGGGAGAAGACAGCTTCCTTTGCTCCTATGGATTAGATCTAGAACCATAGAATTGTAGGGTCATCTAAGTCCAGCCCCGGCAATGCAGGAATATATACCGTATTTTTCGCCCTATAGGACGCACTTTTCCCCCTCCAAAAATGAAGGGGAAATGTGTGTGCGTCCTATGGGGCGAATGCAGGCTTTCGCTGAAGCCTGGAGAGCGAGAGGCGTCGGTGCGCACCGACACCTCTCGCTCTCCAGGCTCCAGAAAGCTATCTGCAAGCCTTGCGCACCCCGGGGGAGTTCCCCCGGGCACGCAAGGCTTGCGGGCGGCACCCTGCAACGCGGAGCACGGGGCGCCCTCCGGAGGACGCCCCGTGCTTCGCGCAGGTGTCGGCAAGCCTTGCGCACCTGGGGGATCTGCCCTGGGAGCGCAAGGCTTGCGGGCGGCAGCCTGCAGCGCGGAGCACGGGGCGCCCTCCGGAGGACGCCCTGTGCTTTGCGCAGGTGTCCGCAAGCCTTGCGCGCCCAGGGGAACTCCCCCTGAGCGCGCACGGCTTGCGGGCGGCAGCCAGCAGCGCGGAGAATGGGTGCCCTCCGGAGGACGCCCCGTGCTTCGCGCAGGTGTCTGCAGCCTGCCGCTCGGCGCGTGGGGCGCCCTGAAGCAGAGCGCCCCTCACGCCGGGCAGACATCGGCCAGCCCCACAAGCTCGGGGGACAACGGGGAGGCGCAGCGCCGCCATCCCACTGTTCCCCGACCTGGTTTTGGGGGGGGGGGAAATAAAGGAAAAAAAATTTCCCTTTATTTCCCCCCCAAAAAAGTAGGTGCGTCCTATGGGACGGAGCGTCCTATGGAACGAAAAATACGGTAATAATAATAATAATAATTTATTATTTGTACCCCACCCATCTGGCTGGGTTTCCCCAGCCACTCTGGGCGGCTTCCAACAAAGACCAAAAATACACTAAAATGTCACACATTAAAAACTTCCCTGAACAAGGCTGCCTTCAGATGTATTCTGAATGTCAGGTAGTTGTTTATCTCTTTGACATCTGATGGGAGAGCATTCCACAGGGTGGGTGCCACCACCGAGAAGGCCCTCTGGCCTGGTTCCCTGCAGCTTGGCTTCTCGCAGTGAGGGAACCACCAGAAGGCCCTCGGCGCTGGACCTCAGCGTCAGGGCAGAACGATGGGGGTGGAGACGCTCCTTCAGGTATACTGGGCCGAGGCCGTTTAGGGCTTGAAAGGTCAGCACCAACACTTTGAATTGTGCTCGGAAACGCCCTGGGAGCCAGTGTAGGTCTTTCAAGACCGGTGTTATGTGGTCTCGGCGGCCGCTCCCAGTCTCCAGTCTAGCTGCCGCATTCTGAATTAATTGTAGTTTCCGGGTCACCTTCAAAGGTAGCCCCACATAGAGCACATTGCAGCAGTCCAAGCGAGAGATTACTAGAGCACGCACAGTTAACCCATTCAGGATCAGAATCTCAGCTAAAGCATCCAACCTCTGCTTAAAAACCTCCAAGGAAGGAGTCCCCAACTTCCTGAGGGAGACCGCTCCACTGTTGAACAGCTCTTACCGTTAGAAAGTTCTTCCTGACACTTAAGACACAATCTGCTTTCTTGTAACTCGAAGCCATGGGTTCGAGTCCTACCCTCCAGAGCAGGAGAAAACAAACTCGCTCTATCTTCTTATCTAGTCTCAGGAAAGGTTCCACAGTCAAACCCTGACCCAACGCCTAGTTTTCAGCAAGAGGGTAGAAGTCTATGTCTGGCTATTTCAGTTATACGAGACCCCACCTGTGGTCTGACGTGGTGAAATCCAGACGCAGCCTTGCCAACTCAATGAGAACTAAGCCTGAAGCATCTCAGGGTGACACAGGTAGATAGGTCTCTACTAGTGATCTTCCATGGGGTTTGTGGCTCTTCAGTAACTCTTCCCACTGTGGATTCCATGACTGCCCAGATCCTGTTTTTAGGCCTCCACTTCTTCAAAGTGGACCATCTTTGTTCTTCTGCACCTGCAGGTTTATGGTTACCACTTGAGAGAAGCCTGAAAAGCGTTTTTCGAATCTCCAGGGGCCACTGGGCAATTGCTATGCACCCAGCTAAGTCACCTAAAATCTCTCCCCCACCCTCTCTCTCCTCCAAAATATCCTCCAATTACGGAAGACGTGATCTAAGCATACTAGCAGCCCATAATTTTCTCAGAATCTGTCCACTCAGCATTCCACAGACTCCTCTCATGTAAACACCACTTGCTGTGTGAACATGAGACACCCCCTTGCCTTGAACACCATCAGTCGGAAACTTTGCTCCCTGGGAAAACAGTCTTGCTTAAGGATTATCATTAAAGCTTACGCCATAATAAAATCTGGGAGTCTTCAAGATGCCACAAGTCGCTTTCTAATTTCTCCTGCAACAGACCAACCCTCCTGGATTTTCTTCTTCTTCAGGATTCCCATAATATTTTGCCACTTTTTTAAAAGGTCAGCAAAACTATGGTCTTGGTATGTCATACGTGCCCATTCATGCTAATTTTCACCACAAAGACCCACAAAGGTTTTCACAGGCTCCAGTGATCTCGCAATTTTTCTACATGGGACTGTATACAAAGGCCAAGAGCACAGTTTCCTCTAGAAAAGAATCACGGCAAATTATTTTCTGGTATGGTTGCCAATGTTCTGATAGCCAGGACAAATTAATTCACGCGCCTGGTATGACACCCAGCCTTCCACAGGCAGAACCAAAACATACATTTAAAGCACCTTCATAGCACATGGCTTGCCCCCAAACAGTCCTGGGAATTGTAGTTTGATACAGGTGTTGGGAATTGTAGCTCTGGGGTGAGTAACTAGAATTCCCAGGATTCGTTGGGCAATGACATGTACTTTATATGTGCAATGAAGGTGTTTTAAATACAAGGTGTATGCGGCAGCTAGACTGGTGACTGGGAGTGGCCACCGAGACCACATAACACAGGTCTTGAAAGACCTATATTGGCTCCCAGGACATTTCCAAGCACAATTCAAAGTGTTGGTGCTGACCTCTAAAGCCCGAAACGGCCTCGGTCCAGTATACCTGAAGGAGCGTCTCCACCCCCATTGTTCTGCCTGGACACTGAGGTCCAGTGCCGAGGGCCTTCTGGCAGTTCCCTCCCTGTGAGAAGTGAGGTTACAGGGAACCAGGCAGAGGGCCTTCTCGGTGGTGGCACCCGCCCTATGGAACACCCTCGCATCAGATGTTAAGGAAATGAGCAACTATTTTACTTTTAGACAACTGAAGGCGGCCCTGTTTAGGGATGTTTTTAATGTTTGATGCTGTATTGTTTTTAATATTTGGTTGGAAGCCGCCCAGAGTGGCTGGGGAAACCCAGCCAGATGGGTGGGGTATAAATAATAAATTTAATATTATTATAGGACTGCCTCTCCCCATATGAACCGACCCGGACCCTGCATGTGTCATCCGAAACCCTTCTCTGTGTCCCCTATCCCCAAGAGGTTTAGGGTGACAACACGAGAAAAGGCCTTTCCTATGCCCCACAAATAACCCAGAGATGCATTTTAAATAAAAGAACACATTCTACTCATGTAAAAACACCAGGCAGGCCCCACAAATAACCCAGAGATGCATTTTAAATAAAAGGACACATTCTGCTCATGTAAAAACACACTGATTCCCGGACCGTCCGTGGGCTGGATTTAGATGGCGATTGGGCCGCATCCGGCCCCTGTATCTTAGGTTGCCTACCCCGGATCTATGCAGAATTGGCCACGCTAACAGCAAAAAATGGAAGCCTTTTTCGGAACATTTAAAGAAATGTTATAGCATGATAAATTTGCAAGCAGAATTTGAACGATGAGCCACAGAAAGCCTTAGAGATTATTGCATAGTTGTTATAATATAAGAGGAAGAAGACAGCGTGCGGCAAGAGGGAGAAATTAAAAACACCAGAAGGTGTCTTTATGTTTGGGAGTGTATATGTGATTTTATAAAAAATAATAATAAAACGTTTAGAAATCGAATAAATAATAAGAATAAAAAAGACCCAGCAATTGACATACCACATATGAAAAAACAATCTTTTTATATGCAACAACAGCTGCCAGGGTAGTGATTGCTACTAAATGGGAATCTCAGGACATACCAAGAAACGAAGAGTGGATTCGTAAATTAAGTGAGTATACAGAATTGGCAAAATTATAATATATCAATCAAATCAAAAGTTAAGAATGGAGTGGAAGTCTTTCGAAGATTACATGTCAAAACATTGTTCTAAAAATGACATGTTAATAGGCCTAAAATAAAAAATGTAAGCAAAAACAAAACAAATAAAGAAGGAAAAACCAGAATTTAACAAAAATAATTCATTATAGAATGCAAGGGGGAAAGGTAGAAAGAAATATAAAGAAGTCGAATTGCTGTGAGGGTGGGTGGTGGGTTTTATAATTAAGTGTATAATTGTGCAGCTGTTGTAATTTAGATATTCTAGTTTATGTGAGGGAATCCTTGGGAATTTTGGTTATTATGTATATTTGTTGATTTTCAATAAAGATCTTTGAAAATATTAAAAAAAGACCCAGCAGTTTTTACCTTATGAAGGTGGTCTTGCCGGTGGAATACTGTCCCACGAGGAGGACCATGGGCTTGTTGTCAAAATCCGCATCTTCCAAGGCGGGCGAATGAAACTCGTGGAATTTGTAGTATTCTTCCAGAGGGAGAAGCTTGGTTTTGTAGAGTTTCTTCAGCCCCTCGCTCACCGTCTGGAACACCTCGGGGTCTTTCCTCCGCCGGTCGTCGTTGCCCAGCCAGCTGAACATCTTGCAAACGGGGCCGAGGAGGAGATCCTGGGCTCCGGGAGGAAATCTGCTCGCCAATGAATGGAAGGAGAGACGAGGAGCTGCAGGCGGAGCCGCCGGGAAAACGGAATCGCTCGATCGCAAAATAAAAAATCGGGCCCTTAATGTAAGGTGGGGAGGTAGAGGAAGAGGGAAACAGGCACCAGGAGGGGATGGGAAGATCTCCAGATCCCTTGCAGGAAAAGATGTGTCCGCGCTGTCCTGCTACCGGCTGCAGGGTGGGCTATTGCAAAAAATAAAAATGCAAGCACAAAAAAACTGCTTTTGAAGGGCTATTGCAAAAAAATAAAATAAAAATGCAAGCGCAAAAAATTGCTTTCGATTGCTAAATGCAAAAAATAAAAAATGAAATAAAATGAAATGCAAAGAATGAAATGAAATGCAAAAATGAAATGAAATGCAAAAAATAAAATGAAATGCAAAAAATAAAATAAATAGGGGTGGTTTTTTTGCTAATAACTGCTTGCAAAGGCTTATTGGAAAATAAAAAATGGCTGTTGCAACGCGCCAAGAGAGGAAAACTCCGATTTTCTAAGGCAATTTCTGCTCGAGGAGCTTCGCTTTGCCGAAGCGGGCGAGGCTGGGCGAGGGAAGGGCGAGGGCTGCCTCCGCAAAGGCGACTCCTTCGGCCGCAGGCGACGTCGCGCAGCTGAATCGCAGCCCAGCAGCCTCCCGCACGGGCAGCGGGGCTTTAAATGCCAACCTTCCAGGAAGTCGGGCCGGAAGCGGAAGCGGGCCCAACTACTGGCGACGCCCCGAGGCGGGAGGGCGACCGCCAGGGAGAAACATGGCCGCCGGCGGGCAGACCGGAAGTCGCGTTCTCTTTATGGAAATATTTGGCCCCGCCCACGGAGCTGGCAGGGGCTGATGGGAGTTGGAGTCCCAAACCCCTGGAGGCTGAGAGAGGACAGGGCCAGGGATAAGAATATAATAATAATTTATTATTTATACCCCGCCCATCTGGCTGAGTCTCCCCAGCCACTCTGGGGGGTTCCAATCAAGTGTTAAAAACAATACAGCGTTAAATATTAAAAGCTTCCCTAAACAGGGCTGATGTCTTCTAAAAGTCTGGTAGTTGTTCTTCTCTTTGACATCTGGTGGGAGGGAGTTCCACGGGGCGGGGGCCACCACCGAGAAGGCCCTCTGCCTGGTTCCCTGTGACTTGGCTTCTCGCAGCGAGGGAAACTACCAGAAGGCCCTCGGCGCTGGATCTCAGTGTCCGGGTAGAACGATGGGGGTGGAGATGCTCCTTCAGATATACTGGACTGAGGCCGTTTAGGGCCTTAAAGGTCAGCACCGACACTTTGAATTGTGCTCGGAAATGTACTGGGAGCCAATGCAGGTCTCTCAGGACCAGTGTAATATGGTCTCGGCGGCCGCTCCCAGTCACCAGTCTAGCTGCCGCATTCTGGATTAATTGCAGTTTCCAGGTCACTTTCAAAGGTAGCCCCACATAGAGCACATTGCAGTAGTCCAAGCGGGAGATAACCAGAGCATGCACCACTCTGACGAGACAGTCTGAGGGCAGGGAGGGTCTCATCCTGCGTACCAGCTGGAGCTGGTAGACAGCCGCCCTGGACACAGAATTAACCTGCGCCCCTATGAACAGCTGTGAGTCCAAAATGACTCCCAGACTGCGCACCTGGTCCTTCAGGGGCACAGTCACCCCATTCAGGACCAGGGAGTCCTCCACACCCGCTCACCCCCATCCCCCCAAAACAGTACTTCTGTCTTGTCAGGATTCAACCTCAATCCGTTAGCCGCCATCCATCCTCCAACCGCCTCCAGGCACTCACACAGGACCTTCACCGCATTCACTGGTTCTGATTTAAAAGAGAGGCAGAGCTGGGTATCATCCGCATACTGATGAACACCCAGCCCAAACCCCCTGATGATCTCTCCCAGCGGCTTCATACAGATATTAAAAAGCATGGGCGAGAGGACAGAACCCTGAGGCACCCCACAAGTGAGAGCCCAGGGGTCTGAACACTCATCCACCACTTTCTGGACACTGGATGGGAGGCCCTCTGGCCCTCCAGATGTTTGCTGGGTGCAGACACCCACCCAGTGCCCGATTTACGTATAAGCTAAACAAGCTATAGCTTAGGGCCCCACACTCTTGGCCCCCCCCCCCCAAAAATTTTTAAAAGGAAAAAAAAACTGGATGTACATTTCCAAAATATAAGATAAAAAACAAATAAAATAAAACCTATATACAGCAACAGTGTTTTGTGTTGTGTAGGCTCCTTAATAGCTTAATAATTATTTCACTATTAATATACTTCTTAATTATATTTCACTGTTAATATACTTCCTTCTTAATTTTATTTCAGTTCAGCAATTACTAAGATAAAATACATATTTTGTTATGTGCAAATGGCTCGAGATAGCTATTAGGTCCATTAATTACCATATAGCATATATTCAACACAAAAAAACAGCGACAATTGGTTGTTGACAAAGGACAGCTGGACGTATAAAGGGCCCCATTACCTTCAGTAGCTCAGGGCCTCATCAAACCTAAATCCGACCCTGCACCCACCCATACTTGCTTTTTTTATTTTAAAAAACACACACTTCTTTTTATTCAAAATTAAAACAAAACATATTATCCAGAAACATATCACCTTTATTCCCCCATTTTTCCTCCCTCCCCCCACCCTCCCACACAAAACCCACCCGCCCCCACCCCCGACTTCCCTCAGTTCCAGTCTTTGATTTCTCTAAAAATGCTGTTTTCTGCATGTTACACTGTCGCATAGATCCTCAAACTATTTAGCTGATTATTACCAATAAAAAGTTTGTGAATGTTTATTCAAAGCCAGCCAAGGAGTCCAGTTTGCTTTGTTGCGTCTTCAAATACTTTGTAAAGGGTTCCCATTCATCTTTAAAATCACAGTTATCCTTGTCCCGTAACTTATATGTCAGTTTGCCAGTTCTCCATAGTCCATCAATTTTTCTTGCCATGATTCTTTAGTTGGGGTTTCTTCAGTCTTCCATCCTTGTGCTATTAGAACTCTCGCGGCCGTTGTCGCATACATGAAGGTGTTTTCCAGCTTTTTTGGCAGATCTTTCCCTACAACCCCTAACAAAAATGCTTCAGGTTTTTTAACAAATGTTAAAGGGAACATTTTCTTCAATTCATTGTATATCATTTCCCAATTTTTTTTAATTACATTACAATGCCACCACATATGATAAAATGTCCCCTCCTTTTCCTTACACTTCCAACATATATTTGAACTAGTTTTGTACATTTTCCCTAACTGCACTGGTGTCGTGTACCATCTGTACATCATCTTCATGTAACTCTCCTTCAATAGGGAACAATCTGTAAATTTTAAATCAGTTTTCCACCCATACTTGCAAACATCTGGAAAGTCAAAGGGTCCTCCATCCCTGCTCCTGACCTTCCCCGGGCCTCCAGATGTTTTGGGGCTGGTGAGGGTCAGGGTCCAGCAACCATCTGGAGGGTCAGAGGATCCCCATTCCTGGACTGGAGTCCACTGTGAAGGCAGAGAGCCGAAGAGGGAAGCACCATTTTGGGACATGGCACCCAACAGAACCCATCGCTGGCCTGCAAATTCGAAAGCTTGTGAGGCTTCAGTGCTGGCAGGCAGCTCTGCCCTCTGGAGGGCACAACTGGGAATACGGAGGATATTTTGAGGCATCCCAAACTTGGAAAATTTACACCAGTCGCGGTCACGTCAACCACAAAAGAAGCTGTGACTGTTCACAGCTGCCGAGGACCTTATAGATAAGAAGTTATGTTAAATGACTGTTGGAAATGATATGTTAAAAAATTAATAAAAAATTATATATATAAAAAAGACACTGTATTCCAGGTCTGACCAAAACAGGATAGAGAGGTACCATTCTCATCACACTACACTTCTGTTAATACAGCCCAGAATTGTATCTGCTACTTTTCCCTTATTGTGCATTTCCAGAAAGAAGGGTGAGTAAGGGCCATTAAGTCTGCTTATTGTCTTTCTTCATATTTACATCACCACCAAGGACCTAGGTAAAAATAAAAAAGGCAACCACAGACTGCTAACCTTGTGTAGAAGATATATTTATTCACAGAAAGTATCCCTTCCCAATTGCCATTAAATAAATACAACACTCCGCAGCACATAAATGTCTGCTCACTAGTTTTCCTTCACCCAAATATGATGTCATTTTAACAGCCCTTTAAAAATCTATACAGCGTCCTTTGCGTTCCCAGTCTCCATAGCGAGTTGGTTCAGGGCCTTTGGGTCCGCCTCTCTCTTTCGTAACAGGATTGATGCCATCTGGAAATTCTGAAGGAGAAAGCACAGCAAAATGCAAATAAATAGGGAAGCTTTTAATGTTTGATGCATTGCTGTACTTTAATATTTTGCTGGAAGCCGCCCAGAGTGGCTGGGGAAGCCTAGCCAGATGGGCAGGGTATAGATAATAAATTATTATTATATAATTATTATTAACCCTGCAATCTGCTCCGATTGTATATTTTATCTTTATGAACACTGTTTTTATTGTGTTATGTTACGTGTGCTGGTCTTTGACCGTAATAAATTATCTAACGCTAACTCATTGCACACAACGGGATGAAAAAGCTAAATGGAGAATCTCGCTTTTAAACAAGTTTATCTCAGCAGCGAAAACAATGCTCATAAGTTGGGTCGACCCCCCTGAATTTGAACACTATCAATCTGAAACTCAACTATCACACAATGGATGCCAGTCAGGAATCCAGTGAATTTAGTGTCTGCACTCACCTCTGAACCCTGATAGAGACACAGGAAGCAAAGAATCCGATATTTAAATCTGTTTGCAAATCCTGGATGGTAAGGAAATACCAATAACTATTGAAAATGGTTTTCCCAGTAGTGATGTATGGAAGTGAGAGCTGGACCATAAAGAAGGCTGATCGCCGAAGAATGGATGCTTTTGAATTCTGGTCCTGGAGGACTGGCAGAATCCGAGACCAGGGAGAAGAGTCGATGGAGGAAGATTGGAAAAAGTTTAAAGATTATTGTGATGAGTATGAGTTACTCGTGCGTAAACTGGTGCCTCTCTAGGCTAATTTGCCTTGTTAAACCTTTCTGACTGCACAGCCCTTTCTCATCATGACTGTCTCAGTCACTAGCAGAATCCGTCAGTGGGCGTTTCTTGAATCTCTTCCAACATAAGAGTTGTTTGACACCCAATCTCCTCCGCCTCTCACTGCGCGGGAGCCTTCTGCGCAGGGTGGGCGTGGGTAGCGGGGACCTGTCCCCTCCTCACTGAGTTCCAGTGAAGAGTCCGTGAGCCCTCTCTCCGATTTCCCCATCTGCCCACTTTTGTTCCTGGTGTTGCGCTTAAATGCTTCCCCCTCCACTGAGTTGCTTCTCCCCCTGCTGCTGGGTCCTTCTCCAGCATCATCTAGGAGCCTCCCCTTCGCCTCCCGCTCTGATGTCAGTTCCCTGACAATTATTTACAGAAATATTGTAAAATTAATGAATGTTAGAATGATGCTGGATAGAAACTAAGTGGTCTCTAGCTGAAAGGTTACAAGGGAAGATGAAAAAAGGGTTTATTATGTAATATGTAAAAATCTAAAATTATAATTATGATTAATGATTAGGAGGCATTTGCTGAACAAAATAATTGAACTGGAATACAAAAAAGGAAGGTGTGAGGAGGTCCTGGAAATAAGTAAATGAAGGTTAAGTAATGGAAGGAAAGAATTGTTTTTAAATATTTTTACTATGTATTTTCTTTTTTATTCTTTTTTTCCTTCTTTTTATTTGTGTGTTTTGTAAAACATTGAAAATCTTAATAAATATCTTATAAAAAAAATGAATTCTGGTCCTGGAGGAGACTCTTAAAAGTTCCACGGACTGCAAGAAGATCAAACCTCTCCATTCTGAAGGAAATCAGCCCTGAGTGCTCACTGGAAGGACAGATCCTGAAGCTGAGGCTCCAGTACTTTGGCCACCTCATAAGAAGAGAAGACTCCCTGGAAAAGACCCTGATGTTGGGAAAGATGGAGGGCACAAGGAGAAGGGGATGACAGAGGACAAGATGGTGGGACAGTGTTCTCGAAGCTACAAACATGAGTCTGACCAAACTGCCGGAGGCAGTGGAAGACAGGAGCGCCTGGCGTGCTCTGGTCCAGGGGGTCACGAAGAGTCGGACATGACTAAACGACAACAGCATTGAAAATGGCTGGAAGAAGGGCCAAATAAATTCTGCTAAAGATCTTCATGCCCTCGGCAGCTGCCATTACTACCCAGTTTGAGAGGCATGGCATGTCAGAACTGGGTCTACCATTTCCCAAATGTCTGCATTTATATTTTACACCCACACATAAAATACCTACTTTCCAGTGGCTCCTTCTCTGCACTGGACTCTTCTGCCTCATCGAAACGACCCACAGGCAACTTTGCTTTCTTGAGCGGCTGCTTGGGAGGGATTTCAGGATTCCCTTCTGTGCTGAAGGGGGCACCTCCCAAAGCTCTGTGCAGCAACACAGACCCTGTGATATACAAATAGGAAGTGATGGTTCAGAAGGGCGTTCTTAGAATACCTGCGCTTTCCATTTGCTTAAATCAGCCTGGACAAACAAGCGACCGCCCAACAGTTTGACTCCAGAGACAGACAAATGCTAACCAACTGAGCGATGTACTAAGAAACTCCTATACAAACCTGGAAAGGACAGGGAGACAGCACTGCAGCCTAAAATGATATTAAGCAATAATAAATAAATAAATAAATAAATAAATAAAATTTATTTATACCCTGCCCATCTGGCTGGGTTTCCCCAGCCACTCTAGGCAGCTTCCAACAAAATATTAAAATACAGTGGTCTGTTAAACATTAAAAGCTTCCCTAAACAGAGCTGCCTTCAGATGTCTTCTAAAAGTCGGGTAGTTGTTGTTCTCTTTGACATCTGCTGGGAGGGCGTTCCACAGGGCGGGCGCCACCACCGAGAAGGCCCTCTGCCTAGTTCCCTGTAACCTCACTTTTCGCGGGGAGGGAACCGCCAGAAGGCCCTCGGAGCTGGACCTCAGTGTCCGGGCTGAAGGATGGGGGTGGAGACGCTCCTTCAGGGATACTGGACCGAGGCCGTTTAGGGCTTTCAAGGTCAGCACCAACACTTTGAATTGTGCTCGGAAACACCCATATGTGCTACACCCAGTGTGTTAACCTAGACCAGCTGTCCTTAACTGGATGTCCTAAAGATGTTTTGAACTACAACTCCCATCAGCCCCAGCCAGCCATCATCCAAAACATCTGGAGAACACCTGGTTGGGGAAAGCTGGCCTGGACAGCTATGAGCAAGTCATTCTAAAGTGTGGGGATAAAGCATTGAGGAACAGAACCCTGAATAAGTTAAGTTCCCTGACAAACACAGGCAAATGAATTGTATGTGTTCGTCTTTGCAAAGGAAACATATATGGGCATTTTTCAGGGGGCAAAAGGCAGAAATCCCTGAGGAGCAAGCTACCTGGTAGCCATTTTGCTCACAACACTTCACCCAATTTCCAAACATGGCCCCTATTTAGTTGTTTAAAGGTAATACGGCTTATGAAAACCGTTTAACATAAATTGTTTCAAAGCAAAATTCAGATATATATTTCTTTTGAATACTGAGAGCATAGGGATGAATACTGAGAGCATAGGGAGCTGACCACTGGGTCCACCTGTCCCAGGATGATCTGTTCCAGCCTTTGCCAACGTGGTGCCCTCCAGGAGATACTGCGCTGCCCATCAGCCTCAGCCAGCACAACCCATCTATTCCAACTGGTAGCAGATATCCAAGGTCTCAGGGAGTGTCTTTACCAATCTTACCTACTTAAAGGTAAAGGGACCCCTGACCATTAGGTCCAGTCGTGGCCGACTCTGGGGTTGTGGCGCTCATCTCGCTTTACTGGCCGAGGGAGCCGGCGTACAGCTTCCAGGTCATGTGGCCAGCAGGACTAAGCCGCGTCTGACGAACCAGAGCAGCGCACGGAAATGCCGTTTACCTTCCCGCTGGAGTGGTACCGATTTATCTACTTGCACTGGCGTGCTTTCGAACTGCTAGGTTGGCAGGAGCAGGGACCGAGCAACGGGAGCTCACCCCGTCACGGGGATTCGAACCGCCGACCTTCTGATTGGCAAGTCCTAGACTCTGTGGTTTAACCCACAGCGCCACCCGCGTCCCCTGCTTACCTACTTAGGGCACTTTAAAAAGAGATGTTTGAGATTGTGTTGAAGCCCAGCTTTAGCCCATGAGCCCTTTTATCATGAATGAATGAATGTGGAAATTAATAATAATAATAATAATAATAATAATAATAATAATATGGAATAAAGCAGCTACTGCCTGATACCACATACACAGTCACCAATCTGAGTAGACCATCAGCACTCCAGTCCTAAGTGTGCACAGAAAGAGTGGGAAAACACTACTGGGTTTCACATTTTATGACCCAGCTGTGTTCACCAAGAAGAGAGTATAAAGGAGAGCGTATCTACAGTCAATGACCAAAGATATGCAATTACAGGAAGTTACAAAAAGAGCCATTCGCACAGCCAAACTTATGCAATGCAGAACAAAAATAGCCAAGTACTTTCTTGAGAACAGAGGCGTTACCGCTATAAGCACAGCTTGCTAAAGAGGGGCAGCTATTCTGAATTTCCTCAGAATTCCTGTGAATTTGGATGCTGTAGGTCAGAACGCTGCTGCAGGTCTGGATTTGAAATTTACATGACTCTGAAAACATCACAGGTCTCCCAAGCTGAGCTGTCACCATTTGGCTCCTGTCCGCTGCCTTGTGCTTTTAACAAACTCCACCTGTGTCACATTTTTAAAAAATGGATGCAGATTTCGCTTCACGAGCAGCCAGTGAAAACATTTATTTCCAACGGTTCCCACACAGAATGCAAGGGGTGCTGCTGTTTGAATGAGCAGGATCTCAGGGGCATTTGTCGGACCCCCTCCTTTGGTAATCCTCATAGACCTCTAGCCCAATGGTTGCCATTAATTTGATTCTGAATTGATTTTAGAATGAATTGATTTTAGAACGGATTTCAATTCATCGATTGTGATTTTATGTAAACTGTGTTACTTTTACTGTTGTTAGCCGCTCTGAGCCCGGCTTCGGCTGGGGAGGGCGGGATATAAATAAAAATGATGATGATGATGATTACAGTGGTACCTCAGGTTACATTCGCTTCAGGTGACATATGCTTCAGGTTACAGACTCCGCTAACCCAGAAATAGTACCTCGGGTTAAGAACTTTGCTTCAGGATAAGAACAGAAATTGTGCTTCAGCGGCGCGGCGGCAGCAGGAGGCCCCATTAGCTAAAGTGGTGCTTCAGGTTAAGAACAGTTTCAGGTTAAGAACGGACCTCCGGAACAAATTACCGGTAAGTACTTAACCCGAGGTACCACTGTATTATTATTATTATTTTATCACACTATTCAAGGGGATGTCCTAACATAGCTATCAGCTTTCAGATTTGAAAATAAGGGATCAGCAGCCTCGAAAATAAGGGATGAGCAGCCTCACCTGCCCTGGGGACAGTCTACGGGATATCTAACAATCCGGGATAGCAGCGGGAAACGGCCCTGGAATAAGGGAATTTCCCGCAAAAAAAGGGAAGGTTGACAGCTATGTGTCCTAGCAAAGCAGCAACCTAACCGCTATAATAAACGAGGCAACTTATAACAAGCGGTGGGTGGGAAACACCAGAGTTTTAAGCCTGGGGGCATGTTGAAGCAGCCCAAACCCAAAATAAATTATCATTATTACTATTACTGCTATTATTATTGAGAGCAGTCGTAAGAATAGTAACATCAGCACAGAAGCAGACAAAGACAGGCTGGTACAATGACAACCTGGCAGAAATATGTAGGCCTATCACCATTTTTGCAGCCCAGTTCAAACCAGTCCCCCCCCCCAAAAAGCACCCTACTTCAAAACTGGGAGGGATGAGCAGAGGCTAGCAGTGGTTCTCAAGCTGTGGGTCCCCAGATGGTGTTCGACTACAACTCCCATCATCCTTGAGCTCTGGCCTTGCTGGTTAGGGGTGATGGGAGTTGTAGTTCAACAACATCTGGAGACCCACAGCTTGAGAAAGGCTGGACTTGCCGTTGCACTACAACTCCCATCACCCCCCGGGAACAGCACGTTGGCCGCAGGGGCTGACGGGAGCCAGCGCTTGCGAAAGCCTTCGGAGGGCGCCATTTTGGCTGCCACCTCCTTTCCCCACCCGGACTCCAATTCCCAGCATCCCTCGCCATAGGCTCCTCCCGCGGGGCCTGATGGGAGTTGGAGTCCTCCACCCCCTTGGAGGCTCACGCATATTCCCCGAGGCGAGGCCTAGCTGGGCCGAGGCGCCGGGCTTGCGTGGCTGGGTCCGGCTTACTGGAGGCAGAGGAGGTGCGGCCCAGCTGGAGCGGCAGCCTCAGGGCCATTTCGGCGGTACGAGCAGCGGCGGCGGCGGCAGCAGCAGCCCCGGCTTGGAAGCGAGCGAGCGGGGAAGGGGGGGCGGGACTCGGGAGGGAAGCTCCGCCTCCGCCCCGCCCCTTTTCTGCGTCATAGTCGGGGGCGTGCACGCTCCCGGTCCCGCGCCTGCCTTTGCTGTATTTATTTCCTTGTATTGACATACCAGGGAGCCGAAATGCAGCTAAATGCATTTATTGTAATTGCATTTAAATGCAATTAAAATAATTGCATTTAAATGCAATTAAAATAATGCAGAAGATACGGCGTTATTTATTTATTTATTTGCTTATTTCTTGCATTGACATACCAGGGAGCTGAAATGCAACAAAATGCATTTATTTTAATTGCATTTAAATGCAATTAAAATAAATACGTAAAATACACCGTTATTTATTTATTTTTAAATGTACTTTTATTAAAGGTTTTCTTTATTTACAAAGGCATGTGCAATGTGTCTCGTGTTTTACTTTTTTGCTTGTTTCTTGTGTTGACATAGCAGGGAGCTGAAATGCAACAATATGCATTTATTTTAATTGCATTTTAATGCATTTTAATGCAATTAAAATAAATATGCACCGTTATTTATTTATTTGCTTGTTTCTTGCATTGACATACCAGGGAGCTGAGATGCAACTAAATGTGTTTATTTTAATTTCATTTAAATACATTTTAATGCAATCAAAATAAATACATAAAACACACTGTTATTTATTTATTTGCTTGTTTCTTGCATTGACATGCCAGGGAGCTGAAATGCAACAAAATGCATTTATTTTAATTGCATTTAATTGCATTTTAAATGCCTTTAAATGCAATTAAAATAAATACGTAAAATACACCGTTATTTATTTATTTTAAAATGTATTTTTATTAAAGATTTTCTTGATTTACAAAGGCCTGTGCAATGTGTCTCGTGTTTTATTTTATTTTTTGCTTGTTTCTTGCGTTGACATACCAGGGAGCTGAAATGCAACTAAATGCATTTTATTTTAATTGCATCTAATTGCATTTTAATTGCTCCAAGTCTCCAGCGCCTGCCAGATGCACAACGCCCGCCAAGCCTGCAGGGGGCGTGTGCAGCGCCCCACCTCCTTCCTTCGCCTCCCTCCCGCCACACGCCGCAAACCAGCCCGCCAGCTATCTCCGGACTCCAACTCCCAGCAGCCCCTGCCGTCGCCGCCGACAGTCCGGCGCGGCGGGAGTTGTAGTCCGACGACCCCTAGCGGCCGGCCGCCGCCTGCCTTCTTCCCGCTCTTTCCTTTGTAGCTGTCTACCCAACCGCCTGCATTCCTTTCGACGCGAAAGGGGGGACAGGAATCGACTTATTCGAGCCGGGCTCCCGCCTCAGCATTTTTCTAACGGCTGGTTTACTTCGGTGCGCGTCGTTCGGGGCGGCAAATGGCTTCCTTTCCCTGCAGGCGGTTCACGGGGCAGCCCGAGAGGGGTCCTCGAGCGGGGTCCTCGAGTGACATTGGGCGCTCGTCAGGCGGCCGCTGAGGCAGAAGGAAAAAAGGGACGGTCGGGGTTGTCGTCGTCGCTGCCGCAGCTCCTCCTTCGCCGCCGTCCGGTCCGCCGCCGCCGCCGCCATGTTCCGCCTCATGCTCACCCACGCGAAGAAGCACCCGAGCGTGAGTCCCGGAGGGAGCGTTATAGGCGGGGAGGGGGAGGGGTTTGTTTCCTGAGGCGAAGGGAGCGCTATAGGCGGGGTGTGCGGGGGGGAGCCCGGTCGTATTCTGCTCCTCTCGCCCCTCCCCCCCCCCGAGCCGCCTCCTTTTGCCCTTCTCTTCCCCTTTTATTGCATCCTTCTCTTTTATTTCGAATTTTGTTCCTCGCGCGTGGAAGATGGCGAGACACAGACGGCAAGAAATCCTCTCCTCCCCCCTTTTTTTAAAGGTATGCAAAGGAAAACAAAAACAAAGAAACCCCCCACAGATGGCAAGAAATCCTCTTTTTTTAGGTATGCAAAGGAAAACACAAAGAAACCCCACAGATTGCAAGAAATCCTCTCCCCCCCCTTTTTAAAGGTATGCAAAGGAAAACAAAAACAAAGAAACCCCCCACAGATGGCAAGAAATCCTCTCCCCCCCTTTTTTTTAAAGGTATGCAAAGGAAAACAAAAACAAAGAAACCCCCCACAGATGGCAAGAAATCCTCTCCCCCCCTTTTTTTTAAAGGTATGCAAAGGAAAACAAAATCAAAGAAACCCCCCACAGACTGCAAGAAATCCTCTTTTTTTAGGTATGCAAAGGAAGACAAAAACAAAGAAACCCCTCACATTGCAACAAATTCCCCTTTGCCTTTTTAATTGCATACCTAAACAGATTGCATACCTTAAAAAAAAGATAGGATTTGTTGCAATCTGCTTTCTGTCCTCATGCAATTAAAAGGGCAAAGGGGAATTTGTTTCAATGTGGGGGGTCTTTTTTGTTTTCCTTTGCATACCTTAAAAAAAAAGGATTTGTTGCAACGGAACAAAAAAATAAACAAACCCCAGGTTGCTACGAATTCTCCTTTACTTTTAATTACTGGAGGAAAGGAAACCGATTGCAACAAATCCTCTCTTGTTTTATTTTTAGGTATGCAAAGGGGGTGGGGAGGGAAACCCAGATTGCAACAAATTCTCCTTTGCTTTTAATTATGCGAGGAAAGGAAACAGATTGCAACAAATCCTATTTTTTTTAGGCATGCAAGGGGGGAGGGGAAGCCCCAGATGGCAACAGAATTCTGTTTTATTTTTTAGTTGTGCTAGAAAGACCAAAGCAGGTTGCAACAAATTTCGTTTTTATTTTTAAGCAACAGCAAGTCTCCTAAACCGCCCTTCCTCTCTGCAGTGGGTGGAGAGGTAAACATAGCATACAATAAGAAATATAAAACTTGTCAATAAATAATAGGCACAGATAAATGAGTGAATAGGCTTGTATTGTATTGTTTTAGTCTAAAGGGTTAGGATGCCAAAAAAAATAGGGCAATGTCCCCTCCCCCCCTCCAAAGGTACTTTAGAAAAGATTGGATTTCCCTTGGTAAGAAAATGATAATTTAGCTTTCTGGGCCTTGCGGAGCCTGGGAGCTGCTTCCTCTCCTTCTCTTGGCCTCTGTGATGTTAACTCCTTTGAGCTCTTAAAATGCCTGTGCAGACCACTTTCTCAGGCAGGTTTGCCAGCAGCGCTGTGTTTCTACTAGCACCACCTTAATTTTGCTAACCCCCCCTGCCAAAAGAGACCCAGCAAAGAGGTTTGTGGCAGCCATCACCAACTTGGTGCCTTCCAGATGTTGTTGGTCCAGCTCCCATCATCTCTGACCATTGGCTATGCCGATGGGAGTTGGCTTTCAACAACATCTGCATTGATACCCTGTGAAAACGAACCTCTTTGCCTGGGATTTTTGGGTGGGCAGGCAGGTAATAGGAATTTTGTTTCTGTCGCAGATGAGAGAGAGAGTTCATGGGGTGTGTGCTATGCTTTTATCTGTTTTCTACAAGCCATGTTGAATCGCTTTTATTCTCTTGTGTTTTGTTCTAATGTAACCTCCCCAGGAATCTTTGGAAGAAAGGCAGGTTAGAAATTCTCTCGTAAATAAAAATTGCAAAGGGAGACTTAAAAAAAATTAGTTAACAACCTGGGAGCAGACTGAAGAGGCATGTTGTCTGCCTAAAGGGTTGCTTGAGTGTGGAGGTGTGATTCATAGTTGACCTCTCCCACCCACACTTTGTCATGGGAGGTCATCCTGATGGGGCCGCAGTATCTTGGACAGAAAACGTGGACGCAGGTGGATTTGAATATGTGCCCCTACCAGTGACAACTTTCCCTTTGCAAATATCTCCCCCCTGTTCTTTCCCTTCCATATCATCATCCCTTTAAGGACATCAGGTTACCTACTTTGGGGTCTGACACATTCCCCTTCGGTTCAAACCTGCGATGGCGACTTATCCTGGTATTCAACTTCCGCTTTTGATCTCGAAACATTCTGTTTATCACAGTTGATTCCTCTGTTCATCTTTATTGGAATTGGAGGGACCGGCGCGGGCCTCTACGTCATGCGCCTTGCTCTTCGCAATCCTGATGTCTGGTAAGTCAGCCTTTCTTTCTTCGGCGATCCCTCATAGCCGAGTAAGATTGTCTTCCCTAAACACGGTTTTAACAGTGAGTCCGTAAGTGACTGTGGAGGCCAATTCTGGATCCACACGTCCTTCCACATAGGTGTCCGGGTGGGAGTTGATCACGGAGTGGGTTTGCCAAGTGTGCCTTCCTCTTAGCACATTTCTCCCTTGCGTCCTGAGTTCGAGCATCTTCAAAGCCCATGACACCTTTGGGAAAGGCTGTTCTCCAATTGGAGCTATCACTGGCCAGTGTTTCCCAATTGTCAGTGTTTATACTACATTTTTAAAGATTTGCCTTGAGACAGTCTTTAAACCTCTTTTGTTGACCACCAGCATTACACTTTCCATTTTTAAGTTCAGAATAGAGTACAGTCATACCTTGGGTTACAGACGCTTCAGGTTGCGTTTCTTAGGTTACTTCTGGGTTTCGGGGATCGCGCTTTGCACATGCGCCGAAGCGCAACCCGCGTGTGTGCAGATGTGCTGCTGCGGGTTGCGAATCCTGTGGGTTGCGAACGTGCATCCCGCACAGATCTCATTCACAACCCAAGCGTCCACTGTATAGTAGTTGCTTTGGGGAGCCCTTGCCATGGTGCTGACAATTGCCACCCCCACAAAACCATGTCACGTGATCGCCCCAGGTGTCCTTCACGGATGAATACGAGGCAGCGCTTCTGAAGGGGACCTAAGCTTGACTCCTATCCATGGCAGCTGCACACTGCTTTGCTTTACTCAAAATTAACCACAGGGATCCGTGGCCTAAGTGGATGTGAGCTTGCTTCTTTTCAGAAGCGACACTGCCACCGAAAAGCATCTTGGGACCCAGCGGCAGGGATTGATGGCATGGCAGGGTCAGGCTGATGACTACCCTTGCAAGCTTCTTGGGGGCAGACCTTTTGCCACTTCTTTAAGTGTTGCCATCTTAAAGCACCACCTGAATAAAATAGGGCATGCTGTGCTGCAGAGGTAGTATAATAATCAAATTTATATGGCTCCCATCTGACTGGGTTGCCCCAGCCATTCTGGGCAGCTTCCAACCAATTATAAAACCACAGCAAAACATTAGCATCAGCTTCTTAGCTTTAGAGCAAGAAAATAAATAATAATAATAATAATAATTTATTATTTGTACCCCGCCCATCTGGCTGGGTTTCCCCAGCCACTCTGGGCGGCTTCCATAGAAACCAAAAATACACTAAAATATCACACATTAAAAACTTCCCTGAACAGGGCTGCCTTAAGATGTCTTCTGAATGTCAGGTAGTTGTTTATCACTTTGACATCTGATGGGAGGGCGTTCCACAGGGCGGGCGCCACTACCGAGAAGGCCCTCTGCCTGGTTCCCTGTAGCTTTGCTTCTCGCAATGAGGGAACCGCCAGAAGGCCCTCGGCGCTGGACCTCAGCATCCGGGCAGAACGATGGGGGTGGACACGCTCCTTCAGGTATACTGGGCCGAGGCCATAATAGCATTGCCATTCCTCAGCTGAGTTGTATCCGAGGCATTGCAATGAGCAGTACAGCATAGCTAAAAGGGTATTTTGGAAGAGAGTACAGTGGATGCTTGAGTTGCGAACATGATCTGTGCGGGAGACACATTCGCAACCCACAGCGTTCACAACCTGCAGCGCTGTGTGTGCGCATACGCAGGTTGCGATTTGGTGTTTCTGCGCATGTTATGGTACTTCCGGGTTCGGCACAGTGCGCAACCCGAAAACACACACCCTGAAGTGTCTGTAACCCGAGGTATGACTGTAAATCCAATTAACTGTGTGTGCAGAAAGCACAAAGACTAGCAGGAGCCTGCCATGGAGAAAGTGTAGGTAAAAGGTAAAGGACCCCTGGATGGTTAAGCCCAGTCAAAGGCGACTATGGGGTTGTGGCGCTCATCTCGCTTTCGCACGAGGGAGCTGGCGTTTGTCCACAGACAGCTTTCTGGGTCATGTGGCTGCATGACGAAACCGCATTTGGCGCAACGGGACACCGTGACGGAAACCAGAGCGCACAGAAACGCCGTTTACCTTCCTGCCACAGTGGGACCTATTTATCTACTTGCACTGGCATGCTTTCGAACTGCTAGGTTGGCAGGAGCTGGGACCGAACAACGGGAGCTCACCACCGTCACGTGGATGCGAAGCGCTGACCTTCCGATCGGCAAGCCCAAGAGGCTCAGTGGTTTAACCCACAGCGCCACCCGCGTCCCAGAAGTGTAGGATTGGGTTGCCAAACACACCAAAACGGAACCGGCTGTGCATTCACATAATTCTCTTCTGTATTTTATCACAGTATCAAATACATCTCTTGAACATAATCAACATATAAAGTACGACAATGTAAACAGAAGTCCCAATAGATCAGTTCATTCATAGAGTCCAAATATCTGCTAGTTTCTGTACCACGTATGTCTTTGTATGTTCATAAAATGGAAATGGGAACTTATTACAGTTCCACAGAATCTTGACAAGGATTTCCGGAATAATGCCTTGTTTCGCCTCCTGGGCTTCATCAGTTGTACATGTTCATATGTGGTATATCAAGATACAGTAGACGCTCGGGTTGCAAACATGATCCGTGCGGGAAGCACGTTCGCAACCCACAGCGCCGCGTCTGCACATGGGGCTTCTGCGCATGCACAAAGAGCAATTTAGCATTTCTGCACATGTGCGAGCGCCGAAACCCAGAAGTAACCCGTTCCGGTACTTCCGGGTTTCGGCGCGTCCATATCCCGAAAACCCGCAACCTGAAGCGTCTGTAACCTGAGGTATGACTGTAATGGAACTTTTGACATGGTGGCTTCGTGGTGCTTTAAAGCCAGTTAAGGAGGGATGCGGGTGGCGCTGTGGGTTAAACCACAGAGTCTAGGGCTTGCCGATTAGAAGGTAGGCGGTTCGAATCCCCGTGACGGGGTGAGCTCCCGTTGCTCGGTCCCAGCTACTGCCAACCTAGCAGTTCAAAAGCACCTCAGAGTGCAAGTAGATAAATAGGTACCGCTCCAGCGGGAAGGTAAACGGCGTTTCCGTGCGCTGCTCTGGTTCGCCAGAAGTGGCTTAGTCATGCTGGCCACATGACCTGGAAGCTGTACGCCAGCTCCCTTGGCCAATAAAGCGAAATGAGCGCTGCAACCCCAGAGTCGGTCACGACTGGACCTAATGGTCAGTGGTCCCTTTACCTTTACCTTAAAGGGGTTTTACTAATACTTGTGATATGGTGGGCTTTTTTTTTACATCCCACATTATAAAAGAAGTGTGCGCTTCTGGTGGCATTGAGGAGGCCATGATCATTAAATTGGTGAGAACCTTGTGCCAACAGTTGGGTAGAGTGGTTATGCTTCATGCTTTAGGTTTTTCTCCTTCTTACAAAGATGTACTGACTGCTGTCTTCCTCTTGTCACGTTTCTCTGCCTAGCTGGGACAAAAAGAACAACCCGGAGCCTTGGAACAAGCTGGGACCCAATGACCAGTACAAGGTATGGTACAAAATACCTAACTAGGGTTATAGAGTGCTGGTTATCCTATAGGCCAGGAATGGGGAGTCTGGTGTCCAGCAGAGGTTGCTGGACTCCAAGTCCCATCAGCCCCATCCATTGATTAGGAATGATGGGAGTAGAAATCCAACTCAGATATTTAAGCTAATCACTAAATAGCACTTAAACCTAGGTTATGGTTGCCACAACAAAATGTTGAGGCACCATTTTTTCTTGGTGACATTTAATATAACCAGTGAACCTCCTTGAGATCTATGGATGATGATGATGATGATAGTTTTTTATTTATACCCCACCCTTCCCGGTTCAAAAACCGGGCTCAGGGCGGCTAACAACAAATTTAAAACACTTAATTATAAAAGCAGCATAAAATACAGTGTAAAAACATGAATAACAGTAAAATTCAAAAATCAATTTAGGGGAAATAAGCATTAGATAATCCCCAGGGCTAGCTGGCAGAATTGGTCCTACTTGGGCCAGCGAGGCGGCCAGGGGAGAATTAGCTGTGGGGTCTCAGAGCCGATAATATTCATAAAAGGGGAAGGGATGGGAAGGGAAATAAAAGATCAGGCTGAATTCAGATTAAAGGCCAGGTGGAATAGCTCTGTCTTACAGGCCCGACGGAAGTTAAATCCTGAAGGGCCCTGGTCTCATGGGACAGAGCATTCCACCAGGTCGGAGCCATCACTGAAAAGGCCCTGGTGGAGGATAGTCTGACTTCCTTAGGGCCCGGGACCTCTAAACTATGGTTGTTCAGGGATGAAAGGCGGTTAATAATAATAATAATAATAATAATGTGTGATTACAGTATTTCAGGGGGTTGGAATAGATGACCCTCGGGTCCCTTCTGTGATTCTTCACTCTCCCCTCCGGTTCAATCTTCTCAACTCTGCATGATAAATCCCTGAGTTGCTGCCATTGACCCGTGATTCTGCCTGCAAAATTGCTTTTAAGCCCATTAAAGTTGAATGATTAGAGATCTTTTCCTCCTACTGAATCAATGGGGTATAATTTCAGTGTCTGCGCAACAGAAGAATTGTGATATTAACTGCCTGTTTAGGGCTCCTAGGCACTTGCCCAGTTTCTTGCAGTTCAGCTCTGAAAATACTTCCTTGTGCCTTGCTCTTTCTTGCCTAAGGCAATTATTTCTGGGTAGCGTGGAATCTGCTTGCCCCTTGTAGTACATTCTGCCTGCCCTTGCACAACTGTGTGATATTTAAGGCATCCCAACTCTTGTCTGCCAAAGAGAGCAGAAAGCTCTGTTTCTCCCATATTTGGCTTTGTATAAAAGCCGTTGTCCGGCTGTGTTGCTAAAAGAGGCCAGAGGCATGTGAAAATGAGAACACTTTGAGAACCGGTGCTTTAAATAACTTGAGATGTTTAGTGTTGCGTTCTAAACAAAACGTACAAACCCTTGCAATGTAAACGTTACTCAGAGATCCAGGAAAGGCAACCAGCAGCCTGGAAAATAAATCTCACTGTGATGATGTGTTCATGCATTCTGAATAAGGATGCAACATTTAGCTGATAAATATTTAAGCAGGTGCTCCTGATTTAATTTAAAAACCAATTAACTATAAAAGGCTTTATCACCTGCAGGTGGTAAGTCTCACCTTTGAGTGAGAAGGGAAAATGGCTTTGTTAAAGGGCTCTCTCCAACAACAGTGGCATGCATTATTTAAACACCAATCTGTTTCTTAAACTTCTATTTATATGCAGATGTATACAGATTTGCTTAAAACTCGTAATATGCTGCAAATTTAGTGGGTTAAACTGGCTGCCAGCCCTATAACTTCAACTGATCATAATATAGTGATCCAAAAGTCTTGGCATATCTGCAGATTGTCTGCAATCTGGAAAACAGGGCAACTAAGACCATGTACATTTCTGGCCTCCTACTGTCAGAGGAGATTACTATTTATTCTGCAAAACTGTGAAACTTAAGGGTTGCATTCTGGGCTACTTCACAACCCCCAGCAGATGATTTTCAGGGGGGGGGGGCCCAGGTGCAGTGAGTAAGAAAGTGAAAACAAGGTCTTGCATAATGTCACCATTTGGGTACAACTTGAACTGCTAAAAGGTTTAAAGGCTTGTTCTAGGAGTTCAAAAACTTTTGATGCAATCCAGAGGAGAATTAAGCCTTTCTTGAGTCCTCTGAAATAAAATAAAATAAAAACGGAGTGCTACGTTCTAGGCTTTCACAAAATCTTCTTTCACCATTTTGTGATCTACAGCTCTCAAACGACTTGAGACCTAAAGAAAAACAGAAGCTTTGTTTGGGCTTCAGGGTTTATATACTCAATGACCGGTCTTTCAAATACAGTGGTATCTCAGAAGTCGAACGGAATCTGCTCTGGAAGTCCGTTCAACTTCCAAAATGTTCAGAAACCAAGGCGCCGCTTCCAATTGGCTGCAGGAAGCTGCTGCAGCCAATCGGAAACCACAGACGTTGCGTCGGACATTTGGGTTCCAAAGAATGTTCGCAAACTGGAACACTCACTTCCGGGTTTGCGGCATTCAGGAGCCAAAACGTTTGACTCGCAAGGCGTTTGGGATCCAAGGTAAGTGGAAATGAATCAGCTGGTTGCAATGGTGAAATTATGGTGGCGCCGTCACTCTGTAATGGCAGTGCTGAAGTTGTAAGTCAGATATCCTATTTATAGCCAAGGAGTGGATCCAAGGGGAGACTGTTCCCCCAAGGCCCTATCTTCCAGATAACAGTGACCTAAGGTTTTCCAGTAAAACATGAAATGGTGCACACGCTACATCTTGTTAGTGTGCTTCGTTCATAACTTTTCTCCTAGTTAAATCAATAATAATACTTTTATTACTTATACCCTGCCCATCTGGCTGGATTTCCCCAGCCGCTATGGGCGGCTTCCAGCAAAATATAAAAAATAATGTCAAACATTAAAAACTTACTGATACAGGGCTGCCTTCAGATGTCTTCTAAAAGTTGTGTTGTTCTTTATCTCCTTGACATCTGATGGGAGGGCATTCCACAGGGTGGGCGCCACCACCGAGAAGGCCCTCTGCCTGGTTCCCTGTAACCTCACTTCTTGCAATGAGGGAACCGCTAGAAGGCCCTCGGCACTGGACCTCAGTGTCCGGGCAGAACGATGGGGGTGGAGACGCTCCTTCAGGTATACTGGGCCATTTAGGGCTTGAAAGGTCAGCACCAGCACTTTGAATTGTGCTCGGAAATGTACTGGGAGCCAATGTTTCAGGACCAGTGTTATATGGTCTCGGCGGCCACTTCTTGTTACCAGTCTAGCTGCTGCATTCTGGATTAATTGTAGTTTCCGAGTCACCTTCAAAGGTAGCCCCACGTAGAGCGCATGGCAGTAGTCCAAGTGGGAGGTAACCCTTTGTACGGATAGGATTTTCATCCTAACAGCTGTGCTTCCCTCTTCCAGTTCTATGCGGTGAACGTGGACTACGATAAGCTGAAAAAGGATCGCCCAGATTTCTGAAGAGCAACCGTTCTCCCCTCTACAAGCTGCACAAGATGAAGTGGTTTAGGTCTTCCAGAAGCCATCCGCACAACTCATACGCTTAAATCATCCAGGAAATGTTGAAACTGATTGCACAACGCACTTAAATCATGTTTTGCGACAGAGCTTGTTGGGACCCTAATAAAACCTAAAGCTTGAAATCTTAACACTTTTTCCTTTTTGCGGCGCAAGAGTTTCCTGACATGGGCAGCTGCGTGAATTTGATGGGAGGGCAGAGTAGAAATAATTTATCATAAATATTTGTGGCTTTTAGCCGTACGCCACTGCCTAAAAATAAAAAGCTGTCAGCCTTGACTGATGTGAAATCCAGAGTTAAAAATAAGCACTCTCGTGTTCTTTTTTTCTGAAATGCATTTACTAAAGAGCAGGGAACCCGAATTTCAAGTGTAGGCTATGTTGGAAAATAGCAGAATTCCGATACTTTTGCTGATCTTCAGCATAGACTTAAGAGATTTGATTGGGGTATATGCCCATCTTTTATGCTGCAGGAGAAAAAAGGAGAAAGTTCAAGTAGCTGCCTTGCAGCACCGCTGCACCCATGTCTACTTGGAAGTAAGTCCTACTGAATTCAGTGGGGCTTCCTCCCATGTAGGTGAGATTGTAGCCTTTGCCATTTTTGAGAGAGCTGTGGTACCAAGTAATTAAAAATAAAAATAAATGACTAAAATAAAATCCTTGTGTCTGAATAGCAAGTTCATGACCGCTTAAGCTTTTGCCAATGCAACAATGAAATGGTCCTCTTCTGGTCTCACTACAGTGGAAAGGCACCATGATAATAATAAAAATAAATTTTACTTATTTTATTATTTTATTAATTTATTTATTAGCCAGTGAGCGCTTGGTAGGCAGAGCTGAGGAGTGGGAATCTTAAGTCAGGGACACTGAGAACTTTGAATGTTTTTGTTCCTTCCTCAGAAAGGGAGAAATGGTTACCAAATAAAAATAAGTAGGAAAAAAAGATACTCAAAGAAACTGCCAGTACATAGTTCAGATGATGCAGAGAAAAAGTAAAATGGCACGGTGCTGGAATGGTTTCAGAATTTCTGATTTGGGAGTGCATTATCGGACTTTCTGAAACTTGCTGCACTTATTTAAGTGCTATGTTAAAAGATTCTCTCTTGGAAGTCTTCCTTTGTAACGTAAGAAAAGCCCGCTGGGTCAGGCCACTGGCCCAAGTTCAGCATCCTGTTCTCACAGATGCCTGTGTAAAAACTGAAAGCAGAATCTGAGCACAGCAGCACTTGTGATTCTCAGGAACTGATGCACAGAAACACGCCGCCTGTGGACCTGTAGGGAATATGTAGCCATCAGCTGACAAATCGCCCGGTTCAAATGGCACCCCACCCGAGGGTGGTTTTATCCAGATGTGAACCTGGCTTCATCTAGGCGCCACCACTAGCTGCCGATGGGCAACATCCCTCCTTACAGCTGCCAAGAGACGGAGATTTGTTAGGAAACGCCCCCCCCCCCCGCATTCCCCTCTTTTGGGACTACAACTCACAATAATTAATCAAATGTTAAAAACTTCCCTAAACAGAACTGCCTTCAGATGTCTTCTAAAAGTCAGATAGTTGTTTATTTCCTTGACATCTGGTGGGAGGGCGTTCCACAGGGTGGGTGCCACCACCAAGAAGGCCCTCTGCCTGGTTCCCTGTAGCTTCGCTTCTCGCAGGGAGGGAACCGCCAGGAGGCCCTCGGAGCTGGACCTCCGTGTCTGGGCTGAACGACGAGGGTGGAGACGCTCCTTCAGATCTTGCACTTTAACATTCCTCCTAAATTTTTGACCCGTCAACCAGGATTTAAAAGGAGTGTCTTTTTTTACAAACGCTCTTTTGCCAAGGGGATTTGGGAAACATACCGTATTTTTTGCTCTAGAAGACTCACTTTTTCCCTCCTTAAAAGTAAGGGGAAATGTGTGTGCGTCTTATGGAGCTAATGCAGGCTGCGCAGCTATCCCAGAAGCCAGAACAGCAAGAGGGATTGCTGCTTTCACTGCGCAGCAGTCCCTCTTGCTGTTCTGGCATCTGAGATTCAGAATATTTTTTTTCTTGTTTTCCTCCTCCAAAAACTAGGTGTGTCTTGTGGTCTGGTGCGTCTTACAGAGCGAAAAATACGGTAATTTATACTCAAAACAACCTAGAAAATAATTTTAAAATATGGAAAGAAGAAAGTCCATGAATCCTGCTGCTCATTCCATTTTTTAATTTTTGTTCGGGGCATTTTTCCCTGTTGTTGCCTGGATGAGAGAGGGGCAGCCTGTTTGGGGGGTGGAGTGCTCAAGCATTGGGGTGGGGGTTCAAATGCAGTCCTCCAGCTCTCTTACTGGGTCTCAGGACAGCCCCCAGACATGCCTCCTCTTCTCCACCCCTCACCAGCCCTACGTTTCTACCTCCTCGAGTGTTTTGGCCTGGCTGGAATTTGCCCTTGAGCTCCGAGAGTGCCCCATGCTTGCCTAGATCGACGATGGAGAGGGATGGTCTGAAGCGGCAACCTTCCTGTACCAAGGTAAAATGCTCATCTCAGTGCTCGGCCCGCTTTTGCCTCTGGAACTGCCTGCCACTGGAATGTGGCCCCTGGAAAGGTGTCCGGAATGGGAATGTGGCTCTCCACCTGAAAACAGCACATCCCGTAGCAGATTGTTGACCACACAGGAGCCACGTCACACCAGAGCAGACTGATCCAGTAACAGGACCACTGCTTTTTTTTTATAACTGGAATTATGCACAGCAAGTGCAAATGCTGAGTGCTTCGTTTCTCCAGCGCTGATTTTCTTCATGGGAAAGTCGACCACGGAAACTCCTAGTTGAAGCCTGGAGAGCTACAGCCCAGCCCATTTCCCAACCTCAGCAAAGCCCGGGAATTTTGGTCACCTTGCCCCAATCGTTCATACACCGACAGCAAAACTGGATTTGTTAAGTGTGGTACCTACAAGAGATCTCTTAGGAGAAGCTACTTCTATATTAACAGTAGGATAGTGAAAGGAGTGAAGCAGAAACTGGGTCACCTGTTTGACTGTGACATCAGCGGTAGAGAGGGATCTGCCTTTGCCAACCTGGTGCCCTCCAGGTGTTTCGCTCGGCCTGCTTTTGCCCCTGGAACTGCCTGCCACTGAATTTGGTCAAGTGGGAGCAGGTGTTACGGTTATCCTCCTTATCTTTGAAATGCGGGTGTTTAACGTGTTTCTCTTGAGATCAGCGTGCCCGTCAAAGTACCAGACAAACTTTTTAAAAGTTGCAAAGCTGTTAGATCTACTAAAAATGTTTATTGCTGATAAACATCTTAAAATCTTCCCTAGTTTACAAACGGAACAAAAAAAGTTCATTGTTATGAGCAAATTATTCTCCTCCTCTGTTCTGTGAACCAAATATATTCAGTACATCTGCTCTTATTCAAAACATTTACATCTCTAAGTAACAGATCTATGCCGCTATCCCAACTATAATTGTATTTGAAATAATAAATCTATATTAATATATTTTCCAACTCAGTTTTTCAGATTTATTTAGATGTTTTCTCTCTCTCTCATTAGCTCTCTACCGGTATTGTATCGATTATTAAATACAGTTAAGTTTTCTGACTGTAATCTTAAAACTCACCCCTTGTTTTTCTTAAAGGTTAGGGATTTTGCATCATCATATTGACATTTGCAAAATGCTTCCATTTATCCTCCAAGCAAACTGCCAAGTTCCATGTCACTCCCATCGTTTGTGGCCGGCAAAATGTTCATTTATCTCCCTTACAGTGGGTATAAGTCTTTCTGCACAATAAAATCTAGTTACATCATCAGGGTATTTTTTTCTTTCCAGGGCGGGCTAATACTTTGCAGCTGCAACTTCGTTTTTAAACCTATTCATTATTATCTGGTTCCTGCAGTTTCTCTCTTACACACGCACCCTCCATGCGCTGAAGATTGCTTGGGGTTAAGAGAGCTTGCAAAATGGTCCTTCTGCCTCAGAAGGGCTGCTCTGGCCCCGTCAAGAGAAAGCCCCCCCCCCCCCAAGACTGGCAGCCTAATACCAAGATTTTCTTCACTCAATTAAAACCTGGGGATATTCGCTTGCAACTTGTGGCGCACTGGAGCAAAGCAGTGACGTTTTAAGGCTGCAATCCTATCCCGGTTTACCTAGGAGCAAGCCCCACTGAATCGCACAGGGCTCGCTTTCAAGTGTAACTGTTTTTCTTAAAACGGGCAGGGATTCTCAAACCGCACAGAGAAAATCAAACTTCAAACACTCCAGCCTTGAAGTGCTGCGCTCGTAACACTTTTAACCTTGGATTAACCATGGGTGTCCACAAAACCTACCTTTCTTCCATGGTTTAAAATACAGGAACCTCTAGAAAGCTTATACCAGTGTTGTCTACCTTGATTGGAGATTTGAGACCAGGCTCTCTCCCAGCGATGCTGTTCGGGATTCGAACTTGGGACCTGCTGCACGCACAGCAGATGCTCTGCACCTGAGCGACCGCCAATTAGGAGCCTAGGGCTTGCTGATCAGAAGGTCGGCAGTTCAAATCCCCACGACGGGGTGAGCTCCCGTTGCTCGGTCCCTGCTCCTGCCAACCTAGCAGTTCGAAAGCACGTCAAAGTGCAAGTAGATAAATAGGTACCACTCCGGTGGGAAGGTAAACGGCGTTTCCATGCGCTGCTCTGGTTTGCCTGAAGCGGCTCAGTCATGCTGGCCATACGACCCGGAAGCTGTACGCTGGCTCCCTCGGCCAATAAAGCGAGATGAGCGCCACAACCCCAGAGTCCGCCGCGACTGGACCTAATGGTCAGGGGTCCCTTTACCTTTACAGGTTCTGCTTCATCCTGTCCCATGAAACAAAGGTGTCGAGATTGAGGCGGCAATTTTAAACCCTCTCACCTGGGAGTAAGTCCCACTGAATTCGGCCGGACTTCTTTCTGATTAAACATGGATAGAGGTTGTGTGCCGTAAGGTTTTCAAGTCGGTCCCAATATTATTTTTTTTAAAAATGGGGAAAGCCATCGATGTGGAAGTCTGCATTCTTTACCTGCTTGGCGGACGAGTGGAGCGTCGCAATCTTCAAGGCAGGCGAATTTCAAGTCGATTTGGAGAAGCTACTTTTGCTGAAGGGGTGGGTTCAAATGCTGTTGGACCCCCTGCAGCCCCATTGATCAGGGGTTGGGTGGGGGGTTGTGGCCCAACAACATCTGGAAGGCCAAAGGTTTCCCACCCCTTTTAGCACATTTAATCCCAGTATTACGAAGGCGATCTTGATTCTTTGCTTATCCGGAAAAGGTCACCGGATTACTGAGCACACCACTGGGTCACAGAATCCAAGAAACGTCTTGTTAGAATGGACCCTGTGGATCATCTAGCCCAGGTTTCCCAAACCTGGGTCTCCAACAGTTTTTGGACTACAATCCCCATCATCCCTGACTAGCTAAGGATGATGGGAGTTGTAGTCCAAAAACAGCTGGAGACCCAAGTTTGAGAAACCCTGGTCTACTCCAACCCCCTGCAATACAGGAATATGCAAGCTGTCTCGTACTGGGATCGATCCTGCCATCTTGCACCACGCTCTAAGAGAGTCATGGCCTGACAGAAAACAGGTTGCGATAGCTGCAATACTACCATGCAGATACATGGTTCAAAAAAATGTATTTAGGGACCCATTTCTGAAAGGTGAGTCCCAGAGACGAAAACACTGAAAACACAGCTGTGAGACAAACTCGGGCCATCTTGCCTGCAAGTTGAGATTCACAGCATCAACACCGCTGGTGGAGCTTTTCCTGCACTTTTAAATGAATCACAGTATAGGGCAAGTCTAATTTAACACTGCGGATGGATGGAGCAAAAGAGCCACATCTAACATTTTTAACACTCATGAAAGTCCAGAAGCCTGCTCTGTTAGAAATGGGTAAGGTTTTAAGAGCTCAGGGTTGGGGTCTGGATGGGGACATCTGAGCGCTTCCAGATTTTGTAGGACTCCAACTTTCGGCAACCCCAGAAACCAGCATGGCTAAAGGCCAGGGATGGTGGGAATTAATAGTCCAGCAAAATCTGAAAGGCGACACAGGGTCTCCACCCCTGTTAATGCGGAATCTCCTCTTTTTAAAACTCTCGAGCGAAGGATCTGCAAGTCGAGTTTGGGCAAACTCGAGGTAGATTGCACCAGCAAATTCTGCTTTCGTGGTCAGCTTGGGTCCAAGCTACTGGGAACGGAAGGCTTTAAAGATATCTGGAATGGTGGTGCATCACATTTGCTCTTTTTCAGAGCAAAATTATGAGAAGGGCAATAGGAACTTTCCCGAAACCACTGCTGGGTAGACATAAGCAACAAGGTGTCTCTCATAATGTATACCCTTAGTCTAAGTGCTCTAAAAACCTGGCGTTTTCCTTCACGAATTAGATGGAACCCGGAAGAAAATAAATATTTTGAGATGACTGCCTTCACCCATAAAGGGTTAGGGTCCCATCGGTTTTCCTAGACCAGGCATAGGCAAGCTCGGCCCTCCGGATGTTTTGAGACTATAATTCCCATCATCCCTGACCACTGGCCCTGTTTGTTGTTCTTGTTTAGTCATGTCCGCCTCTTTGTGACCCCCTGGACCAGAGCACGCCAGGCACTCCTGCCTTCCGCTGCCTCCCGCAGTTTGGTCAAACTCATGCTGGTAGCTTTGAGAACACTGTCCAACCACCTCGTCCTCTGTCGTCCCCTTCTCCTTGTGCCCTCCATCTTTCCCAGCATCAGGGTCTTTTCCAGGGAGTCTTCTCTTCTCCTGAGGTGGCCAAAGTCTTGGAGCCTCAGCTTCAGGATCTGTCCTTCCAGTGAGCACTCAGGGCTGATTTCCTTCAGAATGGAGAGGTTTGATCTTCTTGCAGTCCATGGGACTCTCAAGAGTCTCCTCCAGCACCATAATTCAAAAGCATCCATTCTTCGGCGATCAGCTTTCTTTATGGTCCAGCTCTCACTTCCGTACATCACTACTGGGAAAACCATAGCTTGAACTATACAGACCTGTTAGCTAAGGATGATGGGAGTTAGTCCCAAACATCTGGAAGGCTGAGTTTGCCTATGCCTGGCCTGGTCTCTGGAGAAGAGTTGCAATCAACTTGCGGCAGCAGGAACCAATGGCAGGACAAGGCAACGGCCGTCACTCACCATAGCTATGCTTCCCCTTAACTGAGGGTTCCTCTCAATACCAGCTGCTGCAGATCACAGAATCAGAGCTGGAAGGGACCACAAGGGTCATCTAGTCCACCCCCTGCAATGAAGGAATTTCTTGACCCACGACCCTGAGATTAAGTCTCTCCTGTTCTACCAACTGAGCAACCCCAAATCGCAAGTGGGGAAGAATTCCTGTTGCACCCAGGTCCTTCTTTGCAGGCTTGCCACTGGGTTATCTGCTTGCTGGACTGGATGGTCCTCTGGGCTGATCCTGCAGCCAGGCTCTTCTGTTCTCATTTTTACGTGGATGGGGCTCAAAGTGAAATACTGGTTCCCACCCTACGGAGAGAAGGGGATATTCTCCCTTTAAGAGGCGTTAGTCTGAGCTGCGCCAGCACCAGGGCTTGATGTTACTGGCTTGGGTCAACTCTGACTAAGGCTTACATGGTGCTCAACATAGTATTGTATCTTCTCCCCATGCACAGTCGCCAGGCAAAGACCAAAATGACTGGAATTGGGTGTTTAGCTAAGGGCAGAACAGCAGGTTCAGGTCAGAATATAAAATCAGCGGGGACTAACATTACACAAGCGGCTCACCTGCTTTGAGTATGAAGCACTCTGGCCACTAAAGCAGAGCTTTCCAAACTTTTCATGTTGGCGACACACTTTTGAGGCATGCGTTATTTCACGACACAGTCACTCAGTTTTACTAGCAAACTGGGGGTTACACCAACCTCTTTCCGGCCCCAGGAGGAGATTGGGGAGCTTTCACAAGACACGCCTATACGCTGCAGCCGACATGCTAACGTGTCCTGACACACAGTTTGGAAAGCTGTGCGTTAAAGGATCGGCTGGGATGCAAAACTAGGAAGTTCCAAGCTGTTTGCGGAAGGAGTGGGAGAAGCAGAAAGGAAAAGTAGCAGCAGCAGCAGCAGCTTGCAGGAACAGTTTTCCTGTATCACAGAGGCCTCTGCACTACAAGGGCAGATGTTTGAAGATCTCCAGGCACAACTGGCAGCAGCAGCAAGATGCTCCAACTAGCAGTATTTAGTCTTGTGTTGCAGCTACTACAGAAAGGAGGGAAAGGGGTGGGGAGAAGCCACACACACACACACACACACACACACACACACACACACCCTGGCCAGGTATGGGGAACAGGTGCCGCTGGACCCCCAGCCCCCATCAGCCCCAACTAGCATGGCCAATACAGTGGACACTCGGGTTGTGAACATGATCCGTGCAGGAGGCACATTCGCAACCCGCAGTGCCGTGTCTGCGCATGCACGGGTTGCAATTTGGCGCTTCTGCGCAAAGCACGATTTAGCGCTTCTGCGCATGCGCGACCGCCAAAACCCGGAAGTAACCCATTCCGGTACTTCCGGGTCAGTGGGTCCATAACCCGAAAAGACGCAACCTGAAGCGGCTGTAACCCAAGGTATGACCGTAGTCTGGGAGGATGGGTGCTAAGCCCAGCAGCAAAGAGAGAGTGCCATGGGTCCTTCTCTGCAGCCCCAGAAGAAGGGAGGTTTCTCAAACAGACACCAGCACTGAGAATCAGCTCCAAAAAAGCCTGGGCCAATCTGGTGCATTTCGGACCCCAATTCCCATCAGCCCCAGCATCACGCTGACTACTGACTTGAGAGCAAGCAGTCCTTCTGTCTAGTCAAGACACACACATACCTGCAGAGCTCAGAGGAGCGAGCCGTCCACCGCAGGTGAGCCTGTTTAATGGTCACAGATCTAGCTGACTACAGGTAGCACGGTCCTGCTGATGCAAGGATGACTGAAGCCTGTTCTGGCTTGCGGCACTTGCTAGATGCCCAGCCGAACTGCACGTACAGAAAGACCAGGCCCGGAAAGCTCCTATTTCCTAAAGTACAGCAACAGGATGTCAGCTCCTCATTAGGAAGGCCAATCTGGAGGAATTTAAGGAGATGAACCTCCACCTTAACACACACAAAAATGTTCACAAGCAAATCAAGGGCCAGTTAAGCTGGTGGTGAGAACCTGCCCCTTCCTCCCCACCAGTGATGTTGGACTCCCAGCAGCCAGCATGGCCAATGGTCAGAGCTGGCAGGAGTTTTAATTCCAGCAACACATGGAAGGAGGAAGGGTCCTCATCCCTGCAGGAAATGATGGATATGGAGAGTTGGGTTGGCTTGGCTTGGCAAGGAAAAGCGGCCCAGGAGGCAGAAAGAAGCCACCTAGATTCTGAACTGGAAGTCCCCTGCTCTCAACACTTCCTGATGGGGTCACCATGTTCAGAACCAAGCAACATTCACCTTTCTCCCCCACCTTCCAGCAGCCATTATATCTCACAGCACAAACTGGGTTTTCCTTACTTTTGCACAGCCAGGAGCCTGAAAAAGCAGCTTGCGGTGCAGTGCAAAAGGTTCTAATTTTGGGAGGGTGGGATGGAGTGAACGGGACATTTCACTGGGCCAGATCCCAGCTGTAGAGAAGAGAATGTGGGCAACTCACAGGAGCGACGCACTTCTTCCGTCCCCTGACCAGTGCACAGAAAATAAAAATAACCACTCAAGCAGTCACACTTGTGGGATGTTGTAGATACCAAATCCTTGCAGCGAGGAAAGATTCCCTGCAGGTCTCTGAACCAAACCCCTGAACTCCCCAGCCTTCCACAGCATCAGACGTCTATTTTTATTATTTCAGTCACCTCGACATAAAAAGCTACAGCAGCTCTACAGCCACCTAAGTAAGAACACCCCACCTGTAATACTACTAAACGGCTCTCCAGTAAGAATAGGCTGGAGGGATAAGATAGCGCCTTTTTTCCTCTCTCTCCGTTTTCTTTTAAAGCTCAATATTAAATATTAAATACTCTCGATTTTAGGCATACATTACTTTTGTCAAGAAAGACAAAATTAAAGGGGAAACAGCCCTAAGCACCCGCCTCTGAGCACCCCGGCAGGGGGGAGACGCAGTCGCCCTTGCCAGATCGATACAACGCCTCCTTCGGATACGATGGGGAAATGGGGAGCTCAGAGTGTCTCTTCAAGCATGGGGTATGTTTGCAGCATCAAAGAGCATGTAAGTGGGGCCTCTGGTTCCTTTTCTCTCTTTTTTTTTTTGCCAGAATTTCTCGTGTCCCGAAAATTCCAATGTTACTCCTGTGAAGTCAAAAAAAGGGGTTTGCGGCTACAGGCACTTCCACCCGGTAGACAGTTGGCAACCCATCCCGTTCCCACGTCCAGTCCTCCTTGAGGGGAGAAGCCAGGAATAACCACTGCCAACTTTTCCTAAGTTTCTTGAAAAAGAAAAAGAAAAAATAAACGAAACTGTTCAGAGTCTCCTTTTTTTGATTTTAGCAAAGAAGGTTACTTTAAAAGCACTTAGGAAGTGTGTACTAAAGTCTCCTGCGGTCCTCAGAGGAGCGAGTCGTCAGTACATCCTCCTTCGAGTCCGTAGCGGAATTCCTGCAAGTTGGAGACGCCGTAGAAGTGGACGAAGGCCGCGGCCACCACCAACACGTGGAAGATCTGATGAGACTGGAACTGCGGGAAATGCAAGGAGGGCATGAAAAAAAAAATCAGAGCCAGGGATTGGGGCAAGGGAGGCAGTGAGGTGCAGTGGTTAGAGGGCTGGACTAGGACCAATGGTACCAAATAGTATGGGAAACAACCCTACTAGATTAACCAACAAACTGGAACTGACACGGGGACAAATAGAAGACGATGCCTTCACCCCGGTATGGCTCCCCTTTATCACATACACAGCCCAACAAGACAACGACAAAAATCCACCAGCAGCATACGGATCAATATGGCTAACCTGATCCAAAACACCCACCCACCCCACTCACACACGAAAACAAGGACCGCCACAGCCAACCACAAATGAACAACCACACCTTAGGCCAACCCCAACCTTTCTCACCACCAAAGGAACACAAGCGAATAGCAGAGAACCTGCACAAGCAACGGTGACACAAAACCCCACATATATTAAGTAAAATAGAAACATCGCCACCCAACCCCACCCCCACCCATCTTACCCCCTTTTCATCCTAATGTCTCAACAAATGAAACTGATTTGTAAAAATGTTACATGGGGGGGGAATACGAGAGAGAGAGACATTACACACACTTTTGCAAATCAAGAAAATCTTTAATAAACAAAAACAATAAAAACCTATGAAGCTCACTGCGGGGCACAGGGGTCACCCACTGTCTCTCAGCCTAACCTACCTCGCGGGGTTGTTGCTGGGATTAAATGAGACGTGAGAGACCCATGTATGCCAGGCATAGGCAAACTCCGGCCCTCCAGATGTTTGGCACTACAACTCCCATGATCCCTAGCTAACAGGGCCAGTGGTCAGGGATGATGGGAATCGTAGTCCAAAACATGTGGAGGGCCGAAAGGTTGGGGATGCCTGTTCTATGCATTAAAACAGGGATCAGCAAACCTTTTCAGCAGGGGGCCGGTCGCCACTGTCCCTCAGACCTTGTGGGGGGCCAGACTATATTTTGAAATAAAATATGAAAAAAAATCCTATGCTCCACAAATAACCCTGAGATGCATTTTAAATAAAAGGACACATACAACACATGTAAAAACACACTGATTCCCGGACAGTCTGCGGGCCAGATTGAGAAGGCGATTGGGCCGGATCCGGCCCCCGGGCCTTAGTTTGTCTACCCATGCATTAAAAGCTGTGGCATGCCCTTGGGGAGCTGATGCTGCCGGCACATTATATTTTTATTTATTTTGGTACCCCTACACCAGCGATGTCCAACCGGTCGACCGCGATCGACAGGCCGATCCCTGGAAGTTTGCGGCCGGACCCTCTCAATCTGCGGCTGTGATAATTAGTGCACTGAAACTCCCATTCCCCCTCACCCGTCGATCTTTTGCTCCGTTGCGTCAAATGGGTGGTCTTTAATGGTATATTGCCAACGAGTCAGGAAACAAAAGTACAGCGGTACCTCGGGTTACAGGCGCTTCAGGTTACAAACTCCACTAACCTAGAAATAGTACCTTGGGTTAAGAACTTTGATTCAGGATGAGAACAGAAATTGCATGGCAGCAGCGGGAGGCCCCATTAGCTAAAGTGGTACCTCTGGTTAAGAACAGATTCAGGTTAAGAACGGACCTCCAGAACGAATTAAGTTCTTAACCCGAAGTACCACAGTATAAATATTTTTATAAAGGAGGATAGCTAGGCATGGTGTTGCTAAACTGCATTGCCACATTGTGCTTTCTGCTTGAATAAGAGAATTTTTCACGAGCGACTTGCTTGCTCAGAAATGAAAGAGGATATGCTTGTGTAAACGAAAAAGCTTTTAGCAGGCGCTGAAAAGAGTATACAGTGGTACCTCGGGTTAAGTACTTAATTCGTTCTGGAGGTCTGTTCTTAACCTGAAACTGTTCTTAACCTGAAGCACCACTTTAGCTAATGGGGCCTCCTGCTGCTGCCGTGCCGCCGGAGCACAATTTCTGTTCTCATCCTGAAGCAAAGTTCTTAACCCGAGGTACTATTTCTGGGTTAGCGGAGTCTGTAACCTGAAGCGTATGTAACCCGAGGTACCACTGTAGTCATTTCCAGTGCGTCGTTGTGAACGGTGAGCAATTCCACACACCCCCAACAGAACTTCAACACATTCCAGTCCGCCCCCTCCCCGTAAAAAAAAAAGGTTAACAACTCAAGCTTTTCCACCCCCCAAAAAATGGGCAGATCACTGCCGGTTTTTTATAGCTCGCAGTCCCTTGGGAGTTGGAAGTCCCTGCCCTATACCATCTTTCACGTCGCGCTGCAAGCTGATCTACATCAGAATTATAAGGTTATGTATGGAAATTCAACCAAGGGGAAGCGAGGAAGTCTCTTAACAATGTTAATAAGTGTAATTTTAATAAGGTTATGATTTATGTTTCTTTGTTTGTTTTGCTTGTGTATAATTTTGTGAGACTTAATAAGAGATCCAAGGGCCTCGGATATAAGGTTACCAGGTTGATGGACTAGATGGATGGGATAGAAAGGACTGACAAAACCCGAGACCAGGAGAAAGAGACGTTGGATGAAGATTGGAAGAAAGTTTTAAATAAATTATTTAGGAAAATCTTGTAAAAGTAAAGAGTATTAGAAAAATGTTGGAATGAAATTATTTGGCTTAAGCAGAAATGTTAAAAAGAATTATGTAAGAATATGTCATGGTTAAGAGAATTTGGTATAAATAAGATTTAAGTTTTAAGTTTTAGGGCCTTTTATGGTAAGATAAGTTTAAAATAGATTAAGATAATTTAATGACAGAATATTATGAAAGATGGAAAGGATTTGCTGAGATAATTAACAACTAGAATACAAAAAGGGAGGTGTGAGGAGGTCGATGAAACAAGGTAATGACAGTTAATGATTTGGGAATATTGGATTTGTTTTTAAATTTTTTGTCTATTTTTGCTTTTTGATTTTGATGTATTATGTGTTTTGTTTTTTTCTCTTTTTGATCTTGTTTTTTTTTATTGATCCGTATTGTTTAAATGCTACTTGTTTTTTCCTTCTTTTTTTTCTTTGTTTCTTTGTAATCTTAAAATTCTCAATAAATATTATTTTTTAAAAAAAATAGGGGATGACACTGATTGACACACACACACACACACACACACACACACACACGTAAATGCACAGCCTAATGATTTGACTGGGTATCCTTCAACTGAGAGGTCACCTCACCCCCCCCAAAGCCCACTTGACAGCTTCATACTGCGGAAACTGGCACTTGTTACAGGAGACACATAACACGCGCCCCGCCTTTCTGAGAAATCCATCTCTCCAGCGTGGCAGCACTTCCGCATTCTTGAACGCTCTTGCCTGTTGAAGGTACCCTCTCCGAAGACCGCCAAAAACATTTTTGTTTAAGCTGCAGGCATGGGCAAACTCGTCCCTCCAGACGTTTTGGGACTACAACTCCCATCACCCCTAGCTAACAGGACCGGGGGTCAGGGATGATGGGAACTGTAGTCCCAAAACATCTGGAGGGCCGAGTTTGGCCAGGCGTTGCTGATGTAGATCTCCATCTGTTCTTCGTTTGTTGCCGATTTAATCTTTCGAATGTTTCGAAGAGTTGCTTTTGCTAATGTCTCATTTTCTTTCGAGAACCGCTTTGAGGTTTGTTTGTTTTAAAAAAGACCACAATCAAATACAGTGGTGCCTCGCAAGACGAAATTAATCCGTTCCGCGAGTCTCTTCGTCTTGCGGTTTTTTCGTCTTGCGAAGCACGGCTATTAACGGCTTAGCGGCTTTAAGAAAAAGGAAACAAACTCGCAAGAACTCGCAAGACGTTTCGTCTTGCGAAGCAAGCCCATAGGGAAATTCGTCTTGCGGAACGACTCAAAAAACGCAAAACCCTTTCGTCTAGCGAGTTTTTCGTCTTGCGAGGCATTCGTCTTGCGGTGCACCACTGTAGTGCATAATTTTTGCAAAATATAAAAAAAACCCCCAAATACCACACCATTCGCCTCACTTACCCAGATATCGAACTTGCCAGGGAAGAAGCGCTCAGGGATGCGGGCGGCGTAGAGACCAGCTCCTGCGATGTACATGACAGCCATCAGGAAGAACCAGCCCATCTGCCCGACGGTGGTGGCTTTCACAAAGCCTTCAGCGATGGTGAAATGCATGGTGGGTACCACCCCACTCAGACCGAGCCCCAGGAAGACCCCTGCGAGGAGGAGAAAAGGGAGATCTCAAGCAAGTATTCAGAAGGGAAAGCACCAGAAATAAGGCAGCCTTTCCCAACTTCAAGGAAATTTCTCCCGCGGTACTGATGTCCTTTAGAGAGAGCTGCCCTACCTGCCCTCGTCTGCCTGTGCTTAGGCGTTGCAAACCGGTCCCACTGTGCGACGATGATCGCTGAGATACCCAGCACACATACAATGGAGAGGTAGATAAGTCGGGGCTGCGGGGAGCAGTAGAAAGAGTAGTACAGCCAGGGGACAAAGCTCCCCATGATCAGCAGAGCTATCCCAGAATAATCCAACCTAGGAAGGAAACAAACAGAAACCAGACGGAAGTGAGAGGCGTATTGCATATTCCGGAAATGGCAAGTCAAGTTTGCTTTGGGAAAGGAGATACTATCTTTTTTCTACAATCCATAAAGGTAAAGGTAAAGGGACCCCTGACCATTAGGTCCAGTCGTGGCCAACTCTGGGGTTGTGGCGCTCTTCTCGCTTTATTGGCCGAGGGAGCCGGCGTACAGCTTCCGGGTCATGTGGCCAGCAGGACTAAGCCGCTCCTGGCGAACCAGAGCAGCGCACGGAAACACTGTTTACCTTCCCGCCGGAGCAGTACCTATTTATCTACTTGCACTTTGACGTGCTTTCAAACTGTTAGGTTGGCAGGAGCAGGGACCGAGCAACGGGAGCTCACCCCGTTGCGGGGATTCGAACCGCTGACCTTCTGATCGGCAAGTCCTAGGCTTTGTGGTTTAACCCACAGCATCATCCACGTCCCCGCGTCTACAATCCATAGGGGCTATCGATTTTGACTACTGTACAAACACCTACATTTCAGTCAGTGTGAAGACGAAAACGCCAGGAAAGAGGAATTAGGTGCGATTCCTGAACTGCAGGGAGGGGTTGGACTAGATGACCTGTGGGGCCTCTTTCAAACTCTGTTATTTTACGATTCTATGAATGAGGTAAACCCACTATAATGTTCAGATATAATAATAATTTATTATTTATACCCCGCCCATCTGGCTGGGTTTCCCCAGCCACTCTGGGCGGCTCCCAACAGAACATTAAAAACACGATAAAATATCAAATGTTAAAAAGTTCTCTAAGCAGGGCTGCCTTCGGATGTCTTCTAAAAGACAGATAGTTGTTAGTTTCCTTGACGTCTGATGGGAGGGCATTCCACAGGGCGGGCGCCACCGCCGAGAAGGACCTCTGCCTGGTTCCCTGTAACCTCACTTCTCGCAGAGAGGAAACCGCCAGAAAGCCATCAGAGCTGGACCTCAGTGTCCGGGCAGAATGCTGGGGGTGGAGACGCTCCTTCAGATATACTGGACTGAGGCCGTTTAGGGCTTTCAAGGTCAGCACCAACACTTTGAATTGTGCTCGGAAACGTACTGGGAGCCAATGCAGGTCTTTCAGGACTGGTGTTATGTGGTCTTGCCGGCCACTCCCAGTCAGCAGTCTCGTTGGGGCATTCTGGATTAGATGTGGAGTTCAAACCTGTCTTTGGGTTCATGAACAGAAGCACTGCCAGGGGCTGGTTCTGCTCTTACCTCTCATTTTCAGCCTTTCTACCTACTAAGTAGGTATGCATTAAAAACATACACACGCATCACAGCTGCCCCAAATTTATCTACATTTCACTTAGCAGCCAAAAAACAAAAACAAACCCTTAACAGTTGAGTGTCTTAATCGACCCGGGTTTCAATTCCAGGTCAACTTACTTGGAAAACGTCCGGGACACCTTCTCTGAATGGCAATAGACTGTATGGAAAAGCCAGGAAAAGCTGAGGCAAAGCACAGCCCCGAGGAAAAACATCCCAAAGACCACCTTTTCCTGCAGAGGGGCCATGAAGTACATGTTCGGCCGGAGCATGGTCAGGATCCCCAGGCAAAGGAACAGCACAAAACCTGGAGCGGAAATGCAGAGCAGAGAGAGGGAGGGAGTCCCATTAGCTGATTTATCAACAGGCCAAAGAGTTTCTGTCATAGCCTTTGGTACCCAGTAGATCTGAAGGATTCAACAGACCTGAACCAATGCAATAAAAATCCAGGAGAACAAAACCCGATAAAAACCAGGAGAACAGGAGCTGACACATTAAAACTAAAACTGGGATACTGCCAGGGAGGCAAAATCCATCATGACTCCACGTCGTCTCCGGACGTCCATCGATCTCCCGTAGACACGCAGTATCAGCAATTAGCGACACGAGCTTCCAGAAATAGCTTGCCACATTCCAGAGCTCATGCACGCTCTATCAGCAGATAATGCACAGCGAAAGATGCACGCAGGAGAGCATTATTTACAAGTTTATTCAGCGTTGGTCAGAACAAAGAAAACATGACTGCCAGCTTCAGTGTCTCAGACACAGAGAGCGAAACGAAAGCAAAGACACAAAAGAAACATCCTGTGAACAGGAAATACGCAGGCTGTGACACAAACATCCTGCTCCCTTTTAAGGTGGAACGGAAATATCCTAACAGACAGCATTGGGAGGAATTCCAGCACAGAGCTTAAGTTCCCCAGAATAAAAAAGGTTATTAAGAGCACATCTGAAGATTTTAAGAAAGGGGTGGACATAAATGTATCTGGGGAAGGAGACTGTTCAGCACTCTACCAAAAAGTTCCACTAGCTCCAGTTTATGGAACAGTGCCTATAATCCCTGGCTGGGGCTGATCAGAAGTGGCCTTGAAAACAGCTACATAACACTTCATTGGCTACCCCTGCACGAAGGGGGCAGAGGCCATCTCAGCCCCAAAACATGAACCCAAACTGAGGAGGATGCAAATAATTGCAGCTCCTTCTATGAAGAGGTGGAGAGGCCAGCACTGCCAAACTGATCAGGCCAAGTCGCCTGTGGCTCTCCATCTCTCATGGATGCTTTAGTCGAGATTCCTGATTTGCAGCGGGTTGGACTAGATGACCCTGGGGTTCCCTTCCAAGTCTACAAATTGATGATGACAATGATAAGCCGCTGTGAAAAGTCCCTGAGTTAGTCGGAAGGCTTTCCCATCCCAGAAATAAGCCGGGAGGAAGGAATAAAATACTAGGCACCTAAGGAACTATCGTATTTTCCCAGCCCATCTAAATGATGGTCTGCATTAACAGACTTGAGGAGGTTTGGGACCAAATACGTGTATCGTGGCTTAGGGCCCTGGTATTTACGGGACCGCCTCTCCTGGTCTGCCCCGCAGAGGACCTTATGGTCCATGAATAACCATAGTTTAGAGGTCCCGGGCCCTAAGGAAGTCAGACTATCCTCCACCAGGGCCAGGACCTTTTCAGTGATGGCTCCCACCTGGTGGAATACTCTGTCCCAGGAGACTAGGGCCCTACAGGATATAACCTCCTTCCGTCAGACCTGTAAGACAGAGCTATTCCGCCTGGCCTTTAATTTGAATTCAGCCTGATCTTTTATTTCCCTTCCCTTCTCTTCCCTCCCCCTTCCCTTTGATGAAGATTACCCGCTCTGAGACCCCACAGCTAATTCTCCCCTGGCCTCCTCGCTGGCCCAAGTAGGACCAATTCAGCCAGCTAGCCCTGGGGATTATCTAATGCTTATAGATGGATTTCCCCTAAATTGATTTCTGAACTTTGAATTTTATTGTTATTCATGTTTTTATACTGTATTTTATGCTGCTTTTACAATTAGGTGTTTTAAATTTGTTGTTAGCCGCCCTGAGCCTGGTTTTTAAACCAGGAAGGGCGGGGTATAAATAAAAATTTATTATTATTTATTATTACCAAACGGCATTGCTTAAACAGTGACACCTCTGGGGTAAGCACAATACAGCGGTACCTTGGTTTAAGAACAGCTTAGTTTATGAACAACTTGGATTAAGAATGCTGCAAACCCGGAAGTAGGTGTTTTGGTTTGTGAACTTTGCCTTGGAAGCAGAACATGTTGAATGTATTCCATTTGTAAATTGAGTCCCCCACTGCTATGGGAAAGCACACCTTGGTTTAAGAACGCTTTGGTTTAAGAACGGACTTCCGGAACGGATTAAGTTCTTAAACCAAGGTACCACTGTATACAATTCCTTCCCAAGGCCCTTATGTTGTTCATAGGAACGATTTGCACGATATGCAAGATCTCCACAACGTAGATCACATTCAAGCCTAGAATCAGGTAGAGAAGATGGGTAGGACAATGACGAGGAGGACAATTCTAGATCCAAATTCTAGATCCACCACCTTTGTGGACAATTCCAGTGCCCCAAGGGAAGAAAAAGTCGCAGTGGGGGAGAGATGCTCCCTCTCAACATTAACACAGGTACCAGAGATCCAGAGTATTAAAGTAGGAACCAGAGAGTCAGGGTCACCTAGCAAGTGGGTCCAAATGTTGCCCGTCTCCGTGTGGATGCGGAAGATGCTCTTGAAGCAGGCTCTGAAAGAGGGCATAGGGGGCCGGTGCCCGTGCAGGAGGTAATCGTTATCTTTCAGCCAGTCGGGCAGCACGTCGTAGGGGATGACCCTCCAGCGGCCTTCCCAGACCTGCAACACACCAAACCATGTGGGGCAGTCAGTACCTGGGAGCACATTGGCACAAGGAGAGTCTCCACCCCCATCGTTCTACCCGGATACTGAGGTCCAGCACCGAGGGCCTTCTGGCAGTTCCCTCCCTGCAAGAAGTGAGGTTGCAGGGAACCAGGCAGAGGGCCTTCTCAGTGGTGGCACCCGCCCTGTGGAACGCCCTCCCACCAGATGTCAAAGAAATTAACAACTATCCGACTTTTAGAAGACATCTGAAGGCAGCCCTGTTTAGGGAAGCTTTTAATGTTTGATGTATTATAGTATTTTAATATTCTTTTGGAAGCCGCCCAGAGTGGCTGGGGAAGCCCAGCCAGATGGGTGGGGTATAAATAATAAATTTTTATTATTATGGGAGGGAGCCGCCATTAGGCTGTGAAACGCACGGTCTGGGGCGCAGCCACACCACCCCTCCTGCAGGCGACTCTTGCACAGCTTTTGATGAGGACACTTGCAGCATAAATCATTGGTTGCCTCCACATCAGAACTCTCAGCCCATGTCCCAGGGGAGACAGAGGACCTGAACTGGGCTAGCTCCCCAGAAAACAAATCATTTGCAGATCTGCTGCTTTACCAACTGCACTGGCTCCTGGTGGAGGACAGGGTCAGGTTTAGGGTGCTGGTTTTGACCTTTAAAGCCCTATGCGGCCTAGGACCCTCGTACCTACGGGACTGCCTCTCCTGGTATGCCCCGTGGAGGACCTTAAGGTCCACAAATGACAACATTTTGGAGGCCCCAAGTCGAAAGGTGGTTAGATTGGTCTCAACTAGGGCCAGAGCCTTTTCAGTACTGGCCCTGACGTGGTGGAACTCTCTGTCACAAGAGACTAGGGCCCTGCGGGACTTAACATCTTTCCGCAGGGCCTGCAAGACAGAGCTGTTCCGCCTGGCCTTTGGTTTGGATTCGGTCTGACCCTTATGTTTCCCTCCCCTTATGGTTTTGATCTATGGGCTACTTTTAAAATGAGGCTGCATTTTAAATTGTATTTTAACCTGTATTTTAAATTGGTTCCCCCCCATTATGTTTTTACTGTAATTTTACTGGTGCTAGCCGCCCTGAGCCCGGCTCTGGCTGGGGAGGGCAGGGTATGAATGTGACCCAAATGTCTGCCCACCATTGCTTCTGGTCGTGCCCATTTTTGCCTCTCGGTCCACATGGCCCCTGGGAGGCTGCCCAGAAAGGAGTGTGGCCCTCAAGCTGGAAAAGGCTCCCCGTCCCGGTCTAAAAATTTAATTCCAGTAAGCAGGAAGAAGTGGATCTGATGCCTCCAAAACAAGTCTGGCCATACAGAGATGGGATTGTTCTGGAGGAAGAACCACAGACTACTTCTTTCAAACTTGCGAAGCTTCGTAACTGGACAGAGCTGTGAGCTCCTTCCGTTATTTTATTTCCAGGGAACTGCTTGACTAGCCAAAGCTTGTAGGAGTCTCTTGAGCAGGAGGACGGGGGCCTCTAGATGTTCTCTAACTTCCACAAGACCCAGCAGATGGCAACGGTCAAGTGTCAGGAAAGGAGTGAGGTCAGCTGTGAAATGAACTCTTTATTCAAGGAAACAAGGTTGACTCATTAGGCCAGGCCTAGTGAGCACAGCAACTCGTCCCGGTAGATCTTGCCCCTATGAGGCAGTTGTGGGGAGTGAAGGTCCCAACCTTCCCACAGCTGCCTAAATCTCCTCCTCTCCCTGGTTCCTCCCAAGCAATCTGAGACTTTGCCAATGCCCCGTCTCTGCTGTTCACACCTCTTCTGGTTCAGGGAGACGAGAAGGATGGGGAGCTGGTCTTTGCTTCTTGGCTTCCCTACTTCCACTCTCCTGCTTCGGCTTCTGCCTCCGATTCTGGACTGCTCTCTGCCACAGACTTCCTGCTCACTAAACCCTGTTGCCTCTTCAACTTCCGACACCTCCTCCTCCTCCCAGCCTGCTCCTTCTTCTTCCTCTGACTGCTCGTTGTGCCCCCACCGCCACTCCCCAGGCTCTGAGCCTCCTTCCCTTGGGGGTTCCCCAGCTGGTGCCTCCCACTGTTCCTCTGCGTCCAGCCAGTCCATGACATCAAGGGTCTAGCAAACATCCCGAGGTTCTCACATTCCCCACCCCTCCTTGAGATCTTGCATACCAGAAGGAGCGTCTCCACCCCCATCGTTCTGCCCGGACACTGAGGTCCAGCTCCGAGGGCCTTCTGGTGGTTCCCTCATTGCGAGAAGCCAAGTTACAGGGAACCAGGCAGAGGGCCTTCTCGGTGGTGGCACCTGCCCTGTGGAATGCCCTCCCTTCAGATGTCAAAGAGAACAACAACTACCAGACTTTTAGAAGACATCTGACAGCAGCCCTGTTCAAGGAAGCTTTTAATGTTTAACAGACCACTGTATTTTGATATTTGGTGGAGGCCGCCCAGGGTGGCCCAGCCAGATGGGTGGGGTATAAACAATAAATTATTATTATTATTATTATCAAACTCAAACTCGATTTGCCATGCTCCTGTTTTGCTTGCAAAGGAAGGAAGGAAGCCAGAGAACATAGCATACCCAGCTCTGCAGCTGAAACAATGGAAGCCTACAGCCCCAACACCAGCTTAGAGCGCCAACCCAACGTTACCTTGTATACAAATTCTTCCATTTTCTCCATTGCATGATGCGCCTGCAGAGGGAGGGTCAGCACGCGCACCTCCTCCTCCTCCTCCTCCTGAGTTGCTGGGCATGGCTGGTCTTGAACCTAGGAGAAGATCACACAGCCTGAGCAAAGGGAAAGGGGTCAGACCGAAAATGCTCTTGAATATTAAAGAGATAGTCCAAACTCATGGGTTCCTTCCGGACCACCTGTTTATATATAGAGCGTTTGTCCTGACTGGTTTGCAGGGAGCTTGGATGGTGCTGAGTCAAAGCACACATTATCCCACAGGTTACAGTACAACTTTCCTAGCAATTTCCTTATTATTATTTTTCTAAAAACCTAGTGGGACTTGACATCTTTCCGCAGGGCCTGCAAGACAGAGCTGTTCCACCAGGCCTTTGTTTCCCTCCCCTTACGGTCTTGATTTATCAGCTACTTTAAAATGAGGCTGCATTTTAACCTGTATTTTAAATTGGGGGTTTTTTCTCCCCCCCCCTTTTTCCCTTACAGTGGTTCCTCGGGTTAAGAACTTAATTCCTTCCAGAGGTCCGTTCTTAACCTGAAACTGGACTTAACCTGAAGCACCACTTTAGCTAATGGGGCCTCCTGCTGCCGCTGCGCCACCAGAGAACGATTTCTGTTCTCATCCTGAAGCAAAGTTCTTAACCTGAAGCACTATTTCTGGGTTAGCGGAGTCTGTGACCTGAAGCAAATGTAACCTGAAGCGTATGTAACCTGAGGTACCACTGTATTATGTTTTTACTGTGATTTTATTTGCGTTAGCCACCCTGAGCCTGGCTCTGGCTGGGGAATAAATAAATTTTATTATTATTATTATTATTATTATTATTATTTTGGGGTGGGTCTGTGGGGAGGTGGGTTTCTTGCACAAGACCTCCACACAACAAGGTGAGATTTTATTCCCTGTGCTTCAGACTTCAGAGGCTCTTTATCAACCACACCAGCTCAGGAAATATGGATGTCATGATTTATGCACTATTTCTTTCCCTTATTGGTGATTGTTTGTTTGCTTTGTGTGTTTGGGGTGTGTGTGTGTGTGTGTGTGTGTGTGTGTGTGTGTGCAATACCCTGCTATTGAACTTTTGGGTTGTTAATAATGGAGATATATAAATAAAATTGTAACAGAACAGCCTGAAATTGCTTGAAGGTGGTTGAATCCCACTTGACACCAGAAAACAGCTCCAGTTTTGTACAGAGCAGTATAGGAGGGCCACAGACAGACAGCAAGCAAGGAGCTCCTGGTAAGCAGCAGGAGAAGACGCGGCCATCAGAGAACTCCAGTCACCCAAAAGGAACCCCCTCCGTGACTGTCTGCACATGTAGCAAGACCGGTCAAACTCTGCTGCAGCCATAATCCCAGATTTCCTTTGCAGAAAGGATTAAAGGTAACGGCATTTCCTCGTCTGCTGCTAAGAGGGCAACGCAAATTGGCAAACTCCATTTCTCTCCTTGGCCTGGGGCCCAGGAAACAAACTCGCAGCCCGCCAAAGCAGAACAGAGGAGGGCAGGCTCTCCTTTTCAGCCGCCCGTCTCCTACAAGGCGGGCTTCGGCGTAGGAGGCCTGTTCGCCAGCTCAAAGCTCTGCCTGTTACGTTCTCAGCACAATGAGGAAAAAACAAGGCAGGTTCGCAGTTGCAAGGAGAAGTGGGACCGCGAGAGGAAGCAGTCTTCGAGTTGCATCGCACAGGCAGTTCTGCAAATGGGCAAAGGGAGGAAGCTGGCAGCCTTGCAAAGCCTGAAGGCTCTCAGTCCACCAGTTTGGAAGACTCGTTGCGAAATCTATACATTCCAGCTGTGAGAAAATGCTGCAAGGGCCGCGTTTGCCCTGCGCGCACACACATCCCCAGACCTGGAGCCCTCCAGATGTTTGGGACGAAGTCTCCCATCAGCCCCAGATGTGCTGGCCGAGCCCGAAACATCTGAAGGGCATCGGATCGCAAAAGAAGGGCCTATCTTAATCAAATGCCATTGAGCTCCTGCGTTTAATGCTAGTAATTCTACTGGTGTGTTCAAGGGTTGGAATTGGATTGGGAAGACCTTCTCAGCCATGAAGGTCACTGGATGCCTCTGGGCTGGTCGCTTCCACCCATTCTAAACAATTATATTGTTACATGCCAAGAGATGTGGATCCAGCACTGCGCAGAATCACAGCACCGATAGGCTAGGTGAAGGTCAAAACAGGGGATCACACAAGCTGACAAGATTACAGCTACAAAGCCGCTAATAGGATTTGCCAGTATATTTATGGTTGTTTGACAAAGACATGGAAAGAGCCTTAACGCCTAGAACGAAGACTGAGAGACTTGATTGGGCTCTGCTAACTATACTATCACTGGCAAACTATCATTTTATGAAACCAAATTCCTTCTAGTAGCACCTTAGAGACCAACTAACCTATCTGAAGACGTGTGCATGCACACAAAAGTTCATACCAATAACAAACTTAGTTGGTCTCTAAGGTGCTACTGGAAGGATTTTATTTTATTTTTACTTTTTGTTTCGACTACGGCAGACCAACACGCCTACCTACCTGTAACTATCATTTTATGGTATCTTGGAAGCGGGGCTTTCTCTGGGGTAAGGACAACCTTCTGGAACTTTCTCTCCCTTGCCCCTTGCCAAATGGGAGGAACCAATGCGATGAGCTTCAAGTGACAACTGGAACGTCACCTGTTTTCTCTCTGTTTTCCACGACCCTCAATTGAGCTGCTATGCTTTTGCCTTGCTGGGATTTTATGGTTTCATACGGCACTGTGTCTTTTAGGCAGGGTGCACACCATATATTTAAAGTATACACAGAATGAATCCTGGAAATGGTTGTTTACTCCTCACTCCTACAATTCCCAGCACCCTTAACTACAGTTCCCAAGATGTCTGGGGAGGGGTGTACAGACATTGTGGTGTCTGGGTGTATATAACACGCAGACACACACAAACAAACACCTCTGTTATATTTGTTATCTTTTTGTAAACCACTTGCAGACTTTTCTGGGTCTGCAGACTTTTCTGGTGACGAACAGCATATAAATACATGAAATAAAATGATGGATGTGTTCCCATCACAAATTCAGACACATCTCCTTGTAAGAAGGAGGGGGGCTTGATAAGACCCTGCTCCCCCTTCTCCGGCCTTATTTATTCCCAGTGGAGAACGCAAAGTTCCCTGGAGGTACACTGCTTAAATCCTGCCATGCTTGTATGGTTTATATTTACTTATTTAGAAGGATTCGTAAACCACTGAAAGAATAGTGTGCAAATAAAGCAGGAGATAAAGCAAAGCTAAAATCCACAGAACATTAAAAAAACACACATGCCTAAACATCCATCATTACAAAGCAATAAAACCAGCAAAACTAATACAGGAAATGAAATTTATTATTATTATTATTATTATTATTATTATTATTTCTCGATAGGCTTGTGGGTGGCAGGCAACTATAGCAATATAGCAAGAGCACTTGTCTAATGTCAGTAACTAAAAAGGTAAAGGGACCCCCGACCATTAGGTCCAGTTGTGGCCGACTCTGGGGTTTTGTCGCTCATCTCGCTTTATTGGCCAAGTGAGCCGGCGTACAGCTTCCGGGTCATGAGGCCAGCATGACTAAGCCACTTCTGGAGAACCAGAGCAGCGAACGGAAATGCCGTTTACCTTCCTGCCAGAGTGGTACCTATTTATCTACTTGCACTTTGACGTATTTTGAACTGCTAGGTTGGCAGGAGCAGGGACCGAACAATGGGAGCTCACCCCGTTGCGGGGATTCGAACCGCCCACCTTCTGATCGGCAAGTCCTAGGCTCTGTGGTTTAAGCCACAGCGCCACCCACGTCCCTATGTCAGTAACTGGGGCATGCTAAATTACGTGTGTCAGCATGCAGATAGAAGATCAACCTTTACAGGTATTTCTTTACGGTCCAGTACAGTGGTACCACGGGTTAAGTACTTAATTCGTTCCGGAGGTCCGTTCTTAACCTGAAACTGTTCTTAACCTGAAACACCACTTTAGTTAATGGGGCCTCCTGCTGCTGCTGCACCGCCGGAGCACGATTTCTGTTCTCATCCTGAAGCAAAGTTCTTAACCTGAGGTACCACTGTATAGCAGAGTCTGTAACCTGAAGCATCTGTAACCTGAGGTACCACTGTATACCTGAAGGAGCGTCTCCACCCATCATTCTGCCTGGACAGTGATGTCCAGCTCCAAGGGCCTTCTGGCGGTTCCCTCGCTGCGAGAAGCCAAGTTACAGGGAACCAGGCAGAGGGCCTTCTCGGTGGTGGCACCTGCCCTGTGGAACGCCCTCCCACCAGATGTCAAAGAGAACAACAACTACCAGATTTTCAGAAGACATCTGAAGGCAGCCCTGTTTAGGGAAGCTTTTAATGTTTAATGCATTACTGTATTTTAATATTTTGTTGGAACCTGCCCAGAGTGGCTGGGGAAACCCAGCCAGATGGGCAGGGTATAAATAATAAATTATTATTATGTTTCTATTATCATTACATACATATCCTGCCTTTTCTCCAGGGTGCTCAGGGTGGTGCATGCATGCTCCCCGCCCTTCACCATTTTATCCACCCCACCGCCCTGTAAGGCATTAACCTGAAAATAGCTTTGCTTTAATGGGGTTTAGCATCTCTCTGGCAGGAAGCTTACTTACAATGGCCGAACTGGTTGCCGCTTGGTCTCCTTTCTCCTCTAAGAGGGGTCCGAGCTCAGCCAGCTCCACAAGTTCCCTCTCCCTGCCGTTAGCTGAAGGCCCATTTCCTTGGCTGGCAACTGAGGCTTTGCGGGACGACATTTGGGCAACGCAGACACCAGGTCTCTTCTCCTTTCCGAAATCAGATGAATAGCAGGGTTGCCCAGCACCCTGACAAAGACTTCTCACTAGGAAGAAGAACAAGTTAATTTGTAAACCGGTCTGCTTCTGAAAAGAGGTGTTTTCCCCCCCTCCAGACACATATTGGATGTTCCTCCTCAGAGAAGCTTGGAACACTTCCAGATTCTCCTCATTAACTGAATACAGCTGTCACCCAGTTAAAGGCATCTTAACCGATTAATTGCACAAGTTGCGGTAAACCGAATCTGTATCACGGGGGGCAGGGGAGTGCTGAAAGGTGGGGCAGGGAAATTATTTCAGCGATTGCGGATGATTATTTTTTTTTAATTTAATATTGGCACACTGCTTTTCCAGCAACAACACTGAGCTCAAAGCAGCTCACTATCACAACACTTCCATCAATATATCTGTTTCCAAAATCACAATGCCATGCAAGTAAAGCAAAAGCGGAACATTCAATAAGCAAGTAGCTCAGATAAACGCAAGCTCAGAAAAATTCAAAAATGACTTTTCAGAAATGGCTGCTGACTGAAAGATGCATTCACTGTGTGAGATAGGAAGGATATTCCATCTAGGTTACTGCACTTAAGAGTCATTTCAAGAAGTTAAAACAGTCACTCTGCTTTACAACCCAGCACACTTCTTAAAAAATAAAGAATGAATCAAAAAAATTTAAATTGCTTTGTTGATGACTTGGTTAAATAAAACAATGGGGGTCTTATTACTGAATTTGCTAGTCTACTTCTCTGCTTTGGGGGATTTCCCTAACTATTAAGCTGTTTTTCCAACTGCTTAGAAATTAGCCTTCGCCAACTCCTTTGAGGTGTTTTCATGTCACGCCCCCCATCAAGTGTGTAATTTTTATGAATTAAAATACACACACACCTTGTAGGAGGGCAAAACTCCTACCAGGGGCTGCAGGGGATGCTCAGAAAGGATGGAGGCCCAACTAGCACTAATATTATGTTCTAAAAGCGCCAATCAGAAGTCCACTACTGAGGAACAATGTCCTCCAAACAACAATAATTTGGCAACCTCGCTGAATGAATGGTGCCTGCAACTATACAGGTGTATTCCAAAATGAGATTTCAAAGAGCTGTGGTTCAAAGCCATTCAGAGAGTGAGAAGAAACCACAAAAGACCTTGCAAAATTCTATAAAATTAAGTTGCGTTTTGCCCTCAATTTTAGGCTAGCCGACATGATTCATCTAAGGGTGATGAATTTCTTTCCGCAGGGCCTGTAAGACAGAGTTGTTCCGCCTGGCCTTTGGCTTGGAGCCAATTTGATTCCCTCCCTCTCTTTCTTTTTTCTTTTCCTTCTCCTCCTGCGAGGAGGCTACATTTTAATATTTTAATGTTTCAATATTTTAATGTTGTATTTTAATTTTCTTTTTAAGTTGTAATCATTCAACTTGTTTTTATTATTGCTTGTAAGCCGCTCTGAGCCCACCCTTGGCTGGGGAGGGCGGGGTATAAATAAAAATTATTATTATTATTATTATTATTATTATTATTAGTGGACAAGGAAAGCAATTTGTTCCATATCTGGGTGGGATGTGGGGAAAGAAGAGTCAGCAGATGCCAGCTGATCAAAAAGCAAGCCATAGAAATGAAGTGATGGGTCAAAATCCCTGTTTGCATGAGCATAAGTGGTTCTGTTCACATACGTGGAGGAGACACGCAAATGCTCACCAACTACAACCGCTTATGGCGGGGTTAGGGAAGCTATGACATTCCAGATGCCGAAGGACTCCAACATCCATCACCCCTGACCACGGGCCGTGCTGACCGGGGCTGATGGGAGTTGTAGTCCCAAAACTGGAGGGCTACAATTTCCACACCCTGGCCGTACAGGGGCCTAGGAAGCTGTACCGGCCGTAAGTGAAAACAAATTTGCAAGAACAGTTGTTTTTTAAAAGATGATGAAGGCTCTGGGAGGAGGATGGTGTTACAATATCCCACTACCAAGCAACCAGGAAGCATCAGGTCAGGGGTGGGCAAGGGTTACCTTGCCTGGACTGGTTCACTCCAGCAGAGATCCCTCCATGGGCCGGATCGGCGCCTGCGCAGACGCAATTTCCGGTGTGTGCTCTGACGCGATTTCTGGCACTGTGGAAGCGAGTCCCCGCGTTGTGCTGCACCTGTTTAGCGCAGCGCGCGGGGACTCACCGAACCGGCGCCTCGGTTCAGGGGCAGCTCATGGGCCGGTTAAACGCCCCCCATAGGCCGCTTGTGGCCCATGGGCCTGTGGATATTTCACCCCAACCCACTGCGAGAATCTCCTGACAATGTTTTCAGAAAGGAGGGGGCAGAATCTGCTCATCGCTTCTTCCGCTCCTGCCTGACTCTGTAGGAATCTGAGTTTTATCTCTGTAGAGATAAGATGACTGCATAAGCAACTGTAACACTCATGCAGTCCAGTAGCCTCCTTTAAAGGTAAAGGGATCCCTGACCATTAGGTTCAGTCATGGCTGACTCTGGGGTTGCGGTGCTCATCTCGCTTTATTGGCCGAGGGAGCCGGCGTACAGCTTCCGGGTCATGCGGCCAGCATGACTAAGCCGCTTCTGGCGAACCAGAGCAGTGCACGGAAACGCCGTTTACCTTCCTGCCGGAGCAGTACCTATTTATCTACTTGCACTTTGACGTGCTTTCGAATTGCTAGGTTGGCAGGAGCAGGGACCGAGCAACGGGAGCTCACCCCGTTGCGGGGATTTGAACCGCCGACCTTCTGATCAGCAAGTCCTAGGCTCTGTGGTTTAACCCACAGCGCCACCTGCGTCCCACCAAACTAAACCAGCCTCCTTTAGTCTTTAGTTTATTTTAGTTTGCAGTAGCTGTAATAGAACAAAGAAGTTAAGCTTCAGAGCCGTCGTTCGTGTAGTTCATACTCTGCTGTACTCTGCTGACTTTGATGCTGACAGCTCAAAGTTGTGAGTCCATTGCACTTAGACCTGCTCTCCCGCAGTGGAAGGTCTCTGGAAGTGCTTCCTAGCTCGCCTAGCCCAGTCGGGGCTGAAGAGGTTGAGCCCAGTCATTGGCACAGGCTCAAAGGCGAAGCTGACAGGGCCTTAGGTTGCCCACCCCTGCATCAGGTGTTGTGGTCTCTAGAGAGCAAGGACGGCATCTTCTCACCTGGGTAGCTTGGCAGCCTGCAGCTCCTGATTCTTCCTGGTAGAAGAGGTGACTGGTGAAGGCTCTTGGGTGCAAGGGGAGGAAGGCAAGGCAAATGTCCTCTTCCCAAGGCTTGCTTTGATGTCAACACTGCTTCTGAGTCTGTGCCAACTACTAAAATGCCTATACTAAAATGCACTGATTAACCTGAAGTTAGAGAACTGCTGGAGCCCTGGCAAAACCTACAGCAGACAAATATGCATTTCACATTCAGGGATGGGAGAGAGGCAATAACCCCACGGCTTTTGAGGCCCCCGGAGGACCCATCAGATTCATAATCCAAGCCCTGTCAATTATTTGCTAAATTGTGCAGCTTCAAAGAGGACATTTAACCTCATTCCCTCAAAAGAAAACAACATTGCATTTATGCTGTTGAGGAGAACCTAGTTTAAATGCAGGCAGGAAGTGTTAAAGAGAGAAACTTAAGGGAGGCTGAGGAAAGGATTTATTACCTTTTGAGTTGTTGCACTTTGCAGGAAACTGGCTCACAGCTCCACCCAACTTGACATTCCAGCTCTGCAAAGCCTAGAAGCAGGATTTTCAATGGATTAGATGTGCACACTTTTGTTCTCTGATGCAGGAAAAGCTTGTCTGGCATTTGCCCAACTGTGCTTAGGTGTTGCACAGCTTCTGCTCATTTGCAAAACTCCCTTCCTTCCTATTTCTATCATTTCCTTACCATTTCTCACCCTGCAGTTTCATTATTCCAGCAGTCCAAATAATTACCCTTTGGGTAAACTTTGGGAAGCTTACAGATAATGTTTTGATCCAGGCTTTTCTCTCTCTTTCTCATCTCACCTTTTACTATAACAGGTGTTAGCTGTTTTAAACAACATTGTGCCAACACCCAATGTCACGAGTGCAAAATTTATGCATCATAAACATGTATATGCAATACATGTCCATGAATTATCATTATTAATAATCATTTTATATATAGTGATGTATATAAGCAGTGTAAAGGTAAAGGTAAAAGGACCCCTGACCATTAGGTCCAGTCGTGACCGACTCTGACGCGCTCATCTAGCTCTATAGGCCGAGAGAGCCGGCGTTTGTCCGCAGACAGCTTCTGGGTTATGTGGCCAGCATGACTAAGCCACTTCTGACGAACTAGAGCAGCGCACGGAAACGCCGTTTACCTTCCCGCCGGAGTGGTACCTATTTATCTACTTGCACTTTGACATGCTTTCGAACTGCTAGTGAGGCATCAGATCAAGGCCTGCATTTTAAAATGAGCTTAAAAAAATATATTTGCAAATGTTTGTATGTCTCATGCCAGGCATAAAGCAGCTGGCTAAGTACTTTGGCAGATGTTTATCTCCTTGAACAGCCCCCCTCCCCCGATTTATAACAGGAGACACGTTTCTCAAAGTTGTAAAAGGGAAATACAGGCTGGGAGCAAAGGTTACATTGACCCTACAAATTACAGAATACAATCAAGCTGCAAAAACACTAATTAAGAGTTGGTAAATAGTAAAATTTATTGTAATACCATGTGCCTCCCATTAGACTCGAGCCACATCTTCCTAAGGTTAAAGGGCAAGAGCTAATAGAAACAGCAGCTGGCTTGAAAGGGGGGTGTAAATTTAAGGGGTTGCTTTTGGAAACTGTTTTTACTAAGTTCCTTTCCTTCTAAAAATCTATCTATGTTATGTATGAAATATATTGGCTTAAATGTAATTATGCAAAGGATTTAGAAAGTAAGAAATGTTAGATTCTTATGTTAGATTCTTATTTCATTGATGGTGTGTGAGAAGGTGAACCCAAGATCTCTGTTTAAGATAAAAATTAAAACCATTAGCCATCTGTTTTGGAGTGAATAGGGCAATAGGGCAACAGGGCAATAGGGCAAAGATGATCTGATAATTAAGGTGCCTGGTTGAGGCAAATGTAAGATATATGGCTACTTGTCTGCCATTTATGGATAGAAGGAAATATAGCTCTTTGTCTCCCATAAAAGGTAATAGGAAATGGGTGTATCTTTTATGATTGGTTCTAGCAAACAGCCAATAGGAATTTCAACCAGGCTGATTGGACAGAGGCAGCCAAAGGAGGAGCAAGGGGGCTGGGCTGAGGAAATATAAGTGCTGGCCATCAGGGCTGGAGTGGGCAGAGCTTTGGTATCCATATACCACTGTGTCTCTCATTTATTTGTCTGACAAATAAATTATTATTTTAATTTCTCTATTGCTGCGTTGAATATTTCATTCCAGCTAAGCGTTAACCACAAGGAGGGTGCTACACTAGGTTGGCAGGAGCAGGGACCGAGCAACGGGAGCTCACCCCGTTGCGGGGAATCGAACCGCCAACCTTCTGATCAGCAAGTCCTAGGCTCTGTGGTTTAACCCACAGCACCACCCGTGTCCCCCCTTAATATATGCAGTGTACTTATACGCAAAATGGGGGGATGGAGTTTAAAACACAGATCACAATGACATTTACAACATATATGGATGCATAACACCAGAAATTATCATTCATTTGAAGAGTAAGTTTAGTGTAGTGGTTCGCATGTTGGACTGGGACCTGGGAGACCAGGGTTCAAATCCCCACTCAGACATGAAGCTCACTGGATGTCCTTGGGCCAGTCACTGCTTCTCAACCTAACATTGTCTCACACTGGCCGGGGCATTTTCTCAGCACTCTCCTTATTGCATGAAGTCTTATCTTGTGGGAGTGGGGAGACAGCTTTGTTGCACAAGACCTCTCAACCGATTTTAATTATGCAGCCAGATTTTAATTATGCAACCCCCAAACAGTGGCAGTCTGGAAGTGCCCACAGATTCCCCAGCTAAGCTTGGCAACGGTGGCAGGAACAAGAGGGGCCTTCTTAAGACTCAAGGAATATTGCCCTTTGAAACCACCTCCCACAATACGTTGGATGCTTGCAAAAGGCATCTCACTCACAATCATTACCAAACTTCCACTTCCTGAGGCGCAACTGCTGTGGGGGTAGCAAAAGTGCGTTCTAGGAGCAACGCTCAGCTCACGCAGAGCCCAGCAAGCCTGGATTCACTGTTTCCACAGGAAAAACTGACTAAATAGTAAAAAACAACCAACTCTATGGAAAGAGTAGACTCTGATTAAATTGGGGCAGGCGGAGGATACGGGGTGGCATTTTTGAGATGGGATGTTGTGTGGACTCTGTACAAAAAGCCAGCGACCTCACAACGTCACTTCCACAGCTGCCACGTAGAAGCACTCCCAGAATCCTCAACAGTAGCTTTTAAATTTTCATCATTTAGGAATATCCTTCCACATCAGTTGCCAGCCAAAATATTCCTGGCATGTTGATAGAGGATTTGGGGGGGGGGTCTATTTTAGGACACACAAGAGACTCGGGTGGCGCTGTGGGTTAAACCACAGAGCCTAGGACTTGCCGATCAGAAGGTCAGCAGTTCGAATGACTGCGACGGGGTGAGCTCCCGTTGCTTGGTCCCTGCTCCTGCCAACCTAGCAGTTCAAAAGCACGTCAAAGTGCAAGTAGATCAATAGGTACTGCTCTGGCGGGAAGGTAAACGGCGTTTCCGTGCGCTGCTCTGGTTCGCCAGAAGTGGCTTAGTCATGCTGGCCACATGACCCGGAAGCTGTACGCTGGCTCCTTTGGCCAATAAAGCGAGATGAGCGCCACAACCCCAGAGTCGGTCACGACTGGACCTAATGGTCAGAGGTCCTTTACCTTTACCTATTTTAGGACACACACCGGCCAAGCCAGTTGAGTCTCAGTGTGTGAACAATTGTAGAAGACACACAAGCAGGTTCACCTGTGGCTGTGCATTACAATGGAAAAAGAAATAATGGAACGCAAGGTAATCTTCAAGTGTGCTTGTTCTTCATTAAAAATCTAACCATAGAGCCGGCATGGACCATCTTACGCAACTTCTTTTGATCACCAGAGCATTCTTAGAGAATTTCTATTTGCTAAACAAAAGTATTAGTATACTGAGATCACTGGCATACAGCCCCTGAAAGGTTGCAACTCTGAAGATGAAGAGAAACTTGCAAGGTGTGTGGGGCTCACCCTCCCATTGCAGGACAGTTTGAGATCCAACGTAGTAAACTACCTCGTTCTCTGCCAGCCATTCGACCAACCTACACCAACTTGGTGCCCTCCCAGTGTTGTTGGACTACAACTCCCATCAGCCCCACTCAGCACGGCTAACGGTCAGGTATGATGGGAGTTGTAGTCCAGCAACGCTTGGAGGGCACCATGTTGCCTACCTCTGGCTTACATTGACCGGCCACAGCTCTCCAGGACTTCTGGGGACTGAACCTGCAATCTTCTGTACGCAAAGCGGATGTTTTGCCTCTGAACACCAGCCTTGATCACCAAAGACGAGTAAAGCCGTTTGCTCCATTTCCCTCCAGCCTGGAGCCAGGAGTTAGTTTTGGCTCAATGCCTGCAGCCAACAAGCTCAAACAAATAGCAGGCTTCCACTTCTGTTTGGGGTAGGGGCTATCCCTCCTCCTCCTGCACAGACTCATGTCACCCGAAAGAATTTGAGCTCCTGCCGTGAGAGAGGCAAGTGAGATTGCCAAATCCTGACCCCGAATAACCCTGCATGCCTCTTTTAAGGAAAAACATTCTCTTCTCCAGCGACAGATTCAGGAAACGCTATTAGAGCACAGCTAATAGCTGGTTCCTTTTCCGCAGAAGAGCTTTAAAGAAAACGGCCTCTCTTGCGAAAGAAAACAACTGGTAACACGGCTTGCTGGATTATGAAGTGTAGTCTTGCAAAGCCACTGGAAGACAGAGTAGCCAGCAGCAAAAGGTAGAACTGTCAAGTCCTCTTTTCCTCTAGCACTGCATAAGAACTTAAGAAGGAAAGAAGAGCCTGGCCTGTAGACTGTAAATAAGATGTGTGAGGGGGGTGGAGTTACTGGAGGGCATTTACACTTGGAATCAAATCATTCCCTTTGGTAATTAATAGGAGTTTACAAGAATACAGAAAGCTGTTGGGATCACAATACCCCCAACAGCAGCCTCAGCAGGTCAGAAGCATGCCAAGCCACTCCTGGCTGGAGCAGTTTCTGCCACTATAAGCTCTTTATCCCCAGGATTAAACCTAGACAGAAAGCAAAAGGCAAGGAAATATGGGCATCTGTGGACTGTGACACCCCTTAGCCAAAGAGCAACGTTCTTCGTAGGCGAGCGAAGAGAGGCTGCTGTCTATGGGGCAATAATAATAATAATAATAATTTTAAATTTATATACCACTCTACATCTGAAGATCACAGGGCAGTTTATCAACATAAAACTACTTGACTGATAGAATCATAAAATCTTATCAAGTTGGAAGGGACCCCAAAGGTTATTTAGTCCAACCCCCTGCAATGCAGATATCTCAGCTAAAGCATCCATGACAAATGGCCACCCAACCTCTGCTTAAAAACCTCCAAGGAAGGAGAGTCCACAACCTCTTGCAGAAGTCTGTTCCACTGCCAAACAGCTCTTACTATCAGAAAGTTTTTCCTGAATGTTTAGTCAGAATCTCCTTTCTTAAGACTTGAAGCCATTGGTTCGAGTCCTACCCTCCGGAGCAGCAGAAAACAAGCATGCTCTTAAAACAGAGTGCTTAAAATAATAATAAAAAAACCACAGAGTACAGCCCTTCAGAAACAAAAGATACTTTTGAGGCTGGCTCGTTTTGCTATTTATTTCATTAGCTGTCACCCGGAGGAGCCCAGGAGCTCCTCACGCACTCCTTTATTGGCCACTAATATTTTCTGCCTCGTACACACCGTGACTGCATCTTGCTTTGTGCCGGGTGACCAGGGTCCATTATGTGTTGCATGAAGATATAGATATATGTATATTTATATGTGTGTGTTTATTTATTTATTGAATTTATTTATATCCCGCCCTATACCTGGAGGTCTCAGGGCAGTTCACATAGATTTTGAACTATGGCAACCCTAGTAGTGTCATCACTAACGGAACTGGGAAACGAATTATAGTAATAGTAATGATCTAAACTTACAAATTACATTTGGCTGAAGCAGGGGTAGCCAATGTTGTGCCCCCAGATATTGCATCATCTATATGTGTGTGTGTGTGTGTGTGTGTGTGTGTACACAGCACTTTTTTTCTAAAAAAAAACGTTTAGGAGTACTCTCATTTTGTCTCAAGAAAATCAACATTTTATAGTTTAAATCAGGGGAAATAAATACAGTGGTACCTCTGGTTACATGCTTAATTCGTTCTGGAGGTCCGTTCTTAAACTGAAACTGTTCTTAATCTGAAGCACCACTTTAGCTAATGGGGCCTCCTGCTGCTGCCGCGCCGCTGGAGCACGATTTCTGTTCTCATCCTGAAGCCAAGTTCTTAACCTGAAGCACTATTTCTGGATTAGCAGAGTCTGTAACCTGAAGCGTCTGTAACCCGAGGTACCACTGTATATATATGTGTGTGTGTATATATATATATATATATATATACACACACACATACACACACACACACACACACACACATATATGTATATGTGTGTGTGTGTGTGTGTATATATATATATATATATATATATGTATATATTTTATATATTCATATATATGTATATATACACATATATATGTATATATATACATATATATGTATTCATATACATGTATATTTGTATATATATACATATATATGAATATATAAAATATCATATATAATAAAACTGGAAGAAGCCTTCTCCGCAGAACACTGCCCTTGGGAAGCCTGTCTCCAACAGCCCTAGGTGGGCGCCTACCTGTTGCTGACAGGACCCCGCACTCAGGCGAGCTGCTCCCTTCGGACATAGCTGCATATACTGCGACGTATCCTGGGCTATGGATAGTATATGGCTCTTTCTCTCAGAAGCCGAAGCCGGCAGCTTCTCCGAGGCCTCCCCCCGCCCGCCCGGCTCCCCCCACCCCACCCCGCCCGGCTCCCCCCCCCCCGCCCGGCCTCTCGCTTACCGGACGACCGTTGCAGCTACATCCCGCGGAGGAGGCGGAAGAGGCCCGGCCAGCCGCCTGAGGAGACTCGCCTCCCTCCCTCGCTCGCTCCCAGAAGAAGAAGGAGAGGAAGAGCGGCCGCAGCGGCGCCGGAAATAGCCCTCAGCTCAGAAAGGCCCGCTTCCGGTAGGGGGAGAGAGAGCGTCACGTGCTTTCCTCCCTCACTTCCGGATGAAGGGGAGGGGGAAAGAGAACTAATGACGCGCTTCCGGGACGCGGAGCACATGACCCACCGGCAAACCATAGACTTACGAAAGTTGAAACTGGGGAGGGGGGAAACGTGAAGAGGGATACTGAACTTCGGGTAGACTCTGGCTTTGGAGGAGTACACGCGTCCTGGTTCGTTTCAGACGTTACTAGGGGGCGGGGGGAGGTTTTGGCAGCGGGGTGAAAGGGAGGAAGGGGGCAGTTGTGGGTCAGAAGCGCCTCCCTCGCTTAGCCCATCCCAGGCAGGTAGGAGCGAAGGGAACAGGGCTGGGATTCAGTCCTTGTTGTTGTTTGTTGTTGTTGTTGTTTGTTTGTTTGTTGTAGTGGTGTTTTTTTGGTGTTTTTTTTTTTGAATGGATTCCATTATCCAATGTTTATTAGGGTGGGAAAGTTTAGTCCATAAAAAAAGACCCTTTCTTTCTCAACCCCACCACCCCCTCCCCACAACAAGACAATCCAATTTAAGTCACGGTGGTGCCATTATTTACTTATTTAATGAAATTTATAGACCGCTTGATTGTGATGCTGCAGCAATCTGCAATAACTGCAGCTTCCAGCTCAAAAGGCACCCTCCCGATGTCAGACAGTTGGCATTGTTATTGCACTCTCGGTGCACGCTAAGGGTTTTCCACTGGCCGGGTCACAAGAGTCAAACGCAATACTGAAAGCAGTTTGAAATGATTATAATCGCAGGACTAAGAAAGTGCAGTTAGAATGAAATGAGATGAGTAACTACACAACCTTTAGAAGACACCCGAAGGCAGCCCTGTATAGGGAAGTTTATTTAAATGTTTAAGGGTTTATTAAGATTTTATATATGTTGGAAGCCGCCCAGAATGGCTGGGGCAACCCAATCAGATATTAATAATAATAATAAAAACCTGTGTGGCACTGTGGGTTAAACCAAAGAGCCTAGGACTTGCCGATCAGAAGGTCGGCAGTTCGAATCTCCGCGACGGGGTGAGCTCCCGTGGCTTGGTCCCTGCTCCTGCCAACCTAGCAGTTCCTATTGCAAGTAGATCAATAGGTACCGCTCTAGCGGGAAGGTAAACAGCGTTTCCGTGTGATGCTCTGGTTCGCCAGAAGCGGCTTAGTCATGCTGGCCACATGACCCGGAAGCTGTATGCCGGCAAGCAAGATGAGTGCCACAACCCCAGAGTCGATCACGACTGGACCTAATGGTCAGGGGTCCCTTTACCTTTACCTATACCCCGCCCATCTGGCTGGGTTCTACCAGCCACTCTGGATGGCTCCCAGCAGAATTAAAAGCACAATAGAACATCAAACATAGACAACTTCCCTAAACAGGGCTGCCTTCAGATGTCTTCTAAAAGTCAGATAGTTGTTTATTTCCTTGACATCTAATGGGTCGGTGTTCTACAGGGCGGGTGCCACCACTGAGAAGGCCCTCTGCCTGGTTCCCTGTAACTTGGCTTCTCGCAGGGAGGGAACCGCCAGAAGGCCCTCGGAGCTGGACCTCAGTGTCCGGGCAGAACAATGGGGATGGAGACTTCTTGGCAGTTCCCTCCCTGCGAGAAGCCAAGTTACAAGGAACCAGGCAGTGGGCCTTCTTGGTCAGATGTCAAAGAGAACAACAACTTTTAAAAGACATCTGAAGGCAGCCCTGTTTAGGGAAGCTTTTAATATCTGATGAATTATTGTATTTTAGTATTTTGTTGGAAGCCGCCCAGAGTGGCTGGGGAAACCCAGCCAGATAGGCGGGGTATAAATTGATGATGATGATTATGATGATATAATCATCAGACATATACTGAGCTAGGTAAACTGAGTAGCCATAATGAAATTTCCTATATACATCAGGACGGCAAATCCCATGAATAAAGCGAAAGAGTTCCAGTCCTTGCATATAATTTTCTCCCCTTTTGTTCCAGGTCTGCGCAACCAGTTTTTGTGAAACATGCAGAAGATTGGGTGTTAGGCCTCGTCCGTCTCAAGATGGCGGTGCCCACGAGTGAGTGCTGTAAAGTGCTTGGAGATGCCCAGCTCCCGGGCGGAGCATCGCCATACGGGAACTTCCCCGATTACTCTCGCTTCCACCCACCGGAGGGACGCATCCAGCTCTTGCCCAGCACGTTGCTGAGCCAGCTGTTCCCTAACCCACGTGCAAAGCCCCTTTTGGGGCTGGATGTGGGGTGCAATTCGGGGGAGCTCAGCGTCGCCCTGTACAGGCACCTCCTGGGGCTTCAGGAGACCCAAGCCTGCCAGGAGCACCTGAATGAACTTCGCCTTTTCTGCTGCGACATTGACGCTGGGCTGATCGAGAGAGCCAGGCAGCAGAACCCCTTCCCTGCCTCTGTTTCCTACGCCGTCCTCGACATCATGGACCCCGACGCAAGGGAGACGGTGTTGAGCTCCTACCTAGGCAACTTTGGCCACTCCACGTTTGACATTGCCTTCTGTATGTCCGTGACCATGTGGATCCACCTCAATCATGGAGACTGTGGCCTGGTGACGTTCTTGTCTTATCTTGCGTCTAAAAGCACCTACTTGCTCCTCGAACCCCAGCCGTGGAAGTGCTACCGGTCCGCTGCCCGGCGCCTGCGGAAACTGGGCAGGCACGACTTTGACCACTTCCGATCCCTCGCCATCAACGGGGACGTGGCTGAGAGGATAACCCAGATCTTGACCACCGACTGTGGCATGGAACTGGTGTCTTGCTTTGGAAGCACGGGCTGGGACAGGAGCCTCTTGCTATTTAAATCAAAAGAGGCTCAGGATCTGGTGTGACTGAGGACGGCATCTGGCTGGAGAGAATAAGAGGGGAGTGTTCTGGGAAAGGCTAATTGTTATCTACAGTTCTGTGACTGCACTGAAAGTGAGGTAGAGAGGAGTCCAGTTCATTTTGTTGTTTCATTAAGTACTTTGGTAAAAGGTTCCCATTCTTCTTTAAAGTCACAGTTGTCCTTATCGTGTAGTTTGTGCATCAATTTCGCCAGTTAGATATAGTCCATCAATTTCCCTTGCCACAGTTCTTTTGTCGGGATTTCTTCGTTCTTCCCTCCTTGTGCTATTAAGACTCTTGCCGCCATTGTCGCATACAAACGGCCTCGGCCCAGTATACCTGAAGGAGCGTCTCCACCCCCATCTGCCTGGACACTGAGGTCCAGCGGCGAGGGCATTCTGGCGGTTCCCTCCCTGCAAGAAGCAAAGCTACAGTGGTGCCCCGCAAGACGAATGCCTCGCAAGACGAAAAACTCGCTAGACGAAAGGGTTTTCCGTTTTTGCGTTGCTTCGCTAGACGAATTTCCCTATGGGCTTGCTTTGCAAGACGAAAACGTCTTGCGCTTTTTTTTTAAAGCCGCTTGAAGAGGCGCAGTTGCAACGGACTGTGCTTCGCAAGACGAAAAACACCGCAAGACGAAAAGACTCGCGGAACAAATTCTTTTCGTCTTGCGAGGCACCACTGTACAAGGGAACCAGGCAGAGGGCCTTCTCGGTAGTGGCACCCTCTCTGTGGAACACCCTCCTATCAGATGTCAAAGAGATAAACAACTACCTGACATTCAGAAGACATCTTAAGGCAGCCCTGTTCAGGGAAGTTTTTAATGTATGACATATTAGTGTATTTTTTGTATTTGTGGAAGCTGTCCAGGGTGGCTGGGGAAACCCAGCCAGATGGGCGGGGTACAAATAATAAATTATTATTATTATTATTATTATTATTATTATTATTATTACATGAATATATTCTTCAGTTTCCTTGGCAGGTCTTTTCCTACAATCCCTAACAAAAATGCTTCAGATTTTTTTTACAAATGTTAATTGGAACATTTTCTTCAATTCATTGTATATCATTTCCCAATTTTTTAAAATTTTGTTTTGAATAAACGAACACAAATTTATTATTGGTAACATATAGGCAGATAATTTAAGGATCTTTACAATTTTATAATATGCAGAGAATAACATGTGCTGAAAAACCAGAGAGAGGAGCTGAGGGAAGTCTGGGTGGTTTTTTCTTGGGGAGCGGGGAGGGAAAATTGGGGGGGGGAAAGAATGAGGATGATATGTCTTTGATAAATTGTTATGCTGAAATTCTTAATAAAAATTATTCCCAAAAAAAGAAAGTGGGGTAGAGAGGAGGGGTTCTCAAACCATCAACCCCCCCCCCCCGAGCCCACTGGAGAAGTATGAAAATTACGGACCATTTTAGGCCAAATTGATGCAGAGATTCTAAGTTTGATCTTATATGTTCTACACGCACATACATGCTCCTGACAGTGTTTTTACTCATCTCCTATCATTTCTTCCCCACTTCTCCTTTCACGCTTTAACTTACACAAGCTATTTCTATTACAGTCATACCTCAGGTTACAGACGCTTCAGGTTGCACGTTTTCGGGTTGCGCACCACGCCGAACCCGTAAGTACTGGAACAGGTTACTTTCGGGGTTCGGTGCTCTCACATGCGCAGAAACACTGAATCGCAACCCGTGCAGCAGCTTTAGCACAGCCCTAGATTTCTTTCTCTCTGAGCCCCTCCACAGTTCTATTTAATGCCATGCGTATTGCAGAATTTTAGGGGATGCCCGTGCTTGTAATATTTTTTGGGGGTTACTACTGCCCACTTGTGGATTTAATTTTTCCCCCTTTTACATTTCGGGTTGCTCTCTTGTTCCTCATTGCTTCTTTTCCTTATGGAGGCAGATGATGATGATAAAATAATAATAGCATTCCACCAGCCCCAGCCTGTGGAGTCCATCTCCTTTTTGCTCCTCCAATTTCGACCCGCAGGGGGTTCTTAACTTCCAGGGCTCCAGAGTGCAAAATAGAATAGAGTGCACAATGAATTTTATGCATATTTTGTGGAGGGGATCCCATAGCTTTCAATGGGATCTGTGAACCCCCAAAAAAGCAAAGGCCCAGTAGGATAAAGTGAAAGAAGTGGGGCCTGCGTTTCTTTTTCTCATTTTCTCCCATCCCATTTCCCATTTTGTGTTAACGTCCTTTGGATTATAAACCCAAGAGCAGCAGCATTGCATTATTGTTGTTGTTGTTAATTATAATGATACATCTATAAAACACTTTGGGGAGCCTGAAGAGCCCCCCCAAAAAACAACAGCCCCCTGCCCAAATTTTTTATTTGTGTTTGTTGTTATTATGGTACATATCTTTTTGGTAGTTTTTATACTGTAAACCGCCTTGTGTTCTTCAGGTGAAGGGTGGTAGAGAAATTTAATAATAATAATTTTTGTAAAAAAAAAAATCGCTTTCTTCCCGTCTCCTTTCCTGTGGTGCATCTTTTAGATTGTATGGGGAGAGGGCAGCATATTATTATTATTTATTATTATTATTATTATTATTATTTATCAGTGCTTTTTTCTAGGGGGGCTGCACGCAGGGGGACATATACCCCTAAACGTTTTGTGAATGTAAGTTTGGCCTGATTGAGGGGCAGTATTTCAATATGGGTAGGAAAATGAGAGTACCCCTAAACATTTTTTTTAGAAAAAAGAAGCACGGATTACTACTACTACTACTACTACTAATAATAATAATAAATTATTTTGGGAACCTTAAGGGTGGTGGTCAGGGCCAGATTTAGGTTTGATGAGGCCCTAAGCTCCTGAAGGTAATTGGGCCCTTTCTATGTCCAGCTGTCCTGTTAACAACAAATTGTTGCTTTTTGTTGTGTTGAATATATGCTATATGGTAATTTACGGACCTCATAGGTATCTCAAGCCATCTGCACATGTTGCCTTGCAATCAGTCCATGCAGAATTTAGGCACCCTATATATATAGAAAGGAGCAAACCCGTGATATTTGAGGGAGCAGGCTAGCAGGCGGGGCCCAAGACTTACATCATAAGAGCCTACACAACACACAACGCTTTTTGTTAGGTTTTATTTTATTATCTTCTATTTTGGAAATGTACACCCAGTTTTTTGTTCCTTTAATTTGGGGGGGGGCCCCAAGAGAGTGGGGCCCGAAGCATGTAATGCCTTAAGAGAGAATATTATGAAAATGATATACAGGTGGTACATAACCCCAGTTAAGCTTGCAAAAATCTATCATTTGCCTGATAATAAATGTTGGAAATGTAAAGAAACTGAAGGTACATTTTTTCACCTTTGGTGGACGTGCCCAAAGATTAAGGCTTTCTGGGAGATGATCTATAATGAATTAAAAAAGGTATTTAAATATACCTTCTTGAAGAAACCAGAGGCCTTTCTCTTGGGCATAGTCGGCCAAATGGTGTTAAAAAAGGACAGAACTTTCTTTATGTCTGCAACAACAGCAGCAAGAATACTCATAGCAAAGTATTGGAAGACACAAGAGCTCCCCACACTGGAGGAATGGCAGATGAAAATGATGGACTATATGGAATTGGCGGAAATGACTGGCAGAATCCGAGACCAGGGAGAAGAGTCGGTGGAAGAAGATTGGAAGAAATTCAAAGATTACTTACAGAAATATTGCAAAATTAATGAATGTTAGAGTGATGTTGGATTGAAATTAAGTGGCTTCTAGCTGTACAGGTTTTAAAATTATATATAGATCAAGATTAAGGATTAGGATTAAAAAGGTTCAAAGAATGGAAAATTGGTTTTTAATAGGTAAAAATTTAATGTTATATTATATTAAGATTAAGGATTGGGATTAAAAAGGAGGGAAAGGAATTGCTGGACAAACAAACTGAACTGGAATACAAAAGAGGGAGGTATGAGGAGGTCCGGGAAATAAGTAAATGTAAAAGTAGTGATGAAAAGATGGAATTGTTTTTAACTGTTTTTATTCTTTTTTCTTTTTGTATTCTGTATTGTGTATTTTTCTTTTTATTTTTAAATTCTTTTTTATTATTAATGTGATTCTTTTCATGTGAAACTTTAATAAATATCATTTAAAAAAAAAAAAAAAGAGTGGGGCCCGAAGCTATAGCTTGTTTAGCTTATAGGTAAATCCGGCCCTGGTGGCGGGAAACCGCGCCGAGCGAGGGAGCCGATAAACGGCCAAGCGACCGTGCGGCGCCGAGGCCTCCTCCGTCCCCTCACACCGAGGCGACCGTGAGGGGCTCTCCACACACACCCGCCCGCCCCGCCGTGTGTTGTGTTTATTGTGTGTTTTGTGCATATTGTGCGACGCGGGGGGGGGGGCGGGATACACATAGCCCCCTTTCTCCACGCCCCTCGAGCCTTTTCGCCTTTGCTCCGCCGCTTCTGGCCTTCCTCCGGGAAGCGCCCGGTCGGCGGCCCCCGAGGGCCCCCCTCAGACTCCCGGCGACGCGTAGCCTCAGAGCCGCCGCGTTCCCCCTCCTCCCCCGGCCATGTTTCGCACTCCCGCTTCTCCTCCTTGGCGGGCGCCTGAGGGAAACGGGCCCACGAATGGCGCCCCTCAGAGCAGCAGGCGAGAGGAAGGGGGAACGATAAAGCGGGACGGAGCGATAGTCTCTTTTCCCTCGCTCCTTCTCCCTCGGCCGTGTTTCCCACCCGCGCTTCTTCTTCTCCTGAGGGAAACGGGCCCACCAATGGCGCCCCTCAGAGCAGCCGGCGAGAGGCTGGAGGAAGGGGGAACGATAAAGCGGGACGGAGCGATATTCCCTTTCTCCTCGGCCGTGTTTCCCGCCCGCGCTTCTTCTCCTCAGCGGGCGCCTGAGGGAGACGGGCCCACGAATGGCGCCCCTCAGAGCAGCCGGCGAGAGGCCGAAGGAAGGGGAAATGTTAAAATGGGACGGAGCGATATTCCCTTTTCCCTCGCTCCTTCTCCCTCGGCCGTGTTTCCCACCCGCGCTTCTTCTTCTCCTGAGGGAAACGGGCCCACCAATGGCGCCCCTCAGAGCAGCCGGCGAGAGGCTGAAGGGAGGCGGAACGATAAAGCGGGACGGAGCGATATTCCCTTTTCCCTCCTCCTCCTCCTCCGTTGGGTTGGAGTTCGGGGGCGAAGGAGGGAAAAGAGTGGGGAATGTCTTTTTAAAATGAGGAAAAGAAAAGCGGCGGCGCCCCGGTGGCGCGTAGCCGAGGCTGAGCCCTTGATAAAGCGTTTCGGGAGGAGTTGATGTCAGGGCTCCAGTGGCGCAATCGGTTAGCGCGCGGTACTTATACAGCAGTACTAGAGCAGAGCGATGCCGAGGTTGTGAGTTCGAGCCTCACCTGGAGCACATGTCTTTTGGGGCCGCTCAGCTTTTGGGCGCGCCGGCCGTGGCGGGAAAAGGGGGAATCGGTGGGGGAATCGGCGGAGCCGCCGCCGCCGCCCGCTTAGGAAACGTCGCGGGGAAGGAAGATTTTCCATGCAAGGGGAGGAAAGCAAGGAGAAGAAAAGGGGAGAATTGCACGACCCCCTTGCCTTGCAAACGGGAGGCGATCTGCACGCCTTTCCGCCTTTGCATTTGCCATGCAGGGACAAAGGACACAAATAGGCTGGGAAATTGCTTATGTGCGAGTGCCTGGAGGCGGTTGGAGGATGGATGGCAGCTAACGGATTGAGGATGAATCCTGACAAGACAGAAGTACTGGTTTTGGGGGGACAGGAGGCAGGCGGGTGTGGGGGATTCCCTGGTCCTGAATGGGGTCACTGTGCCCCTGAAGGACCAGGTGTGCAGCTTGGGAGTCATCCTGGACTCGCAGCTGTCCATGGAGGCACAGGTCAAGTCTGTGTCCAGGGCAGCTGTCTACCAGCTCCATCTGGTACGCAGGATGAGACCCTCCCTGTCCGCAGACTGTCTCGCCAGAGTGGTGCATGCTCTAGTTATCTCCCGCTTGGACTACTGCAACACGCTCTACGTGGGGCTACCTTTGAAGGTGACCCGGAAACTGCAATTAATCCAGAATGCGGCAGCTAGACTGGTGACTGGGAGCGGCCGCCAAGACCACATAACACCGGTCCTGAGAGATCTGCATTGGCTCCCAGTACGTTTCCGAGCACAATTCAAAGTGTTGGTGCTGACCTTTAAAGCCCTAAGTGGCCTCGGCCCAGTATATCTGAAGGAGCGTCTCCACCCCCATCGTTCTGCCCGGACACTGAGGTCCAGCTCCGAGGGCCTTCTGGTGGTTCCCTCGCTGCGAGAAATAAAGCTACAGGGAACCAGGCAGAGGGCCTTCTCGGTAGTGGCACCCGCCCTGTGGAACGCCCTCCCTTCAGATGTCAAGAAAACAAGCAGCTATCTTCTCTTTAAAAGACATCTGAAGGCAGCCCTGTTTAGGGAAGTTTTTAATATTTGATGCTGTATTGTTTTTAACACTTGATTGGAAGCCGCCCAGAGTGGCTGGGGAGACTCAGCCAGATGGGTGGGGCATAACTAAAATTTATTATTATTATTATTATTATTATTATGGTTGGGTGTCTTAATCTTGAAACAAGAGACAGGGCAAGGCAGGTTTTTATTATTATTTATTTCTAAGTGCATTCTTCTGAGCTGGTAAGAACATCCCCTCGTTTTCCTCATTTATCAGCTTGCAGACTGGTCAGGAAAGGGGTAGTAAAATGAATAAGCGAACCCCCAGGTTGCTGGTCATAGCTGTCAACTTTCAGATTTGAAAATAAGGGATCAGCAGCCTGGAAAATAAGGGATCAGCAGCCTCACCTGTCCCCGGAGACAGTCTACGGGATATCTAACAATCCGGGATAGCAGCAGGAAACGGTGCTGGAATAAGGGAATTTCCCGCAAAAAAAGGGAAGGTTGACAGCTATGTTGCTGGTGGATTGTGTAGAAAGAGACATGTGAATTTTACTTCCGATATATGTACTTTATTTATTATTATTAATTAAATTTCTATAGCGCCCTTCATCTGAGGATCTTCTTCTTTGGCAATCCCTCGTAGCCGACTAAGATTGTCTTCCATAAACATGGTTTTAACAATGAGTCTGTAAGTGACTGTGGAGGCCAATTCTGGATCCACACGTCATTCCACAGTGGGGACATTGGTTTCCTGACAGGAGTTGATCACGGTGTGGATTTGCCAAGTGTGCCTTCCTCTTAGCACGTTTCTCCCTTGCATCCTGAGTTCGAGTGTCTTCAAACTTTGGAAAAGGCTGTTCTCCAACTGGAGCGCTCGCAGGCCAGTGTTTCCCAGTTGTCAGTGTTTATACTACATTTTTAAAGACTTGCCTTGAGACAGTCTTTAAACCACTTTTGCTGACCACCAGCATTACGCTTTCCATTTTTAAGTTCGGAATAGAGTAGTTGCTTTGGAAGACGATCATCACGCATCCACACAACATGACCAGTCCAACGAAGTTGATGTTGAAGAATCATTGCTTTGCCACTAGTGATCTTTGCTTCTTCCAGTAGTTTTTGGAGCTGAGGTGTTCTTATTTCCCCCCCTTTATTTTACTCCAGACTTTGATTTCCCATATAATGAACTTCATGGCACAAAATATTGGTTTTCAAAAAGACCTTTATTTAAAAAAACAAAAATTAGAAAGGCATTTATTTAGAAAACTGAAGCTGGCTTAAGTCCTGTGGTTGGGCAACTGTCCCTGGAAAATAGGAGCACTTGGAGGGTTTGCTTTCACTGTGGGGTCATTTTACATTACATTCCCTCTGAATTCACGCCCCTTATCTCCAGCCACCAATAAGTGGTGGGGTGACAAAAGCAGTTGTGATTTCTTTTATTTTCTTGGCAGCTGCGTAGGTGAGATGAGCCCAAGAGCCCAGAGGGCACAAATGTTGGCAACTCGTTTCTGTGTCCCCGGATGGCCCTGCCTGCCCCCAAACTACCAGGGCTGCTCCCCCCCTGGAAACTGCCTCTTTCCCCTCATTCGCCATGACCATTTTTGACATCACAGGAAGTTGGTAGATGTCTATGACATCACAGGCCAACAGTCACAGCTGGGGAAACATCTGCACAGCCCTCGCTGGCCTCACAATGGTGGGGCACCTCAGCAGTTATTAAAAATGAGGTGACCCCTGCCATTGTGAGGCCTGGGAGGTCTGTGCAGATGTTTCCCCAGCTGTGGCCATTGGCTACCAACTCCCTGTGATGTCACAAGGGGGTGCAACCCCCACTTCCTGTGACATCACTACCAGGGAGGGGGTACCCTATGATCCTAGAGATTTCCCATATAATAAAAACATGGCACAAAACAGAGATTTCTTTTCATAAAACATTTATTTTGAAAAAAAATAGAAAGCCGTTTATTTAGAAAACAGGAACTGTCTGGCTTAAGTCCTGCGGTTCTCTTCATGACTTTCATGGCTGGTCTCTGGGGAAACCTTGCTGGCTCCGGCCATCCCTGAAAGGCAAAGGCAAACAGATGAGTGGGGTGACCACCATCCGACAGCGTCAACCCAGACTCCCCTGGCTTCCGCCTGGCAACTTCACCCCTGGCAGGCCTGCGCAATGGGCAGGCTCCCGGAGATGAAGGAAAACCAGTTTTGGTTGACAGATAGCAGCCAGCTTCATCAGCCTTGCGGCCTCCGCTGGCGTCTATTTGTGAAGTTCGCTGGCTCCAGTTGAGCACCTCCATGGCTGTGCCGGGCATCTTCCCTCCTCAATTTGGCCATCCGTTTAATGTCAAGAGGCCTAGGCCTTTTGTCATTAAATGGATGGGCCAAAGACATGGGTGAATGCCAGCCATGTCCACAAATAGCAGCCAGCTTCATCAGCCTTGCGGCCTCCCTTGGCGTCTATTTGTGAACACTGGCTTCACCTAGACGCCTCCACGAGCTGCCAAATGGGCAACTTTCCCTCCTCACCACCAGCTGGTCCACACCTGCAAATATCAGCCAGCTTCAGCTTAGGGCGTTCACTGACATCATTTAAATGCAAATGCAAATCACAACTGGTTTCCGCCTAGGGGCATTCACCCGCTGCCCTAGCGGCAGCTTCCCTCCTCGGTTTGGCTGCCTGTTAATAAACAAACTAGGCTTCCAAACCACAGTTTGCACCCATTTCGACAGGCGTAGCCTCGCGGCATCCGCTAGCCTGAATGCAAACTCTTCCGGCATCCATCCACCACCAACAGCCTGGCCAGGTCCATCGCCAGACGTAAGCCAGCTTCAGAGCTGAATATCGGCCGCCTTCAGGTAGCGATCCCACTAGCAAGTCAACTGGAACTTGCCTTCTCCTTGCTCCACAGCATCCCAACGCCAGGCGATCGCCTCCTTCCACTTGCCAGCTTGCCGCCACCATCTGGTCTTGGGGAAAACCTCGCCGGCATTGGATGTCCCTGAAAGGCAAAGGCAAACACGTTGATGGGATGGCGACTATCACAGCGTCCACCCAGACTCTTCCACAGGCTTTGGTCTGACAACTTCATCCCTGACTGGCCTGCCCCGTCAAGGCAGGTTGCAGAAGTGGAGGGTCACCAGTTTGAAGTGGTAGATCCACATGGGACTACACTGGTTTCCCTGGTTTCCACCTCTAGGGCTGTGCCGGGTAGTTTCCCTCCTCGCTTTGGCCGTCGACGTAAGGTCAAGAGCTCTATGAATGTCAGCAAGCTGACATTCTCAAAAGGTAGGTCTGTTGACCTTAGGTTGAGGGCCAAAGACAAAGGTGAATGTCACCAGATAGCGTTCACAAATGGATCGGCCAGCTTCACGGGCCTCTCGGCCTCCACTGACATCCCCAAATGTGAACCTGGCTTCACCTAGGCGCCACCACTAGAAGCCGATGGGCAACTTTCCCTCACCACAGAATTCGCCTAGGGACACTCACCCGCTGCCAAATGGGCAGCTTCCCTCCTCGGTTTGTCCGCCTGTTAATAAACAAACTAGGCTTCCAAACCCGTTTGCATCCCTCGGCCAGTCTTGTAGCCTTGCGGCATCAACCAGGCACTGAATGCAAACCTTCCGGCAATCCGTCCACCACCAACAGCCGCGCCAGGTCCATTGCCAGACCTCCCCCTGCTTCAGAGCTGAATTTCATCCACCTTCAAGTGCGATCCCACCAGCAAGTAAACCTCAACTTGCCTTCTCCTTGCTCCACAGCATCCCAGCGCCGGGCGATCACCTCCTTCCTCCGGCCAGCTTGCCCCACGGGGCAGGAGACCACCCGAGCTGAGTGCCTCCACTGAGGCAACTGCCTCGGCCTTTGACTTGTCCAACATTTATACCCTCTCAGCTGCCCAATGTTTTTGTGGCATCACAATGGCAGCATCTGGGGAGGCATCCCCATCACCCCTCAGACCTCACAATGAGGGGCGCAGCTCAGCAGCCATTGGCTCCTTGGCTTTTGACCAAGGAGATATATAACACCCCCCTCCCCAATTTGTGCCAGTATCTGTGAAGGCTACACCGGAAACCCAGTGGGGCAGGAGGGGGCATTTTTCAGCCCAGTGGTTGCATTTCCCTCCACACAACACTGGTCAAACACACAAACGAACAGAACAATGAAAGTGAGTCTCATCTATGCACTGGAATCTTTTCAAGGAGTGACATGCAGGGAGAAAGTTATCATCTCAGGAAAAAGCACCTTTTCATAAATCAATCATTTATTGTATTTGACTAAAAGCCATTAAAGGTCCAGTTCCAGAAGCATCCAATCCAATAAAACCTATTAAGAAAGACCCAGAAACAAGCAACCATTTACAATAAATCAAATAAATTAATCCCAATAAGACTGTTTTATATGTGACAAGCATCTCAGTCAGGTAATAGCCAACCTATTTTCCCTTCTGGGTTCTGTCCCTGTAGCACTGCCAACACCTTTCCCAAAAATCTCTGGGGTTTTGCTAGAGCTGACCATGGAGTATGCAATGGAGAAGATCTCCTTAACTGACCCCACAAATAAAGAATCTCAACTGCTTTGGAACTTTCCTGTCTCTTCCATCTAAGACTGATGTGGGCATCCTTTGAAAGTGGAGAGCTGAGGTCTGGCAATGGACCTGGCGCGGCTGTTGGTGGTGGACGGATTGCCGGAAGGTTTGCATTCAGTGCCTGGTTGATGCCGCAAGGCTACAAGACTGGCCGAGGGGATGCAAACGGGTTTGGAAGCCTAGTTTGTTTATTAACAGGCGGACAAACTGAGGAGGGAAGCTGTCCCTTTGGCGGCGGGTGAGTGTCCCTAGGCGAATTCTGTGGTGAGGGAAAGTTGCCCATCGGCTTCTAGTGGTGGCGCCTAGGTGAAGCCAGGTTCACATTTGGGGATGTCAGTGGAAGCCGAGAGGCCCGTGAAGCTGGCCGATCCATTTGTGAACGCTATCTGGTGACACTCACCTTTGTCTTTGGCCCTCAACCTAAGGTCAACAGACCTACCTTTTGAGAATGTCAGCTTGCTGACATTCGTAGAGCTCTTGACCTTACGTCGATGGCCAAAGCGAGGAGGGAAACTACCCGGCACAGCCCTAGAGGTGGAAACCAGGGAAACCAGTGTAGTCCCATGTGGATCTACCACTTCAAACTGGTGACCCTCCACTTCTGCAACCTGCCTGACGGGGCAGGCCAGTCAGGGATGAAGTTGTCAGACCAAAGCCTGTGGAAGGGTCTGGGTGGACGCTGTGATAGTCGCCATCCCATCAACGTGTTTGCCTTTGCCTTTCAGGGACATCCAATGCCAGCGAGGTTTTCCCCAAGACCAGACAGTGGCGGCAGGCTGGCAAGCGGAAGGAGGCGATCGTCTGGCTTTGGGATGCTGTGGAGCAAGGAGAAGGCAAGGGATCTGGGTGGACGCTGTCGGATAGTTGCCATCCCATCAACGGTTTGCTTTTGCCTTTCAGGAGCCGGCGAGGTTTCCCCCGAGACCAGCCATGAAAGTCATGAGGAGAACTGCAGGATTTAAGCCAGACAGCTCCTGTTTTCTAAATAAATGGCTTTCTCATGTTTTTTCTAAATAAACTTTTTCTGAAAAGAAATCTTTGTATTGTGTCATATTTTTATTATATGGGAAATCTCTAGGATCATAGGATACCCCTCCCTGGTAGTGATGTCACAGGAAGAGGGGGCTGCACCCCCTTGTGACATCACAGGGAGTTGGTAGCCAATGGCCACAGCTGGGGAAACATCTGCACAGCCCTCCCTGACCTCACAATGGCGGGGGTCACCTCATTTTTAATAACTGCTGAGGTGCCCCAACTTCCTGTGATGTCACAAGCGGACATGGTGAATGAGGGGAAAGAGGCAGTTTCCAGGGGGGGGAGCAGCCCTGGTAGTTTGGGGGCAGGCAGGGCCATCCGGGGACACAGAAACGAGTTGCCAACATTTGCGCCCTCTGGGCTCTTGGGCTCATCTCGCCTACGTAGCTGCCAATAAAATCAAAAGAAATCACAACTGCTTTTGTCACCCCACCACTTATTGGTGGCTGGAGATAAGGGGCGTGAATTCAGAGGGAATGTAATGTAAAAGGACCCCACAGTGAAATCAAATCCTCCCAAGTGCTCCTATTTTCCAGGTACAGTTGCCCAACCACAGGACTTAAGCCAGCCAGCTTCAGTTTTCTAAATGAATAAATGCCTTTCTAATTGTTTTTAAAAATAAAGGTCTTTTTGGAAACCAATTTTTTGTGCCATGAAGTTTATTATATGGAAAATCAAGGTGTGGAGTAAAATGGGGGGGGGGGAATAATTAACAATAACACCTCAGCTCCAAAAACTAACGGTTTTGGAGCACTGCAAAAACTAACAAGTTTAGGGGAAAGCTTTAAAAAGTGGGAAGGTCAGGGGCCCTTGGTGGGTGCCAAGGAAGGTGTCTGAGGGTGCCATGGAGTCCACCTGCCACCCTGGGAACCTCCGTCTGGACCCTGAAGATGAAGCAGATCACCAGTTCCTATGTAATGGGAACACCATGTGTAACTTTAACTCGACCAGAGATGGTCTTTGCTCTCGGCTGGATGTGGAGGTAGCGATTGGGAGTGTGAGGAGGTGCCAGCACAGCAGGCCCTTGTTGCGACCCAAAGGGCTTGAAGGGACAGGATACCCAAATCCTGTCTGTGAAATCACCCCAGGCCTCAAAACTGTTCCTCACAAGATGCTGTGCATAGGCAAAATGTTACTTTTAAAGGCTAATGAATAGGCTCTGTCATTGCCAAGAATACTCAGGCCTGAGAACTGAATCTTATCTCATTCTAGTTGCAACATCTTTGGACATGCTGAACCACCAGGTCTCCTCAACCCCTTGGCTTTCATTCCCCTTTCCTGGGAAGGGTGCCAAGAGTCCACAATAGTCCCAAGACAGCTTTCTGTTCATGCTCAGAGGAACTCATGGGCAGGACTCTGGAAGAAGGAGGAGAAAGGGGAGGGAACTGGAAGGGGTATATATGCTCTGTGCACATGACTGTGAACTCGTGCATGCTTTTTGTGAGTTATCACACTTGCTCCTTCTACCAGTTCATGGATGGTAGAAATAAAGCTTTTTCTCTGAAACTATTCCTTGAGTGTCTGTTGACTCCCACTTCCCTTTCCCGGGCGCAATATTTTTCCCACCCGAGGGCAAAGCCTCATAAGGCTACAGGCTGGGACCTGCCTCCTTCGCATCCAGCTCCCTCCGGCCACCTGCACGACACCCACCTCCCAAAGAAGAGATTCGCAGAGTCCATTTCGGGAGAAGCAACTGTTAACGGAGAAATCTGAGGGCTCCCTTGGACAAAAAAACAAGGACACCAGCCAGGAATACCCGAGCAAAACAGCAGCCAGGACTCCCACCTGCCACCAGGTGGAACAAGATGGAAGCCCCGAACAAAAGAGCCCCCAAACTTTTATTAGCTGCTAAATCCCAGTTGCTGGAAATCACAAGGCTCTTGTGCTTGAATTATACTTGCAGGTTTCCCAGGGGCAGCTGGTTGGCCACTGGTGAGTTCAGGATGCTGGACTAGATGGACCACTGGCCTAATCTAGCAGGCTTTTCTGGTGTTCACGAAGAATGAGCAAGATAATAATAATAATAATAATAATAATAATTTATTTGTACCCCGCCCATCTGGCTGGATTTCCCCAGCCACTCTGGGCAACTTCCAACCAAATATTAAAATACAGTAATACATCAAACATTAAAAGCTTCCCTGAACAGGGCTGCTTTCATATGTCTTCTGAAAGTCTGGTAATTGTTGTTCTCTTTGACATCTGGTGGGAGGGCGTTCCACAGGGAGGGTGCCACTACCGAGAAGGCCCTCTGCCTGGTTCCCTGTAACCTCACTTCTCGCAGGGAGGGAACCGCCAGAAGGCCCTCGGAGCTGGACCTCAGTGTCCGGGCTCAACAGTGGGGGTGGAGACGCTCCAGATATACTGGACTGAGGCCATTTAGGGCTTTTACCTTTGCCATTTACCTTGTCCAGCCCACATTTTAACCAGCGTCTCTGTAAAAATATTATGAGGAACTTATTGAAATCAAGGTAAACTATGTCCACAGTGTTCCCCTGATCCACTTCTGGGTTGCCGTGGAGCGCAACTCGAACGCGCTCATCCCGAAGCACATTCAACCCGAGGTATGTAGTTGTTTATCTCTTTGACATCTGATGGGAGGGCGTTCCACAGGGAGGGCGCCATCACCGAGAAGGCCCTCTGCTTGGTTCCCTGTAGCTTTGCTTCTCGCAATGAGGGAACCGCCAGAAGGCCCTTGGCACTGGACCTCATCGTCCGGGCAGAACGGTGGGGGTAGATATGCTCCTTCAGGTATCCTGGGCGGAGGCCGTTAAGGGCTTTAAAGGTCAACACCAACACTTTGAACTGTGCTCGGAAATGTACTGTTTGCCATGAAGATGTGCCATGAAGCCATGCCATGCGCTAACCAGAGCTTGCCAGCCTCACTGTCTGCTGGTTCCATGATGCCAGTCTTGCAATGTAAGAACAGCTGCCTTGGATCAGACTGAAGTCCTGTCTAGTTAGGCATTCTTTCCTCCAGCGGTCAAGCAGGTGCGCAAGCACTTCAGCCCTCTTCCACTCCAGCAACTGCTATTCAGGAACAATTTTTTCAAAATACCCATCACTGTAAGAGAAAGAGGAAAGGTAAGGGAAAAAAGGTGTGCATTTTTGCATAATTAATAGGGGCTGCACATTCAGCTCTTCCGCTTGAAAAAATGCTGAGCTGCTTGGGGAATAAATTATTATTTAGTTTGGAATGCCCACAGGCTGGCGAATAGTAGTGACTTAATTCTCAGGAATGTTGCTTGCAATAATATTAGAGAACATTCTGCCAAGTTAAAATACAATTTAATGGTAAGTAGTAGTTATGTCAGGAAAGTACAAACCTGGGAGGAGATGCCTGTCTTTGTTAAATTAGGTCAGAACAACATATAATTTTATTTTTTACATGTGTTGTTTTTTAAAAACAAGTTTTTCCTATAGATATACTGTCATGTAAATCTTTGGTCCTTTTTTCCCCTTTTTATCATTTTCTTGTCTTTTAGGATAGGCAGTAATATTTTGCTCAGGCAAGTAGCCAGACCCAGTAGCCAGACTCTTATGACTCTTACGTTCACACACAGGCAGCTTTCCTGCAGATGCTGGCACGCCAAACCAAGCCCAATTTTTAGCATAGAACCGTGCATCCCAATTTTCACAATCACCAACAGCGCACCTGCAAAATAATACCACTCCAAAGCAAGCACATCTGCTCCAGAGTAAGGCATTGCTATGTGCAATCACTGGGACCAAGCAAGGGATGGGGAACCAGAGGCTGCTAGAGGTTGTTCCTCTACCATTAACCCACATCCCTGATCAGCGACCGTGCCGGCTCATGCCAATTGCAGTCCAACCATATCTGGAAGGCCACTGTCTCGCCATTCCTGGATTATTGTTGTTGTTGTTGTTTGGTCGTTTAGTCGTGTCCGACTCTTTATGACCCCTGGACCAGAGCATGCCAGGCACTCCTGTCTTCCACTGCCTGCCGCAGTTTAGTCAAACTCATGCTGGTAGCTACGAGAACACTGTCCCACCATCTCGTCCTCTGTCGTCCCCTTCTCCTTGCACCCTCCATCTTTCCCAACATCAGGGTCTTTTCCAGAGAGTCTTCTCTTCTCATGAGGTGGCCAAAGTCTTGGAGCCTCAGCTTCAGGATCTGTCCTTCCAGTGAGCACTCAGGGCTGATTTCCTTCAGAATGGAGAGGTTTGATCTTCTTGCAGTCCATGGGACTCTCAAGAGTCTCCTCCAGCACCATAATTCAAAAGCATCAATTCTTTGGCGATCAGCCTTCTTTATGGTCCACCTCTCACTTCCATACATCACTACTGGGAAAACCATAGCTTGAACTATACGGACCTTTGTTGGCAAGATGATGTCTCTACTTTTTAAGATGCTGTCTAGGTTTGTCATTGCTTTTCTCCCAATTAAAAATAACCCCTCTTAAATAAGCGGCCTCATCATGGTTTATGTGGCTGTTTTTGCAATTGTATATGGATAGGGGCCTCTCCAGGCTGGTGCTTTATTGCAGGTGTATTTTGCAATATATTTTTGACACACTAATGCCTTGGTGCTGGATTTATTCTGTTCTGTGATTTCCCCCCTGCCCCCCCAGCCAATGTTAAGATGCTGTCTAGGTTTGTCATTGCTTTCCTCCCAAGAAGCAGGTGTCTTTTAATTTTGTGACTGCTGTCACCATCTGCAGTAATCATGGAGCCCAATAAAGTAAAATATCTCTCTGCCTCCATTTCTTCCCCTTCTATTTGCCAGGAGGTGATGGGACCAGTGGCCATGATCTTCGTTCCTGGATTAAGCCCTTAGAAAGTACTTGCATGGGCAATAGGGGGCGCTGTGATCATACAGGTGTGATCAAACCAGCAAAACAAAGGGAGAAAGCCTTCCAAACTTTCAAAACGCAGTTAAAAGGCCTTTTGCCAGGTACACGGAAGGGTGTACCGTATTTTTCGCTCCATAGGACGCACTTTTCCCCTCCAAAAATGAAGGGGAAATGTGTGTGCGTCCTATGGAGCGAATGCAGGCTTTCGCTGAAGCCTGGAGAGCGAGAGGCATCGGTGCGCACCGACCCCTCTCGCTCTCCAGGCTTCAGGAAGCTATCCGCAAGCCTTGCAAGCCCGGCGGGAGTTACCGCGGGCTCACAAGGCTTGCAGGCAGCAGCCTGCAGCCCCGGCGAGTGTCCGCAAGCCTTGCGCGCCCGGCAGGAGGTTCCGCCGGCGCGCGAGGCTTGGGGCAGCAGCCTGTCGCCCGAGCACGGGAGCCCTCCGGAGGGCACCCCGTGCTTCGGGCGAGTGTCTGCAAGCCTTGCGCGCCCGGCAGGAGGTCCCGCCAAGCGCGCAAGGCTTGGGGCTACAGCCTGTCGCCCGAGCACGGGAGCCCTCCGGAGGGCTCCCTGTGCTTCGGGCGACAGGCTGCAAGCCTTGCGTGCCCGGCAGGAGGTCCCGCCGAGCGCGCGAGGCTTGGGGCGGCAGCCGCGGGGGGGGGGGATAAAATTTTTTTTTTCATTTCCCCCCCCCCCAAAAAAAACGAGGTGCGTCCTATGGGCCAGTGCGTCCTATAGAACGAAAAATACGGTATTTCTCTTAGTAAGGAACATGCATTCCAGGCGGTGCCAGATTTACATATAAGCTAAACAAGCTATAGCTTTTGATCCCACTTTCTTGGGGGCCCCCCAAAAATTAAAGGGAAAAAAACCTGGATGTACACTTCCAAAATATAAGATAAAAAACAAATAAAATAAAACCTACATGCAGCAACAGTGTTTTGTGTTGTGTAGGCTCCTATGATGTAAGTCAGGGGCCCCGCCTGTTAGCCTGCTCCCTAAAATATCACGGGTTTGCTCCTTTCTATATATAGGGTGCCTACATTCTGCATGGCCTGGTTGTACGGCAACATGTGCAAATGGCTTGAGATACCTATGAGGTCCATAAATGATCATATAGCATATATTCAGCACAAAAAGCAGCGACAATTTGTTGTTGACAAAGTGGGTGGGGAGACTCTGGGATATAAATATCATCATCATCATCATCATCATCAGGGCCCCATTACCTTCAGTAACATAGGGCCTCATCAAACCTAAATCAGACCCTGATTCCAACAACCTTGTGAGGTAAGTTAGGCTGAGACTGGCTCAAAGTCGCCCTGTGAGCTTTATGACTGAGTGGGGTTGGGATAGATGACCCAGGATCCAACGCTATCATTTCATGGTGGTGATATATGGGGGACAACACAAGAACGGGCCTTTTCTGTGGTGGCTCCCCTTCTGTGCAATGCTTTCCCCAGAGAGGCTCGCCTGGCGCCATCACCTTCAGCTGCCCGTGTGTCTACTTAGGCCTTCAGCCATTAAATAATCTATGGCCTGTTCAATATGTCTGTGTATGCGTGTGCTGTTATAATGATTTTTGTTATTATGCTGCACATTACATTTTTATTATGCTGCGTACATTATTTATTTATTTATTTATTTAATATACCACCCTTTTTTGAAATTTAAGCGGATTTATCAGTAGTGGGGTTTAGATAATAAAAACGAGTTCCTAAAAAAGCTAATAAAAGGGAGAGAGAGAAAACATCAGGAAAGGAGGGGGTGGGAAGTCCAGAAGAAACTTTGCACATGTTCATAAAGCATCTTATGGTGATAAACACTTTGAAACACTGTTGGGAGGCTTCATAAAAAATGATACAGGAAGATGGAGAGAAAAAAAGTACCGGTAAATGCCAGCCTTCAAGAAAATACCTCAGGGCAGTACACAGGATAAATGACAAGATAAAGCACAAGTAAACAAACAAAGAAACAATAACACAACACACCCTTTCCCAGTGAGAACACGTAAAAGCTGCAGGATATTATTGAAAGGCCTGGTTGAAGATTTATGTTCCCAATTGTTGCCCTGAGATCTTTGGCTAAAGGGCGGTATGTAAACTAAAATTATCATTGTCTATGGCCTGTAAAATGTGTGAGGGGTTATTATTATTACTATGATTATTAGGGGGGGGTTATTGTTTAGGGAAGCTTTTAATGTCTGGTGTTTTCTTGTTGTTCGTGTTTTGTTGGAAGCCGCCCAGAGTGGCTGGGGAAACCCAGCCAGATGGTGGGGTGTGTATATATAATATATAGAGAGAGAGAGAGAGAGAGAGAGAGAGAGTGCTTCTTTTATCACTATGCCATGCCCAGGGCCGGATTTAGGTTTAGGTTTGATGCAGCCCTAAGCTCCTGAAGGTAATGGTGCCCTTTATATGTCCAGCTGTCCTTTATCAACAACAAATTGTTGCATTTTTGTGTGCTGAATATATGCTATGTGCTAATTTATGGACCTCATAGATACCCAAACCCATTTGCACATGCAGAATGTAGGCACCTTATATATAGAAAGGAGCAAACCAGTGATATTGTAGGGAGCAGGCTAGCAGGCAGGGCCCATGACTTCCATCATAGGAGCCCACACAATACAAAACACTGTTGCCGTATGTAGGTTTTATTTTGTTTTTTATCTTATCTTTTGGAAATGTACATCCAGTCCCCCCCCCTTAAATTTATTGGGGGGGGGGCCAAGAGAGTGGGGCCCTAAGCTATAGCAGGCATAAGCAAACTCCGGCCCTCCAGATGTCTGGGACTACAACTCCCATCATCCCTGGCCACTGGTCCTGTTAGCTAGGGATGATGGGAGTTGTAGTCCCAAACATCTGGAGGGTCGGAGTTTGCCTATGCCTGCTTTAATACAGTAGTACCTCGGGTTACATACACTTCAGGTTATATACACTTCAGGTTACAGACTCCACTAACCCAGAAATAGTACCTCGGGTTAAGAACTTTGCTTCAGGATGAGAACAGAAATTGCATGGCAGAGGCGGGAGGCCCCATTAGCTAAAGTGGTGCTTCAGGTTAAGAACGGACCTCCAGAACAGATTAAGTACTTAACCTGAGGTACCACTGTAGCTTGTTTTGGTTATATGTAAATCCGACACTGGTCGTGCCTTATATTTTTTGTTTCCCCCCTCTCATTATGCTGGCTAGTAATTCATTTTCTCAACAGTCACCCGCCGCCCTGAGAGCTTTCGGCTCAAAGGCGGTAGAGACGACTCTTAATAACCAAAGATAATAATAATAATAATAATAATAATAATAATAATAAAATGGGCGGGAACTGCTCCGGCGCTTCAGCTCCCTCAGGCGGTAGAGACGACTCTTAATAACTAAAGATGATAATAATAATAATAATAATAATAATAATAATAATAATAAATGGGCGGGAACTGCTCCAGCCCTGTTGCTCCCTCAGGCGGTAGAGACGGATCTTAATAACCAAATATAATAAATAATAATAATAATAATAATAAAATGGGCGGGAACTGCTCCGGCCCTTCCGCTCCCTCAGGCGGTAGAGACGACTCTTAATAACCAATAATAATAATAATAATAATAATAATAATAAATAAAAATAAAAAATAAACACTGGGCGGGAACTGCTCCAGCCCTTTCGCTCCCTCAGGCGATAGAGACAGATCTTAATAACCAAATATAATAAAATAATAATAATAATAATAATAATATGGGCGGGAACTGCTCCGGCCCTTCCGCTCCCTCAGGCGGTAGAGACAGATCTTAATAACCAAATATAATAAATAATAATAATAATAATAATAATAAATGGGCGGGAACTGCTCCGGCCCTTCCGCTCCCTCAGGCGGTAGAGACGACTCTTAATAACCAATAATAATAATAATAATAATAATAATAAATGGACGGGAACTGCTCCAGCCCTTCCGCTCCCTCAGGCGGTAGAGACGACTCTTAATAACCAATAATAATAATAATAATAATAATAATAATAATAATAATAAATGGGTGGGAACTGCTCCGGCCCTTCCGCTCCCTCAGGCGGTAGAGACGACTCTTAATAACAAATAATAATAATAATAATAATAAATGGACGGGAACTGCTCCAGCCCTTCCGCTCCCTCAGGCGGTAGAGACGGATCTTAATAACCAAATATAATAATAAATAATAATAATAATAAAATGGGCGGGAACTGCTCCGGCCCTTCCGCTCCCTCAGGCGGTAGAGACGACTCTTAATAACCAAAGATGATAATAATAATAATAATAATAATAATAATAATAATAATAAATGGACGGGAACTGCTCCAGCCCTTCCGCTCCCTCAGGCGGTAGAGACGGATCTTAATAACCAAATATAATAATAAATAATAAGAATAATAATAAATGGACAGGAACTGCTCCGGCCCTTCCGCTCCTTCAGGCGGTAGAGACGGATCTTAATAACCAAATATAATAAATAATAATAATAATAATAATAAAATGGGCGGGAACTGCTCCGGCCCTTCCGCTCCCTCAGGCGGTAGAGACGACTCTTAATAACCAAAGATGATAATAATAATAATAATAATAATAATAAAATAAAAAATAAAAAAATGGGCGGGAACTGCTCCGGCCCTTCCGCTCCCTCAGGCGGTAGAGACGGATCTTAATAACCAAATATAATAATAAATAATAATAATAATAATAAAATGGGCGGGAACTGCTCCAGCCCTTCCGCTCCCTCAGGCGGTAGACGGATCTTAATAACCAAATATAATAATAATAATAATAATAATAATAACAAAATGGGCGGGAACTGCTCCGGCCCTTCCGCTCCCTCAGGCGGTAGAGACGGATCTTAATAACCAAATATAATAATAAATAATAATAATAATAAAATGGGCGGGAACTGCTCCAGCCCTTCCGCTCCGTCAGGAGTTATACGGATA